TCGTGTTCCAGTGAAAGAGTTACTACCAACGAAGGTAGCAGTATTATGCAGTAATTGGCTTTACTTGGCAGCAGGGCAAGTTTGTATTTAGCCAGCCGCGAACCGCGAGCCATCGTACACTGCCACTTGGAATTTCTCGTTTCAGACACGTCAAAGATTCCATCTTTCCTTCAGGCCACCACCCTCCGCGATAATACACCGCAAATTTTCGAGCTGTCCCAGCATTGACACGATGCACAACTGCAACTGCAATATGCTTCAACGGTTGATTTTCCACAGCTGGTACACGATTATGAAACGTGTTACTCGTTTTCGTTGAAAAAGTAATTACGCGAATTTACGGAATATCATTTTTGCAATTTTTCATATTTTATTTTGTATTTCATTTTTAAAAGATGAACATTTCCTGCAATATAATTATACTGCCATGCTGTTCATTTCAGCTTCATCTTTCTAGAGATTCTCATGTACCACGATATTTCTTCTCATCTTTTTCATCGATCATTTTTTAATTTATCATCCCTGTTCACTCGTTAAGATTGATTGTTTCGTAACAATCAGCGTGAAAAATTTCATTAATCTCTGTCTCGTATATGTACCTTTATTGAAACATATTTGAACCAACTGAATCGTTCATCGAAACAAAGTTATAAAAATTGTAATAAATCATTGAAGAAAGGGTGGAAAAATGAGAGAAAAAAATTCTATTTGAATCTCATTCGGCAAGTTGAAACGACCATGTCCGTTTTTAGCTATTCGCTAAACAAATATATAATAGTTCCGAGCAACGTTTCAAAGGAAACGTGTTCAAGCATCCCCATAAATTCAGTCGACCCGAATATATCTGGTTCGAGGGTATCGCGAACAGGGCGTTTTGCGATTAAATATCGTTCTCGTCGATCGAATTGAATCCTCGAGAAACAGGCGAGCTCGTAAACGAGGATTAATCGATCTACGTTTGCGTAATGCAACAGGCCGAATGTGCAATCGAGCGAAGCGTAACAATGTTTGTTTCACAATTTCTACCCGCATAGGCTTCGTAACGAACGGAGAAAGCGAGATGATTCTCTCTCTCTAGTCAGCAGTTAGTTAACATCTTGTAAAAAAATATTAATAATTTTGAATGAAAACGTATTCGTAGAAAAATTGAAAAACGACAGAAGCCCACAACGGTGTGATAAACTTATGACGAGAGAAAACCACGGAATCGGAACGTTATACAAATCGGAAACGAGTGCACCAACAGCTATAAAAGAACCCGTCTTTTTTTCCTCGCTGGATACATTGAACGAGCAAACTGCGAATGGTAGAATAGAAGGAAAAAGTGTCGTCGAATGGCAAACAATATTTTTTGTCAGCTCCAGGAGGGCAGATGAACGAGATTGAATGACATCCAGCTCACGTGGCCACGTTTGTTCTTTCTTTTATTTCGCACTACCCTATCCCTTTTGTGTTCTGTCCCTCGTTTATTCTTCTTTCGTTTGTTTCTGATCCAGATCCACTTGTCATAAGTAGCAAGCATGTGTGCACCGCTTCTTCGCGGTCACTGTTGCTGTTTGTCACTGATTTAAATGAACGAAACGATCGAGCAAGGAAGCACCGTTTTATTTTGATCGACGCGATGAACGAAGGAAGGAAGAAAAGAGCAAGGGACAGAGATCAGAAGAGACACTGGTGGTCGTCACCGGGTTATATCGGCGTATTCGTGTCAAGATCAAACAAGAAGAAACCCAGCAAATGCCAGTCTCCCGTGCGACACGATTCTAAGAACGTTTTGCCGAGTGGCTTGCGCATACATACATATGTATGTATGCACGTAGCGCGTTAAAAATAATTCACGATCGCTGAAGGAGCCGAGAATGCAGCTCGAATGCAACTCGAATGCAGCTCGCATGCACCTCGACATGCATTTCTTTCGCTCCCCACGCCACGGTCTGTGCCGCGCCGTGATTTTCGGTGTCTAACCCTGTTAAACCCGTCGCGTGTTTGCGCCACTGACACGAAAACGAGGCGAGGAAGAATACAGGGCTCGGGCACTGGGTCAACTATTTTATTTTCGGCCATAATTTTGAAATGTTCGGCACGCCGCGCCGCAGACAAACGACGACGCGTACAATCCTTCATCTTTTCTATTACCTACCAACAATTGCTTTCTATTTAAGAATTATTTTATGGACAAATAGAAATATTGTGAAAATTATTACCTAAAAATTTTCCTTTCAAACTCCATACGATAGTGTATGAAAATAGCACAGAGCGAAATACAGAGGATATGTGACATGTGTTCCTTACACTCGCGTCGTAACCCCTCGTCACGTTACCCTCCTCTGTTTGTGTCAGTGACATGAAAATAAAGAGCTTTCAAGCAAGGTTACGGACAGAATTTACACGCTTCTCTGATTCATTTCTTTCCCTCCTGTCTGATAGATTACAACAAAACCGAAACAATTTTCTCCAGCTATTACATTGTTAACAGCGAGAAAATGGTACGAGAAATGCTAATAGCAATTAAGGTTACTTCCTCTACGTGGTCTATCGTAATCAAATATCTAGAAAGATATTGTAATTTGCATTAAAGCACGATTTCTATGTTCGCGATACAACGAAATAATATGACAATGAGGGGAAGAGAGGATGAGAGCAAAAGAGAAGATGAGCGTAGCTTCAAGAATAGAAATTGAAGCCCAAGTGGATTAACCCGGATACCAACCAGACACATCCATCGTTCGTTGCTATTCAAAATAAACCTTGGACCGACGATAGGACTAAACTGCGATCCATTTCAAAGTGTTTACATATTTCGACGAACACCAAAATCGTTCAACGATTAGTCTAGAATGCGCGGTTTCTCTATATTTTACTTTCATACTTAGGTGTTCAGGTATTTGGATACTTTTAATTGAATTAGGTTAAATCAAATTTTCCTTTCCCATAAACCCAGCCGAAATTTACCGCAATATTTTCACTCGTTCCTCGAAAAAATTTCGACTATTTTGACGGTGAAATCGTGTTGAAATCATTTTCGTAAACACGACAATGCTGTAAACTGAAAAAAAAAGAAGGCCCGATCTTTTAATTTTAGACCACGTACGTCACAACGTACGCGTTAAAATTGATGTTTACCAAACGAAAAAAAAAAAAAAAATTTCCAGGTATTTCGTGACGAATTTGCGTGGCTGTTTATCGAGCGAAATCCAGAGAATCTGGATCATCAATGGAAGTAAACGTGCTATTTCAAGAATACTAGACGTAGATAATATTCGGGAAGAAAAGAAACTAAATTAAACTTTAATGTAAATCAGAAAATATTGTGACAACTTTCCTTTTCATCTTGACTCTTACGACAAAGAGGTTCAATTAGAAGGCTGAATACACGTGTAGATTGTGTGTTTCATTGATCCGTACACTCGATTCAGGAGCATTAAAGCAGAGGATTGAAACGCGATTTGCGATCGTGGATATCGCGGGAACACGTTTACCGAAGTGCATCGGAAAGCTTTCGAATTAAGCCCGCCCGCTTTTCGGCGCAACCGAAGCAAAAGCGATAAAGCACGGAACTTATATCACGGTTTAACTCTTCCGTTTCAACGATCCACCGAATTTCGTCTCGCTACCATTTCCGTTTCACTGATTCGCGTTAATTCGATTAACCTATAATCTACTACGATTTTTACTTTACGGGAAGAGTTGAAAGTTAATTTGGTATCAACGAAACAACGTCACATCGAACAAGCTATTCCGGAATACCGTCGTTTTCAATTAACAATCCGATTCGTTTAAATCCGAAACGAGAATATACAGTTCCGATTTTAAAAAGAAAACTAAAGTCGACCTTGAAATAATATCGGTAAACAATAACAAGGATAACAAAGTCACTTTTTTCCAGAAAAGTTCAATTGTATCGGATGAATGTTTACTGTGAAGTATCGTTTGAAAAAAAAAAACAAAAAAAATGAAACGTACAGCTATTTTCGTGTGTAGGTATTATTAAAAGTGGTACATACAACGTTGAAAAAAAAAAAAAAACGAATTTCGTGAAAAAAAGAAACTTTAAAATCGGAAGGTTGAAAGCTCTGTACGAAAAGCATGTAATTCGGTGTGATGAATTAAAATCCTCGGTTGGATTTCACGGTGTTTGTAACGTTGTCGCAGATACAGAAAAATCCTTGGTGTACAAGACACAAGATATATCGACAATGGTTTTAGAAATAAATTTACGAGCTCGAGATTCGAGGGCTTCCTTTACTTTCCTTCGCAATATCGTTTTTCAACAGCTATTTATTGTTATTGCATCTACTATATTTTATGGTGTAACTTGCGAAAGTAATTTCAGGATGGATGAAACATTTATGAACAATAAAGACACACAATGATTAAATTAATTTTATGGAAAATGTGAATTTCATATGAAATATCGTAAGAAAAAAAATCATTGTTAGTTGGTACGGGAGGAGAGGTGAAAGCATCTAAAACGTTTCGAAAAGCCTTACTGAAGTGGCGTGCTTGATCGAATCAAGTTACGGATCTTCCCTGGCCCGCGTCGATGCTATTACGAAGAAAAAGAATCCTTTCAGAACTTTACAAAAGCCTTTCACACTCTCGACTTTTTCTCACGCCCGAAAGAAAATTCCCCCATAACCAATCGAACTTATCGGACTCGAAGAGCAGATCAAATGTCTGTCTACCCCTCGCGAATCAAATTACCAATCAGAAGATTATTAAAATGTTGAATACATTCGCTAGGAAGTGAAAGCTGTGAAAATATTAATTTAATTCGCGCTTCGATAATTAAATAATTGCTCTCTAATTACTGTTCGAACACCTTCACTCGGATCGAATAACTTGAATCAATCAAGCGAGGATATTGCCAATCGCTAGGTATACAAGTGAATTCACTGTTCCATGGTAAACGAAATCATGGAGAGAATTCATTTGAAGCTAAAGAAAAATAAGAAAAAAAGAAAAAGAAGAAGATGAAAATAGAATTTTATTGAACTCACTGAACGAGATGAGGCCACTGTTCAACATTGACAGCTTAATCTGGCTGGGAATGGAGGCAAGGCTGTGGCCAGGATTAAGATGACGCTTCCTAGGTGGTTTTTCCGGTGCTCTGGGCGCGCTTCTGCTTCTGTGATGATGATGATGTTTCCTGTGAGAGTGCGAATGTGACCCAGCACCGGTTGATGTTGCACCGGTACGATCAGAACCGACACTGCTCAAACCGAGAACACCGCCACCGGTCGATTGCGTTCGTAACGACGACATTTTCTGAAATCGAAATGGAACGTACCGTTGATAACAGGTTTCATAGTGAAATAAAAAGAAATGGAATGGAATAGACAGTCTGATGGAAAAACTTAAATTCTCCTTCAGACTTTTAGGGCTGTTTCGAGTACAATTCAGATACCTAAGTATTTCCTAATGTATCAACTTTTTTATATTATACAATAATTTATCCTCAAAAAAGAACGAACGTATACGAGTAAATGATGGAGACATAGAAATGAAATGAACCACTTTACAGAAGAACCTTCAGAAGTTCTCGGTCCCGAATATATTTCCGACTGAATATCCCGTTGTATTCTCTAATCGACCGAATCATCATCATCATCATCATCATCATCATTATCTCGAGCCGCATCGTTGATTCGTTCAAGTCCTTAAATTTCGCGCTCGATCTCCGTCTCAAGACTGATCTAAAACTAGAAGAGAAGAAGAGTGTCTCGCGTTTAGAGTGACTACAAGGGCTGCGTTCGAAATGGCAGAGAATAGAGACAACAGTTTGGCTGGTTGGCAAACGAAACGACTAACAACGGAGCAGTAGAGTACGAGGACACCAGACAACCACGATTCTTCGGCTTCTTTGTTATAAAAACGCTATCACTGCTCTTTGAAAGCTTTCAGAGCCTTCTTTCAATGCCTCGATGAAACGACGAAATTGAAGAGAAAATTTTCAAGCTTGATCAAGAACTGATTTTCAAGCTTATCATTTGTTGGAGGAATTTTAATTTGAAATTTGAAATTTGAAATGTGAAATCTTAATTGCTTGAATTTACATAATTACACCTTAAAAAGATGAAAGACACATTGTATCGTTATCGTTATGCAACGTATATTTAGAATGCTAATACAGGGATTTTCTTGTATTTCTCCGAATTATACCGTCACCAAAAATATCACTGGAATAGTTACATAACGCTATAAGTTTACACAGGCTAAGCATCGTAGCAATTCCTTGTCGAGGATTTCATAAATATATATAGCCAGTGGAAGGTTTCACTTTCTTGTAACAATTTTAATGTTTAACACGAAAGGAGACATTGTTTTTCAAATTAATTGAAGTCATCGATAACGATACGGTTTCAAAAAATAAGGAAAAAAAGTTAATTACTGTCATTATCTAGCTCCTTGAACCGAGATCCTTTAATTATTCCGTTGAAATAGTTCAGCATCGCGGTAAGGGAAGCGTGAAACGCGATCGCATGACGTTAAAGCCTTCCTTTTTCCACGTTTCACGGCTATCCCTTTGATGGAAATAAAATACGAGGGCCCTATTTTCCCACGAAACGTTATCGCTTATTACCAGACTGATTCATTCCGACAAACGATTTTGCCAAAGTGCTTTCTATTTTGCAAAGAAATATCACCGACGATCAGATGAAATAAAAATAAAATAGAACGGGAACTCTTGTAAGAAAGACTTAAGTAGTAACAGACGGAGGACCGTATGTAGTATGCGATCAGACCAAATGCGTCTGATGTATTGCGATTTATTTCACTTGCGGATAACTCGCGCTTTGAGAATCGTCAAGAAGTGAATCATGCTTCTGATTTCTGAGTACATATATATATATATGTATGTATGTACAACTATTCGTCTTACACGCTTGTATACTGAGAAACTGACTTTGATATTTCGTTTAATTAAAACGCTGTTGCTCTGTTTCGCGAAAATTTATTTAGCAAGATCCTTAATGAACATTCTTAGAGTGTTTCGAGCATTCGAGACCTTCTCTTTTCCCATTCGACATTTAAATAACTTGACGAAGAAACCAAGGACCGAGTTGAATAGAAAATTTTTCAACACCGCTGTCCTAATTCCTTTTCGAATGAAAAGACCGATGTATCTGATCGAAAGCTTGACTCGTTTCGAGTCGACTGAACCAAGGTTTCCGGTTCGAGAGCTGCGCACGTGGGCTATTTTTAAATGTTTTGTAAGTTGTGTTCGCGGGCTTGGACGAAGGTCGGTTATTGACCACGTTCGACCTCTAAATTCCTCTTCGAGCCTCTTACATTCCAACGAAAGCTTACACAATTCCTTGCTCTAAACTACTTTTTCAAAATAGACAACCCTTTGATAACCTCGCCAACTTTTATTCAAGTTTCCCTGTCGCATTGCTATTAAATGAAATTCCATTCCGGTGTTATCTCTCTACCGTGATGAGTTTCAAAACTGGTTCGGATTGAAAGATATTTTTGTTACAAATTGAAAAACAGTGCAAGTTCGGAAATAGCATTTTGAAATACATCAAAGGAGCTAAATTTCATCGAAATTCTTAAACGTGTTAGTAATTAACGATACCGAGGAGTCAGTGCATACGACACCTTTCAGAATTTATCATGGAACAATAACCGCGTGAACGTTTAAGCCAGAGAATTACGGAGCTCTCTGTCTGTGAGCTCTTAATGCTCGTCGTTGCTGAATACCCCCAAGGATTTATACCATGGTGCACCCACGTGTAAGTAAAGTGACTTCCCATGGCTGAAGTAGATGAAGAAACCTCCCATTAGAGAGAGTAAAAGATGAATTATAGATACTCTAGCTACCTACCACTGTAAGCTGGTGTAACATATTCATTTTTTTTTCCAAAATACAAGAGTGACACAAGTGTAAAGGGCAACATCTTGATAACGAATGGCAGGACCGTCTCGGATGGAACCCTGTCTCTTTGCGGAGATGAATCCTATCCTATCCGCGAAAATGAAGAATGCCACGGAACGAATTTATCGTCTCTTCGAATTTACGAGCAAAGAACACCGTTACCGCAGTTCGACGTTTCTTTTTCGCTTCTTTCGTCCCATAAATCTGACGATTATCTCGACCAACGTTCCACGAGCGTTTCACTTTTGCGCCCGTATATTATCTACGGTAACAGACTTAACGGCCTCCTCCAGAGAATCGTGTCAAGCGCTCTTCATTGTCTCGCTACCATCCACGTCGGGGGTTACACTTTCACCCCCACGATAACAAGATTTTTCAACAAAGATCTCACACGATACATTTCAAGATTTCAAGAAATGTATCCTCGTGTTTTCAATTTCATACTCGATTGAGAAACATTTAATCACTGTTTCTTCACCGTATAAAGCCTTCATCAATATTCAATTCGATATTCTTTTGAACAATTAAGAATTCTCACACGTCCGTTATTTTCTTTTGTAATATATCTGCTTTCTTGGTTTTCCCAAGACTGTTAAGTACTCAAGACTGATACGAGTAAATAAACTGATAAATTTATGAGAGTAAATTTCCTCTCTCGCCGGTAAACATATCTATAAATTATATCGAGGACCTCACCAGTAGGGTGAAACGATAGGTGTGCTCGAAGCACTTTCCAAGCAAAATCAATCGACTCTTATGAAATTCACTTTTCATTCAACTGTTGTTTCTACGATAGAGATTTTACAAATAGAACCTGCAATTAATTTAACCACCTTTCCAAATTTCCAATGCAACATAGATTGACACAGATTGTTTCAAGTTCTTTATTACTATTGGCAGCCAGCCATTGTGTATCAAGTATTAAAGATATCGACGAAACGTTCATGGGGTCAAACTTTAAGCTTTAAGCTTTAAACTTTAAATAGATAACACTACAAGTGCCACTTTGCAATAATTTTCTCTCATCGAATAGTGTCAGTCTTTTAATACTTCGAAATTCGGTCATTTATATGCACCAATTTAATAATTTGCCCACGAATGAATTAAGCTAGCTGTTGATGACTCGCGAAAATTAATACTCCCAACAGATATTTTCGCGTGCTAGCCAGAAATTACCAGCCCGACACGTATGTTTCACGACTTAATAGCAGGTCAGGTTAACCAGCAACCCCACAGGTATAATTGCCGGTAGTGTAAATCGTCCATTATTCGAATTTCGTCGTTTTACTCCGGAGAAACGTGACCAAACAAACCGGAGATGAAAATTCGTCGCTCTAGAATAAAACGGTCTACGTATACCTTTATTTTTTTCGAATATATTCTTTACCGCAGTCACGCCAGATGTAATTATCATTAACGTAAGGTAGGTAAAAATATTATTTGCAAATTTTGTCTGACGATATTCGCTTCGCGAGAATAGCTGGTCAAAATCACGTATCGAACATCGATATTACGTGGTCGAGAAATTGAAGAAGCTATCCAATTAACGATGGAACATTTCACGATGAAAAATTCATCATTACGAATTCATAACTGCATATACTTCGATGACTATTCTCTACGTGTTTTATACCAGAAGAACCTAAATTATACGTTAACGTGATAGCAATTTTTAATCGTCCACCCTGTGCTCAAGTTTACATAACATCCGCATGCGAATGCATTAGACTGAGCAACAACGATCATTGCATACTTTTACACATCCGGTTTCTTAATGGACGCTACAAATAGCAATAGATTTAATTGGCAAACGATATCAATATAAAAATAAACAACGACTTACTGCTCATCGCCATGATTGTTCATTTAGAACTACGCTCGCTGCATACGTTTAAACTTTAAAGTTCTAAAACAGGGTTCTAAAACTTACGATTCGTCTATTTGAACAACTACACACATGAATTTACGATTGACGATCATAACTATTCACCGTTTTCCCAACCGCGCTCACCTCTTATTTTGATAGCAATATAAATCAAAAGTTTCCAACTATGTATTCTAGTCATGCACGCGCAAAAGCAGTTTACTTTAACAATACTGCAGTTGAATAGTGATAACGATAATAATAATGTTGGTATATTGAATGTTGATGATAGAACAGGTGTAATAACAACGATAAAAGAGGTTAGGAATTGAGGTATTTCCGTTTGAACGTCAATGATATAATTTTAATTCATTCCCAATAACTAAATAAATGTAAGATTAAAAAGTATTAGAAATACAATAATTAATACGTAGCAGCTTGAAAAATACGATACATTATTCAGGGCGTCGTATGAAGTTGACAGTGTATCGATAGAACCAAATATTGGTCACATGATCAAAGACAGTTAAATAGTATAATAAATGAATCATTTGCAAAGAATTTAGGTTGCAAATAATGATTTGTATTAAATAAATTTAACAGTTTTACAGGAAGGTAGATCTGTACGGATCGAAATACCGGTGATCCATACGCAGCGCCACACCGATAATGGCGCGCACAAATTGTACGTGTCAAACTTTTCCACGGGCAGCAAACGATATAAATACGAAAACTACATCGCGGTTACGTACGAACATTTATAACGCTAGAATTTGTAGAAATCATACATGTACAGGAACTAACCTTGAAGAAGAAACTCGCCAAGAAAATGAACACTCCGACCGGCAGAAACACTCTCACGAAACGACGCGTCTACGTATGCACGCGCGACAATTCGATTGGCACCTTTCGATATATCGAATCGATCGTTCGATCGAAATTGAACGGACAATCCGCGCGAATAATTCAAACTCGTGATAGAATTACAAAACCTAATTCACTTTTTTGTATCAACGATCAGCTGTCACAAACTTCACGCCCTTTTAACGGTATTATCGATTCACAATTAATTGATCTTTTTCGTTAAATTGTTTTCGCGAGCCAGATCAGTATATGTATATATGTATACACCGCGAACACACGAGAGAGAGAGAGAGAGAGAGAGAAAAAAAGGGAACAAACGTACGGGGTGTGTATGTATTGTATGTTGACAGCGGAAAAGAAAAAAAGACAAACACGAACGTAACTGATTATGAAATCCAAAATTCACCGGGTGGTCAGCGTATTATGAAAAAAAGCACACACCACCAGCACGACGACGGCGACGACGACGACGGCGACAACGAGCGGCGACGACGACGACGACGACGACGACGGCGACGGCGGCGGCACGACAACGACAACGTTGACGAGCGCGAGGTCGGAGTAAGACTGATCGGACGACACGCGACGAGTCACCGTCAGCGATGAGTCGAGTCGCTCTGACGAGGATCCTGGGGCCATCGGGCTGCCCGTAAGGGGAGGAGGCGCCGGAGCCTAGGGTGGGAGACAAGTAGAGAGAGAGATACGTTAGTCGGCAGCGTGTAACCGGTGTGCCAGGAAAGGGGAGCGTCGCGGCACAAGGGAGAGGTGAGGGGCGGAATCGGCGTCGGCGTCGGCGTCGGCGTCGCTTCTTTGCCGAGGGCGTGGTCCTGATCGCGACTCTTTGCAAGTTTCCAGATAGAGACCGGACTCTTGATGCTACTATGTCACTATGTATGTTACTCTAATAAGAATTTTTCTCTGAATCTTGTACACGAATTTAAGGATGCTCCTTCTTCGCGAATGATTTTATTTCGATTCATTTTCATACGACGATTAATGGGTTCGATCATAAACTGAAAGCTATCTACAATTCGACACCGAGAAGACAAAGTCGTAAATTAAACCATTAAGAAGCGAACAACCCCGTTGATGTCGCAACGCTCAGGGCACATTGCACCCTGTTCTAGGATTCTGCTTTGATATTACCTATTATATTGTATTATATTTTCAGGAAGGACAGCGTTTCAGGATACACATTCTCACATATTGCCCAATGAACTAACCATTTTTACTGGCTTTTATGCCCTTCTAAATCGTTATTTCTCTTTATGTACCAATAGCACATCTGAGGACTTACCTCGTACTTTTATCTTAAAGAAATTTTAATCCCAAAGGTTGTAACATAGCTTCTGACGCTTACTAATGTTTCAATTGGCTGGCGTATTTCGAACCTCGTAAATTCTAATTAAAAAATACAAACAATAATTAATGAAAGAAGGGTGCCTGATCAAAGAGGAATGTCAAAGAAATTTTCACAGATACCTGGATGGAAATATGCTTTTCTGAGACTTTTCAATAGGAACTTGTTTCCCAGTATCTCCGTCTCGGAACGAGAAACGGTAATCGCGTTACTTTGGATCTTCAGATAAAGAGAAAATGCCAATGATACTTGAAGATTCTTGTCTATTGGAATTGTTGCCACTTTTCAGCGAAAAATCCGTGTCTATAGTGATTGAGTAGTACTACTGGCGCACCATTCCCGTCTACAAGTGCTCATAATGTAATAATTCCGTTCTTGAGTATCTATTAAAAAATAAAAAGAAAGAATTATTTTGATCCAAACGTTGAAAAGGTTTCTCTCTTTACCTGCGTCGCTTCAACTGAAATTTCTTCAAAGCGAATCCCTGAATAAGATTGATATTACAGCAAAGAGAATGAGAAATTAACGATAAGATTCGTTACTTCCAGGATTTTACTGTGTACCTCAAGAAGTTTTAGGTAGTTTCATTATCTAAATGAAAGAAGTAAAGACCCCGGGTAATTACAGTATAAGTCAGATGTTATTAATTGCACAGTATAATTTTAGTTCTTTGCGATGCTTGTGAATGCAATAAAGTTACGAAATTTCTTTTAATAAACCGAGGGTAATTTTGCATCGGTCAACAGTTCAACAGTTTAATTGTTTTTAATTTGCATCTCGAATAGAAAAAAAAGAAATGTAAGACTTATGCGTAACCTTGAAAATTGAAATAGAGCAATTTTCTAGTTAACTCGATTCGCATATTGACAAACACTTGTACAGTGTGTAACGTTGTGGTTACTAACCCCCTGGATTTCCCAGACGGCCCGAAACAACCAGTGCCAAATACAATTTAACACCGTTTGCATTTCAATGGGCAACAACCTCTTGAAATATTTCACGTTTCCAACAGAGCTGAAATTTATTTTCACCGATCGATTCGTCAAAATGAGAACAGTGGAAAACGATCAATTATTAAATTGAACGGAAAAGAAAAATGCTATTTGAAAGATATGCTGAATTAAAAGTTAAAAAAGTTGAAAAAATCGTAAAAATAATACATACATAAAAAATTATTGTATAATTAGAAACTGTAAGAAAATAATTCGTTTTTACCAAGGACAACGGTGGATCAACGGTGAACCAAATGGTGGATCAATGAAGGATCAATGATGGGTTTAATTATTTCTGAGATGCTTTTGCGAGTGGCAGTGGTGCAAGATAACAATTCTTTAAGATTCCTCCGGTTCCCATAATAGTAGAATGTAGAGCATAGGGCATAGGACGTAGGGTGAATGATCCGAAGCGATTCGCATTCTATTATAGTCTTCCAACACTTTCCTTTGCGTTAATGGATTAACTAAAAGAAAAAAAAAATGATTCAGTAAGAAATAGTGGTCGTGTTACAAATGATTATATTTCACTTTATGTTACAAAAAGAATCCCTAATACGAGTAATATCCCGGTTTAATAACGTTTAACACCAGGTACAATTAGTGTGTACCTATCTTGCACGTGTTTCGTCTCCTTTGAATAAGTGTCGTCGTTGAACATCTACGTAAATGTCTAATCTAATTAACACGTCTTGATTAAGTTGGTAAAAGAGGGGGAAAAAAGATCGCGAAGTTCACTACAAATATTGGTAGGTTGAATTTTCGGTTTTTCACTACACGATTACAGTTGGTGTTTCTTACGATTAAATGTAGGTACGTACACACGGCTACGAAGAAGAAAATATACGAAAGTTGTTCGGAAATACAAATCATTAATTACTCGTTAATTACTTCTCTGTCTTATTAGACGATGCCGTTTACACTAAAATGTGCATTTACATTATTTACAATGACTTTGGGTCCATTGTTCGAGCACGGTGTCAGACTAAAGAGACTATGCTGTTCATTGATTTCGAATGTCAGTCAATGATGAAGAGTTGAAATCAAAATTTACTCGTAAATTGATTTGTAAATGAAAAAAGTATTGACGTACAAAGTTTTATTATAATATTATAATTAAAACCTTTCGTTAAAAGTAAATTTTCATGCAGCTCTGACATACTCTGTAGTCGTAATATTAAAATAAAATATGTAATTTCTATACCCAATCTCTCTTCAATTTTACTACTAAATTCTAATCCTTAAATATTTATTAACTATTCAAATTTTCTTTATATTATGTAAGTATATAAGCATTGGAAACGTCTAAAGGCCTTTTGAGGATGAAAATCATCGATTTCTAAATTCTAATTGACTATCAAAATCACAAATACCTACATGACACCAACTATCAATTTTTAATACAAATACAAGATTTATAAAGAAGAAATATTTGTATACCTTAAATATCCTATTAAACTAGATTAGGATAGTCTTCAACATTGAAAGACATTCGTGATGAAATGGTAGACAATGATGAAGAGAATTGATTTCTTTCTGACTAAATTCACACGTGGACCCTGTTAAGGTGCAAGATTCCCTTAGATAATTCTCCAATGAATCATTGGTAATTCCAGCACAACATTACACGCAATCGGTTAAATCGCTTAATTTACGCCGTTAGAGCTAATCTTTACTCGACACCCCAATGTTCTTTACTCCTAATCGTACAGTATGGATCGTAGCTTATCGTACAACCGGAAACAAGCTGATTCTAATACTTTAATGGTCAGTATTATATTAGCTACTAATAAGTAATTAAAAAATTACTCATTTTCCAGAACAGGTTAAATGTAATTTAACAAATGTGTTAATATGCTATTTAGAATTTTAGTTGTTACGACAATTACCGTTATGTTATTCATGAAAGTGTTAGAATCAACTTCCTTTAATTCTAATCGTACTACAAATTACAGTTCACAGTGTATAATACGATCTAAACCAAAGGTACACACCATCGCCAGGAACTGAGCCAGAATTGGGACGCAATCAGAGCTTTTCATAGAAGCCTAGAGCAAAAATCTGCCTGTCAATCGACATACATTCTGATTATTATTATTATTATTATTATTATTATATTATTATTATTGTTGTTATTATTATTATATAATTTTCTTTCATCTTCGCTCAACAGGCAGACGTTTGACATTTTATTGTTCTTAATAATCCTCTTAACTGGACTTTTCTTCTTTTTTTTTTTTTTAATTTACATTGAATCATCATTTTTCGATCAAGTTCCACGCGAATGTAAAAATATAACAGTTTCAACTTGTTCGATATAATTAAATGACCGTTTAGATAATTTTCCTTAATCGTATAAGCTCGACGAAGAATAGACAAAAGGACAGGTTTAACCCCTTGCCTTATAATTTTTCTAGAAAAATTCAGATCCTTTAAACGTGTGAAAATCTTTCTTTTTAAAAATTCAAATACTAAGAAAATTAAGAATAATTAAATTTGTTAAAAATTTCATTTAGAGATTTACTATTTACCATTCGACACGAGTGTGATTTATTTATATAAAACAAGGGGTTAGAGTTCTTCCCGGTGTGAGTTCATGAAATCATCATGACAAATTTTTAACATCATTATTGTCGAATAATTTTGTCCTTCTCACACCGTTCAGACCATTCAGAAAATAGAGAAGAGACATTTATGGACGAAAGGAGATTCCAAGATTTAATTATGTTCTCCTTTTGAAATGGCAATACGGTGAATCGTATTAATTAATTAATTAATTAATTAATATTCTATATCTGTAACAGAACGGGCTCTTTTTCTGAGATTTGAACAGGATATTATGTCTACAAAGAGCTTGTATAATGTGAAGGAACTTTGTGAAGGACGTCAAGTGTGTATGTGCGAAGGGAATAAAGATCCCCCTTAAAAGGACAGAATAATCTTTGGCAAGTGTGTCACAGCTTGCGCTTTGACGACTTAATTTCGTTCAATTACATTCTCGATATGGTACGGAGAGAATAGTAGGCTTCTCTAATAAAAAATGATGATGTACGGGAAGGAGGACCTCGTCGCTAGCTATTATACGCAAGAGTTATGCGTTAAGGATGGAATCTCCTTCCCTAGAGAAACCTATCATGAAAATTCTTCTCATTTCAAATTTATCCCTTTGAGATTTAATTACACATTGCGATATACATGCTGTATATCTAACGCGAACGATATTGAGTCGCCTTTGGACAGCGCGGACGGCAAGGCGAAAAATCGAGGACGAATTTCTTTCCTTTAAGGACATAGGAGAAATAGTAATTAATGATAATAATTAAGAAACGAAAGAATTTCGTTTTTCTGGCCTGTTCCTGGCAACAAAGTGAAGGAAAGGAAAGGGACGGTGACTTGAGGCTGGCTCGGTTTATGGACAAAAATTTCAAACACCTGTGTCTATCGCTTAAAAAAAGAAAAAAGGTAAAAATAACAATGATAACTTAGAATAATTCTATAATCAAATGGCAATACCTATTTTTTTTTTCTCATTTGACTACAGAATTAACGATTTCTTTTTTCTTTTTTTTTACAATAAAAGTTATTAATAAGGGAACCAAACGTAGGAAATAAAAATATAAAACAAAAATTCCACGTTGAAATTTTATTCCATCGATTGTTAGATACTGTTAACTGAAACAACATAAATAAGAATTTCTGTTCCTGATTAAAAATCATAGACACAGGTAATACAATAACTATACGGTATAAATATAATTATAGTGACAACTAATCAATCGACTGATAAAGTCAATGAACGATCGATAAATTCTCTTTAGGTACTCATCTGGATTCCGCGATGAAGCTGACAGCAATATCGCAATAATTATATTATATATAATATTGTTAATAATGATAATAAAAGTAATAAAGTTGATAATACTAATAGCTAATAACAAATTTGATTAAAGATGGTTCATGATAAACGTATGTGTTACGTACACATGCAGGATAGCACTTTTTGTGTTGTAGAAAAATTTCACACCATCGTTCAGTGAAATGAATATTATCTCCAATAAAAGCGTAAATCCTTTTCAATGTGAATTGTATGCAATAAATATGAAACGTTCGATAAACGATTGGTATACAATAATAAATCTAAAAAAATTATAAACTGTTAATACGTGTAAAATTGCAGTAAAATCGCGTTCAAGTATCCTGCACAATGTACCATGCACATTATGCCAGAATCCCTATTTAAAATGCACACACAATCATTCCCTTGATTGATAATAATTAAGCAAATTATTGATAAAACTCGTAGAGACATCAGATACACCTAAAACTATCTATTTTTGTAAATGCAAACAGAAACATCGGTAGGTGCTAATAAATAATATCGTGAGATTTTATACTCTCATTTACTTGCATTTGTAACATTCTGCTTTGACAGAATGAAATGAAGAAAAAAAAGGTGTACCGAGAGTTACTACGCAACCAATTTCATGTTAACTAAATCTACAAAATTGACTGGTGTATTAAATTTAAGTAACAAAGAACTGATTAAAATATTTGCTGATGTGTTTTAGCTGCACCAAATCTTACAAGAGAAGATCTACTAATATTATTATGCATTTATCAATATTAAAAGCAGAGCTGCTGATTTCAATAAATTAACAACGATTAAAAGATACTAAATAAATCAATATAGAATATGATTATACTGCTAATAATTATAAATATAATAGTAAAAAGCTGCCAAATTCCAAATTCAAAAATTTGAATTAATGCCTATTTAGGCCAAGTTTCATGAATCGACGCTAGAAAAGATTCTCTCCTGTTCAGGAATAACTAAATGGTACAATATTGTTAAGCAATAATCTACCAGACCAGTTAAAATGCCATTCACTAAATACTTTTAAAACAACTATTCGAATAAAATGATAAAATGGAATACATGCAGATGGTAAAACAATATTTCTCTGTAAAAAAAAAACAATTCTGTTCGTTAGAGGAGCTACTTGGAGATGGGTCCCTAATTCTGTTATTTTGCTATTCTGTATCTTTCAACGCTATACGTCTACTCGTTCTACTTTGATTATAAACGCTACAATCGCGCAGAATAATATTGTCTCTATGGTATGCAATGCAAACTCGTCATTTTTTCCTTTTCGTTTCGTCTACCTAAAAACAATATACGTTCATTTTATCATGCATCCCCATTAATACAAAAAATTCGTATAGTTACTACAACCATATGAACCATCCGTATGGATTTAGTTGTGTAGTTACGATGATACACAATTATCATACTGAAAGATGTAAAACCTAACTACAAAAAGAATAAAAACTTTTAAAATGTAAAAATAAACACATATACAATTAACATATCTTTCTTAAAAAAGAAAGATTAATCGATTAAAAATCAATTCATTAGATATCGATAAGTGTCCCATTCACAGGAGAATTTCTTCAATAATAATTCTCCATGAATGAATTTTTCAAGCACAGAATGTTTCAGGAAAAAAATCTTGCAACAGAAATACATTCTATGCTTGCCAAACATCTCTACTAACAATATTGGTAACAGAAGACAGAGCTTTCTATAAACCCTACGATATGGAGCAATACGAATACAAGAAAATATGAACATTTCAAAGCTGCTCTACGTCTTTAACAAACAAAAAATATCCTTCACGATGCCAAAAATGTTTCCTAGAAAATGGTCGTCGTTTGTACGAATTTTGTAAAAATATTTTCACTACGTATTGCAAGAACGTTTCTGTTTACTACTTCTCTGCGTCTCGAAATAAAATAATCCAAAAAAGAAAAAAGTATATGTAATGTTAAATGATTTCACGTAGAATGTAGTTCGACGATGAGCAGTAAAAAATTGAAAAGTTCAAGATCCTCGTTTATCTCAGAACAATTTGCTCCACATCTTCACCATTTTCTAGAAGAAATCTCTGCCTAAATGAGGACGGTTTGTCTGTTGCGACAATCGCATTCTACCTCGTCCATTTGCACTGGCTGCGTGTCTTCGCGTATTTCGTAATTCCCGATCGACCTCTAATTCTTCCAATTTCATGGTCAAACCAAGCTTCTGTTGCACCGCGAGTCGTAAAAGTTGATTCAATGTTTTTCTATCGTCCTCGGCCACGGCAAGCTGACGTTGTAACTCGTCCACCTGTGTTACATATTCCTCGCAACGTGCGGCAAACATCGCACGTAAACCTGAGAAGTGCGGTTAGCAAGTATTAACACCAAGTAGAAGCACATAAAGAAAAAAATATGAATAACATTAGATATACGATAATAAATTAGTTATACATAATATAAATATAATTATCTTGACACTAAGAAAAAAATAGGAAAGATTAAACGCGTGGAAATTAATTTGCAATTCTTTTCAAATTTTCGATAATTAGTAAATCTATTATTTACATATAAAAATATATATTAAGATATATTTTGTTAGGAAACGGCGCAATATCGTTGTTGGCAAACTCCTAATGCAATTGCATAATCAATTGTAGCGCAACTCGTTAGAAGCAATAAAATGTACATAAATGCTAATAATAATCGTTAGTATAATAATATTAATACGTTAACACGACAATGTTAGTAAAACAAAAAATAAAAAAAATATGTTTAAATATCACTACCATGTATAAATTACGTATACATTGTCATCAAGTTTATCTTATATGATTAACTTACTTGAAAATGTTGCAGCATTCTCTTTCAACATTCTAAGCTCATTCCTTAATCTCAACATAGTTTCGTTAACGATACTCTTTTCGTTTTCATACTTGCTCTTTAAATTAGTAAGTGCTACTTCAGCTGTATTTTTATTTGACTTCAGCACTGTTCTCAAAGTAGCAATTTGTTCGCGTTTAGCTGATAACAACGCTTTCAATCTAATTACTTGTTCCTGTAAGTCAGCTACCTCTGCCTTGTTCTCATTCACTGATCCTATAATTTACAATAGTACATTGCAAATCATATTCCGAGAAAATAAATTTAAAAAAAAAAAAAAAAACGCATGAATAATAGCATCTTCAATTTACCTTCACAAACATTGCATACGTTCGACTGCATTCCTTTAACCTTTGAAAGTTCGATCGTGTGTTCCACAGCACTTCTAAGATGTTTTATTTGATCCATTGCAGTTTCTATATGTTTTGCAACTTCTTTGGATTTGCTAAGGCTCTCCAAATCTTTGATCTGAATGTCGGTCTTGAACAATGTCCTACACCATTCGATCTTTTCATTTTCATCTTCCTTCTCAGGAACGATCTTCTCGTGATCTAGGACCACGCGTGAAGGAATTTCTCCGTTAACCGTACACACGTGGTGGTAAAGTTGAGCAAGCTCGTCGGAAATATTTTGTAAATCATTTTGTGCAGAATCAAGGAAACCACCAGCTTCCACTGCCAATTTCGAAAGTGTAGCAATGTCAGATTCAAGTTGCATGCTTCTTTGTTCTGTATCTAAAAGCTGAAATGTAATTATAAAATTTCTACATTTATTCTCCTCTTAATTGCTACAATTATCATCATTTGTGTCATTTGTTCAGTAGAGTTTTACACGTAATATCAATTTCAAATCACTTTCATTATAAAGTCAGATTCAGGGAAACGGTACTTGACATAGTTTTGCAAGACTGTCTAATATATCTCTGTTCGAACGTCGTGCAAATAGTAGGCTCTGTGAGTCTGACTCATGCTACGTTAGATGCAAATGAAATGAATAGGATAGTATCCTGAAGTTTCTTTCTTCCTAAGCACATTCTATTTTAAAGCCACAGTGCATAGCGATTGAGATCCGCACGTTTGTTCGAGCATTTAATAAGAACATTCATATAGACGCTAATACGAGACAACTCATTTGTGAAAATAAATAAAACATGTAGAATTTGGAAAGATTTTCACAAAGGAGTCTTCAATTCGTGAAACGATGATATATTCATAAGTAGTTATAGGAACATTTGTAGTTAAGAACATGATAGTATCAAAAGCAATACATGATGGTTTGTTAGGACACTGAAAAGCAATCTGTACGGATCATTAAAAGAGCGAAAAGACAATCATTATTAAATAACTGGTAAATACGTTAAAGGGACCACACGTTCCAACCTTTTCTTGAAGGCTCTTCTCTGACTCGGGGATCTGAAATGCCATAATTTCGATTCAAAGTCTAAATTTTGAATATTAAGCGTCATTGTGCCCGAGTCACAGTATATTCTTGTTATCTACACATATCAAGTTATCAATGAAGTATTGATATTAAGTTGAATGAAATTATTAACTTACACATTTCTATTCTTCATAACATTTGCTGTAATAATTTGTAAATACACGAGACCAAAGATATATATATATATGTATTGAAAAAAAAAAAGAAAGAAATTTAAAGGAACGATAGTAAACGGATGCAATTAAAAAAATAAGTTATGTAAAATATTTTTTAAAAATGGTACAAAATTATATACCTTGTTTCTTAGGTTCGTTAATTCTGTTCGCAATTGTTGCGTTGAGTCAGATATAGTTAAACCATTTTCTAATTCAGCTAAATCCTTTTGAAGCTGATTCACTTCTCGCGCGGACATAGCACTCCATTGGTGATATTGCATAATTGCCTGTAATAAAAATAAGACCAACAAATGTATTCAACTCTAAAGTATTAAAGAAAATAAAAAAACAAATTACAAACCTGGTTCAACTTATCTAATGTTGTTTCTTCAGTTTGCTTCTCAGGCAGTTTAGAGTGAAGATGGTGTAATGATTGCACATGGGCTGCTAATTGCACTATGCGCGCAACAAAAGATTGCAATTCATTCTGACTTTTTTCAACGGCATATTGCGATTCCCGTAAATTTTGTGTAAGATGAGCTTTTTCAGATTCTGCTAGTTCTAACTGTTTCTCTAATTTCTTCAGTTCATTCAAATGAATCTCCGAGAACAAATCAACTTGTTTGTCAGTAGCGGAAGTACCTGGTTCTTGAGTCTTTAAATCTGCTTCGATTCTACGTAATGCCGGGGAATCGTCTTCTCCGTCGCTACATATTGTTTGATCTTCTGTAATTCCTCTAATCGAAAGAGCAAGATTACTAAGATTATAAATTGATTCGCTATTAATTCTTTGATCCAGCTCCTTTTTTAATGCATATTTTGCTTCACGCTCGGCTTGCAACGATTCAAGCGCTTCTTCCATTTGTTTCTCAGCAATGTTCTTTAAATTTGTTAATTCTTCAACCTGACTATTTAAAAGTTCTACTTCTTCTGTTAATCTTCTTATCTCATGTTTGGCACCTTCAAATTCTACTTGGCTGGATCTTAAGCCAGATACTTGCTTCTGTAACGAAATATTCTCATCTTCTAATTCTGAGTAATCCTGAAGAAGTCTAGCTTCCCGAAATCTACATTCACGTAACATGGTACGTAAAGATTTTCTCTCAGTTTCTGCTTGCTGATGATCTTTTCCAACCTCTTCCCTTTCTTGTAACGCATGATCGCGTTCTGCTTGTACACGTTCAAGTTCATGACGTAACTGCTTGGTTTCATTTTCTAATTCAATGATCTGTGTTTGAAGAGATGTTTCTCTTGCAGCACTTTCGTTAAGAAGACTCTCTTCTTGTTCTATGCCACTCTTTGTAGTCAATTTTGTAGTTGTTTGAAACTTTGCTAAAGCCTGTGAAAATAAAAGGCAAATATAAATTAATGGTCAACTGATTTTCATCCGACAATAAGGAATGCTTTATTAAAACTGTTGCATATTTAATTGTCTCATTAGCACATAACATAATTGGGTATCTAACGAACATAGTCCAATTTATCCCCACTATATATTTTAGAATTTTCAAATTAATTCTACAATCAATGAATAAAGAACTTTCTAGAAAATTGACAAATAAGCAATTCACATTGGGCATCAAAACTTATTAAAAGATTTGAGCTAACCTCTTGAGTGATTTCCAGCTCGTGTTTCGTGTTTTCGTAGAGGGCCTCGAGATCGTTGCATCTTTGTTGCAATGTGGACTTCTCTTCGAGTAAAGCGAGACCGTATTGAGCAGATTGTATTTTCTCCGTTGAAGCTAAATCTAGTTCTCGCGAAAGCCTTTCGATCTCGGTCCTGAGCTCCTCTATCGTAACTCCTTCTGTCGTGGCCATTGCTGTATGCACCGTCCAAGATCACTTCGCTCCCTTTACCGTCAAATGCTTCCTCGTTGTTACCGCAAATAAATCGAAGCATCGGCGGCCGTAAAAGATTTTAAACGTGAGGGCATCATGCGAATGTCGTGACGCGATTTTCTTTGCGTGCCCACTTTCCAAAGCCTCACATCTTCCGAAAATTCACGACCGTTTGACAGACGTGAGATTAAGGTGAGAGGGCACGGGGAAAATCTCACGGACCGGATGCATGTTCCTGCACATGTTCCATGTTCCTAGACTTTTGTTCCGTTATTCCACCATTCCTTTAAGTTATAACAAATATTATTATTATTATTATTATTATTATTTCTAGGTACTACATAAGTCTAATTTTTTTTCAAGAATATATAAATTCTCTTTTTCTTTTAGATAAAATCGGTTTGCAATTACATTATAGGTATTACCACCTTGTTACTACGAAATGCAAATGATAGCACGTATGTAACTTCTTTTTGGTGATAAGGGTCATATCATTAATTCCGCTATCGCATACTTTTTAATAAACTTACGCTGTAGATTTCCACATATTGAAATATACAATAGGCATTCGTGAAAAATATCATTATAAATATCACACAAATTCAACAAATAATACTCGGTTGAAATAAAATTTGCATTTCTAATGTATACAGGTTTTATATCGCTTCGAATGTTTTCTTAAAATTTCAGTAATAATTACTTCATAATAAGCAAATAAAATCACTCTCTGTTATTTATCTAAACCAAATGTCTACTAAACTTGATTTTGTAAAAAAAATTTCATTAAAACATTCATATTACAATATGTTTCGACAGAAAATTGATGAAATATTTGATTCTAAGAAAGCAAAGTATTACACGATACTTATGTATAGAGGATTAACAACTAAAAAGGAAATTATACATTTACATTTTATTAGTAATTGATCTCCTCTTTCAAGTGAAACATAAATAGTACATGAAGTATGTCATATATCGTACACTTCCTTAATTTTAGATGCAGGAGTAACCCTTAAATAAATAGGTGATCGAGCCACCTTGATAAGCATGTAGGGAACAGAAAAGAAAAAACAAGATCTCGTCTTTGCCTCTCCGTACACATTCTATTTCAAAAATTCAGTTTAAAAACATAACTTCAAATACTCCGCAATCCTTTATTACTTTGTAGCTTTAATTTTTTTTCCTCTTCATCCTCTTCATTTTCTTCATTTAAGTATTAATAGATTAATATAAGTCGAGCCGTGATCGGCCGTACACCGATCAAATTAGTTCATACACTGTAACAGTCGTATTCTTTACAATATTCGTACGTAAGTCTTGTAGCAGAGACAAAAGCGCAGGTGCCCTATCGCACTCTTTTTTATGCTCGTCTGTGAACCTCCGGTGCCACCAATGAACCCCACCATCTAAATTGTGTATCCTCAAAGTATGTTTTCATCTACGACGCCCTACATAGTAAGGCATCGTTTTCTTTTTCTTTTTCTTATTCTTTTCTTTTTAACACGGTATATCATATAAACCTTGTACGTACATTCAAACTGTACACAACACATTGATGATAGAAACAAAGAAAAACAATATGTTTCATACGGATTTTTGTCGGTCGATTACTCTTTAACTCGTGCATCCAATGAGAGCACCAAAGGTTACGGTCCATTAGCGAAGTACAATTTTTGATCCTCCAAATCTCGTCAGACGCACTAGCGCACTGATTACTACTACCAAAAACCATGTATGAGATCGGTTTAAGTCCCGAACAGTTAAGTGTATAAAATTGTTACAGGACACCTCTACTACGCAATATAACGCACAAGGCGTTTCATCAGTTTCACCGAGTCAGGCACGCCTGGCTTCTGAACATTAATACACACGTCGCTGCTGGTAAAAGCATCAGTTTGATCGTGTACACGCGAGTGCACGCAAAAATTCGTAATCGTTCTAATAGATCGTTTAAAAAAGAACATTTTGAAAAAATCTGACTACATGAATCAACGCGTGCACAACGCGCCCTCATCGAATCTACCTAGACTGAACAAAGATCTGAGAACGATCTTATTTCACGTTAATTTAAATTGAACCGCTCTCGTTCCATCGAACGAGTATCAATTAAAGGGATTTAATTAATTTTAGATCCCAAACAACACTTGGTTTCATATTTATAAATACGGCATCACCGTCAAATTTGCTGCAGTCTAGTTTACTTCCTATTAGACACGCTTATTTTCTTTGTTTCTTCTCCTTTTTTCTTATTTTTCTTTTTTTAGAAAAACCTTGCATATCTTTGTACTTATAAGTAACATAATAATCATCTACTACGGTGTTCATAAAGAGATACTTCCAAATCCGCAACATGATTTTTCTTCTTTCGCCTCATGATTTTTCAACAAACGTTCGACAAAAAAAAAAAAAAAGCAATAGACAAATTGTATCTAAAAATTTCATTCTACAACTTATAAAAAAGATAAGTGTAGTATTTTATACATGAAAATATAATTTTTTTTCTTCTTCTTTTTGTGATGTATAAATAAGAGAATTATTGGAATTAGTCACCAGCAACGACCAGAGTATATCTAGCTTTTTACAGTACAAAATACAGCTCCTGCACATATGTACGTATATATGTATATACATATGGGCATATATATACATATACATATACCTAGTAACGAAATATTTCACCATATGTAAGGATATAGTAAGGTAAAATGCAACTGCATTCATTAAAGTCCGTAACAATCACTGGCAATATGAACAATGGTGATCCTCAGTATAACAATTATGATTGTACATACAAAATGTGCAAACTTGTATAGACCTCTGTGTTTATATGTATATATACATATATACGTTGTAATAATTATTGATGATCATATCATGTAATTGTATTTCCATTTTCACTTAAAGAGTCTGACATACGAAGCACGCTTATTTTGTTTGTCCTAGTTTATCAGAATCTAGAATAATAGTCCAAGTATAACTGTATATAAACTCGTAAACACTGACAATCTTACAATTGTGCAGTTTTTGTTTATAATATCTGAAACTAGGTCTGTTATAAAATAATAAGTTCAACGATCCTCATTACATCCTTACACATCAAAAATTGGCGTTACTAAACCTTACTTATATGTATTCAGGGCCGGCATGTTCACTTCCTTTCCCATTAATTCTGAATTTCTTTTTTTTTTTTTTTCTTCTTCTTCTTAACTCAAGTTGCTAGAGAGTTCGAGAGGGAGGACCGGATACAAGATGCGTGGATGTGTGTTAGATAACATAAATTCAACTGATCATTCTGTTTCTTTAAAGTATCAAAGAAATAACAATCGTTTTAATTTGGTTATCCAATAGTCTTTCTTGTTTCAATATGAATTATTAACTCGACATAGATGCAATTGTAAATATTTTTTCATGAAGCATATTAAAAATCCATACATCTTGCATCAGAAAACAATGCGCATACGAGATAGTTTGAAGGTCAGGGGACAGAGGATTCATGTCTCTACTCTAAATTCAATTGAATGTTTATAATATTATTACATCGTATAGTGTGTGTATTCATGTAATGCTGAATGTGTCCTATGTGTAAATGTACTTTGTGCGCGCGCACGCATGTATGGTGTAATGTAACAGCAATAAAAAAACAAAAATGTCATAAGAAAAAACCCTTGCGAAGAGAACAACGACATGTAGAGGGGAAGGAAACTAGAAATAAAATGGGCTTCCGGGAGTTGAGCATAGAGAGATGGAAATTCGAACGACTATGAGAGAACGCATTTTTTTAGGAATTATACGCATCAACGAGACATAGGTTCGCACATCCCTACCTAGCTACAATTCCCGGTAGTAGCGCGCGCGACGGTAAACGGCTTATCGTTAAGCGAGCGGCACGGATTCCGGTTATCTCCTACTTCCTGTCATCCTGATCACATTCACGGCTTATGTGACCAGTCTTGCCACAAATGTAGCATGTTTTGCCTCCAGCCTCGGTGCAGTTACGAGCGATATGACCTGTCTTATTACAATTGTAGCAACTTTGCATCGCAAAACGTCCAGAATCATTACCACCTTCTGGGCAGCTACGTGCAATATGACCAGTCTTGTTGCAGTTATAACAGCTCATCTCAGGCCCCTATTAAAACCAATGTAAATTATCATATTATCTTATTATCAATATACCGCACGAAATCCTACAATATATTGTACTAAACAAAATGAGAAAATATAATATATGAAATAATAATAATAAACTTTTTAATATGTGTGTACACATATATGTATAGGACATATAAATTAAATTTGTAATAACCTGTTGGCAGTCTTTTGCAATGTGCCCAACGCCACTGCAACGGTAGCAAAGGTCTTGATCCTCTTTGCATTCGCGTGCAAAATGTCCAAACTGGTTGCATTTGTAGCACTTATCACGTCCACGTCCAAAACCACCTTCCCGGTCGCGTCCACGGTCGCCTCTTGCACCACCTCCGCTACCTTGTGGACACTCTCGTGCATAGTGGCCCATCCGGTTACATTTGTAACACGCACTTGAACTCATTTTTTATATATCTATAACAATCAATCAATTTGCTGACTTTTCAAGTTGTATGTAAAAAATGTATAGAAGATCTTGTTACAAGTATCAAACAAATGAAAAAAGCTTAGAATACTCGACAAAATTTTCAAATTTGATATCACAATGGATACGTATTGCTGGTAACAAAAATAATGAACTCTGAAAACAAAATCTGTAATATAAATATATACTTGATTATACTATATGTAATGTATCTCATCATCCCTACAATATAGCAAAAAATGAAATACAAAAAACAAAGCACAGTAATTATAAGAGCTTGGAAAAAACTTGAAAAAAAAAAATGGAAAAAAAAGGTGTAAAACAGCTGCCTTTCTCTCTTAATCTTGAAAAAAGTATAGAAACTTTTACATATGGAAAAGAAAATATTTGGAAGAAATGTGAGCTATTTTAAATAACAATATAAAATGGCATCGTGTATCCATTCACTAGGAATATGTAGGATACACGTGTCGTAAGAAGCGCCGTGTACAAGAACATTGTTTCTGTTTCAAATATGCTAGCAACACAGAAATGTTTTACTAAATGATATTCGATTCAGTATGTACAAAACCCTTAGAAATTGTCGTCTATCGTACAACGTGGCTCTCTTGCCCCCACTTTGCAGTGGTGGTACGCAAGTACGCCACGGCGCGAAGATGGCATCCAAAGACTGACGCCGTACTGCGCTTTTTTTGCCTCACCAAAGAAAAAATCATCGATACCGAGATACACATGCATAATAAAATCTAAAACAATATATTTAACGATGAAAATAAATTTTCCTTTCGAAATGGACAGACGAAAGAAAATACTCGTTTACGGTACAACAAGAAATTGAATCAGCAAAATCGAGGACCACGTGTGGAATCGCACAGAAAGAACCGCGGACTCAAGTATCCGTAGCGACATATAGCATCATCTTTTACCGCCAATATATCAGCTTACCTTCGATGCCTGATGTAAATGCACAATGAATCCTCTTTTTCGTTGGCCTTTGCCGACGCGTTGGAGACAATGGGTCCGCGGGAAGTAGTGTTTTCCTGGGAAAACTCGAACCGATACTCAGCCTGATGACTGCGGCGACCATTGACTACAGAAAGGAAGACCGGCCAATCGTCGCTACGTTGCCCGCCAAAGCTCGTTGTAACAATGAACGCCACCTCCCCTACTGCGGCTACCATAGCCAACTTAAATTTGGAAATTCTTTCATTTTTCTCAATTAAAACACTTTTCTCTCACTTTCTGAATAATTATTAATTAAAATATTATAATTTCATTGAATCATTGATTAGCATCCGAATAAATGTAACTATATAGTATAAACTCTGTGATCCATCGTCATAATGATCAACCTCGATATCTATTGGTTAAATAACTTTGAAAACAGAATTGATGATTGGTATTCACCAATTATTTTGCACTTAAAATACATTATAAATTCGTCTAATTTAAAATGGTATAATTAGGGTGACATTTAAATTTCATTGAAAATTGTTAAACAGAATTGACTTACCGTCAGTACTGAAATTATGTATGTATGTATGTGATCTTACTGTTAATACGTCAAGTACAAAATGAATACTTTTTCAATATATATTTATTTATCAAATAATGATAAATAAAATACACGTTTCAGAGTAATTCATTTAATATCTTATATGAGTACCGTGGTATAGCATAGTTATTACATCCGTCGTAGAACATCCGTCGCTCGTTGAAAGACGTCATTTATGCAATTTTGAAATATTAATAATTACAAATATATGTTATTCAATATAATATAAACTCTTTATTTATTTTTCTTAGTCGGAACAGATATTTTAAAAGGAAATATTTTAATATTTTTTAGATTTTAACATGATTATTTTGTTTTGTAAGATTTATATAAATCATTTGAAGTTAGTCAAGTATTTCCCACACAATTACATGTCATTCATAAAAGCACCCTAGATACGAAACTAACCTCTAACATCGAGCTTTAAGCAGCTTTAAGCGTCAATAAAAGAAGCATACAATGTAAAATCCTTTTTCTAAAAATCGTTTACTTTGAATATTATCATTTATAGGAACGCTGAAATAATTTAGGTTTAAAATTAAGTGAAGAATGTTTTAATGTATATAATCATTCCACAATGTCTCTATATGACGATTTTGATAAACATAGAACGTCAGAAAAAGTAGCTGGATGGTCGTCCAGCATTAAATTATTACAATCTCAATTACAATTAAAGAAAGCCGCCACTACACAGGTATAGTCCTTATATTATTAACGTTCGAATTATAGTAAAATTAAAATTTACTGTTATTATATGTTTAGCCAAAACGGGAACAGTATAGAAAAGCCACAGCAGTATTAGCGCCTGTAATAGATTTGAAATCAAAAGCTAATCGAAATACAGACAGAGATGATGATGGACTGCATAGCAATCCACTTTCCTGTGGTACTGTTAGCAGTATTGGGGTTGGTGGTGAATTTGATTGGAATGTAGTAAACGAATATGATCCTATGTGGCCTAATGAATATGACAAAGTTGTCAAAGAACTGAGAGATTTACGTGACAGGGAACATGATCAAGAAACTGAAATGCGTAAACGTAGAAGGGATAATTCACGTTTTGAAGACACTCAGGTAATGTATGAGTTTTGTATGTCTTGAGATTGCAAAAGAATGAATAAACAATATTTATTTCAGGCTTCGTCTGGAAATAATACAATGATCCCACCTGAAAGAGATGAAGAAAGAACCCCAACATCAAGGGGTATTGCTGGTGGAGCAGCCATAGCTCCACCACCTTCTTTACAAGAATCTTCTGATCTTCCACCTCCAGCTCCAAGACCACCAACTAGCATGGGATATGCAACATCGTCTGTAGCAGCAAAAATAATGGCCAAATATGGTTTCAAAGAAGGGCAAGGACTAGGTAAAAAAGAGCAAGGAATGTCTGTTGCTTTACAAGTTGAAAAAACTAGCAAACGAGGTGGGAGAATTGTTGGGGAGAGAGAACAACTTATGCCACCACCACCACCTGTTGCCGTTTCTCCACCTCCAGCACAATCACAAGCTCTTCCGACGCAACCTTCTGAAGAACCTAGCATTACAGAAATAATGAAATGTCCCAGTAAGGTGAGATGTAAAACACCTATTTTTTTTATTTCTCTTCTACATATATTTACTAAGGATTATCAAATTATATATTTTACTTTCAAATAGGTTGTGTTATTGCGCAACATGGTTGGTCCTGGGGAAGTAGACGATGACCTTGAACCTGAAGTTAAAGACGAATGTAACACAAAATACGGCGATGTTGCACGTGTTATTATTCACGAAGTAACCGAAGCAGCCCCGGAAGAAGCTGTTAGAATTTTTGTAGAATTTAAAAGAATAGAAAGTGCTATTAAGGCTGTTGTAGATTTAAATGGACGCTTTTTTGGTGGAAGACAAGTTAAAGCAGGCTTTTATTCCAGTGAAAAACTTGATAGTCTACAGTTGATGGACTAATTTTTTTCTTTAATAATTTGCTTTAATAAATACAACAAAAAAATCTAGATGAAGGTAAAATATGTTGACTGTTATGTATAAAATGACACAACATATAATTTTATCAAACGATTGTATTTTATTTAATTATATAATAAAAGCTTTAATAATCTCATAAGATACCTTCACATAATAGTCAATGTATTAAAAAATATTTAATTTAAAATTAAATAGTTGTAATATAATTTAAATGTTTTTATATCTACCAACCAGGGGTGTTCCTTTAAATGTAATGTAAATATCATGTGCACAATAAATATAAATAATAAATAAAGATAAGAATATATGTAACAAATACATACGTTAGATGTATCTTATATTTATAGGGATAAAAATAAAGGAACAAGTTTTGTTATGTCATATGCACGATAATACAATACGCTAACAAACAAATGTAGCAAATGTTATAATTGCATTGCAATTTCATGTTCTAGATTTCAATCATAAAAATATTATAACCGACACGTTTATTATTAACAACTTAGAATTAATGTAACTTTCCCATGCGCTTGAATAACATAAAAAAAAAAAAAAAAAATTAAAATCTTTATCAGTAACGTATGAAAGTGACAAATTTAATCGAAATGTTATTTTGTTTTATCATCACTAATTAAATCGTCAACTGCTTTATTTAATTGAGTACTAAATGCCGAAAAACTAAAAGTTTTCGTAAATCTATCTTTGCCTGCCTTACCAAATTCCTGTATGGATGTTGGATTTTGAATCAAATGAGATATTTTTGAAGCAAATTCATCACCAGCTAAATCAACTAAATAACCATTTACCCCAGAAATGATAGATTCTTTTGGACCTCCAGAATTATGTGCAATAACTGGTTTACTTGAATACATTGCTTCAAGTGGAACTATACCAAAATGTTCATTTGGAGGTGTGTATATTAAAATAGTACAATGGTGTAAAATAGATACTTTATCAATATCAGAAGGAGAACGAAGAAATATCACTTTATCTGAAACATGTAGTTCATCAGCTAGTCCTATTAATTCTAAATAATGTTCTACATTTTCTTCAACTCTTTTATCATATCCACCAGCCATAATTAAATATACTTTTTTGTATTGTTCTTCTGTTAAATACTTCTCAAGTTCTGCTAATGCCTCTATTGCTAGTCCTAAATTTTTCTTACGTTCATATCTATTAATTGATAACAATATAATGCTATCTGGTGGTAACTTTTTATCAAGTACTCTTTCTAAGGACATTACTCGAGTTTTATCAAAAAAATCTGTGTTAATGGAAGGATACAAAACTTCTGGCTCAACATGTAATCTTTTAAAGGTTTCTTTGAATACATTGCGCGTATATATGCTATTTACAAATATTTTATGTGCCATTCCAGTTGTTACTTCTTCTAAATAATTAAGAGGTACCCGGTACAGTTGTTTACTAATGCCTTGTGGTTGTGAAAGCAGCTGGTCTGGATAATGGCAATAAAATATTATAAATGGAATTCGTAGTCTAAGAATAGGAATGCATACAGAAACTAAATCACAAAATACAATTTCAGGTCGATTTTGACAAAAAATAAGGTAACTAGCTGCATATATCTGCAAAAACAAAGCGAAATTATATTTAAAAGCAATTTATAAAAAATAATGAAATGTTGAACCTATAAGAAAGGGACTCACCATACGAATGTAAGCAAAAAGTGCAAAAAATCTACCCATAATATGCCTGGGTAACCAATCTCCTACAACTGTTACAGAAATTGTTCCATCTTTTGTTTCAGAGAAACAATGCTCCGGATCGTGATGAGTTGTCACGAAATTAACCTCGTGCCCATTTTTCTTTAGAGCTAACGCAGCATCAACCACTAACCGTTCTGCTCCTCCAATACCAAGATCCGGATGTAAAAACGTAATTCGTGTCATTTTTATCAGTTAAATAACATTTATTACAAAAAAGTAGAAACGTACACTTTAAAATAATGCCGGTTTAAAAATCGGTAACACCTGTTAGTTCTTTAAAGGCTATTTTTAATGCAAAGGTAACGCAGCACTTGTCATAGAAATTGCCAAAAGATTAGTTATATATATACTTGAGGTCACGAGAGTCCATAACTAAGCGCGCAGGTTGAAAGATGGTGGGGGAACGCAGCGATGGTGGGGGAAAGCGATCCGCCAATCGCTTTCCACTTCCGCTGGAAGTATCGCCAATCAGAGCGACAATGCGCAGAAAAGAACGAAAACTGGTCTTTTCGCAGTTATGGACTCTCGTGACATCAAGTATATATATATATGTATATGTATTTTACGATATTGAATGAGTAATATATATTATAGTTGAAATTTTGTCAATATCTTCACAATTTAGCAAAAAATTTCATTCTAAATAAATATATTTATATATTTTTACATATAAGAAGAATCTTGGAAACAAGCGTGTGTTTTAATCAAAATCAATCAGCAACAAAAGAAGTTCATTATTTTCATCATTCTTTGTGAATTGTCAAAAAAGGTAAACATCAATAATTTAATTTTAATAAAATTTAAATACTTATCAATCAATTATGTCAAATATTATAAACAATAAACTTACTGATAGTGAACAAAAGTACTTGAAAGAATCGTTTTCGTTAATGGATAATGATTCTGATGGTTATTTAGATTATTATGAAATGAAAGCTGCTTTGAAAGCTTTGGGTTTAACAGTTAAAAAGTCTTACATTTTAGCAACTATGCGAATGTATGACAAATATGGTTACAACAAAATAAGTTTTGAGGATTTTAACTATATTGGTGTGTTTAACAAAATATTTAAAAGTTTATTATTCTTTTATTCTTATTAATTAAATTTATTTTAATATTTATATAGTATCAGAGAAGTTGAATAAACGAAATCCTATAGATGAGATTAAATATGTGTTTAAGTTATTTGTAAATGATTCTCCAAGTAATGAAATAACATTAAAAGAATTAGAAAGATTTAATAAGAAGTTTAATTGTAATCTCACTTTTGAGGAAATGGAACTTATGATCAAAGAATTTGATTTGGATCACAACTGTTCTAGTATATAAATTTTATTTTATACTTTGCATAATTTTGCGATACATAATTTTATAATTCTTGTTTATGGTTTTAGTTAATGAAAGTGAGTTTATAAACATTATGATGGATCTTGGAATTTAAAGGAGTTTTATTACATTATTATAAACAAATTTGTTAATATTCAATCATAATGAATTTTGGAATCAATTGGGAAGAAGAACATCGACGGACATTGTTAGAAGGCAATGCAGCATTACAGCGTTCTACACAGTCTGTTGCTAGATCCCAAGCACTTGCCATTGAAAGTGAACAAATTGGGACAGAAGTGATTTCAGAATTGGGTGGACAAAGAGAACGGTTGTTAAGAGCAAAAAGAAGATTATCACAAACAGATGAAGAGTTAGATAAGACCAGAAGAATATTAAATGTTATGCGAAGAAGAGTGTTAATGAATAAATTTGTGTTAATTTTAATTATATTATTAGAAATAGCTATACTTGGTGTTATTGTGTATTTAAAATTTTTTCATGTATGATTTAATAATATATATATGCAATACTGTGCATATATCAATTTGATGTATATTATATGTATATAATTATTTACAAACAATGTTTAATGTTGCATGATAATTAAAGTGCTGTGATGTTGAGAAACACTGGTTGGGTACCAAATATGTAATATATAAAATTGAAAGAAAATATTTATTCAACTTTTATTGTATTATTTCGAACAGGAAAAATAGCAGAATCAATTATATTTTTTTAAAAAAGATAATGAATAAATATAATCCTAGTTTCCAAGTGTATTTGTAAAGTTGTCAGTATGTAAACGACAAAAGCGCAGCATTACGCGATTATTTTGAACTATTATATGGTATAGTATCCATTCATTCATGCAGTCAGTTATTGTTGAATCAAGTATTTAACTGTTATCGACGGGGCAAGTTGGAAATTAGAACAACCGAGGACGAATAGGATCTAACATTTTGTGAATTAATACATGATCGGGTCATGGCGTATGTTAATGTGGCTGAGTGGAAAACTGGCCAAGTGTGTGAATGGTTAAAAGGTGGGAAAAATTAAAGTACTTGTACATTAATTAATCTTTCAATGAATTTCAACAAATTAGTGAATATTATTATTTGCAGGATTGTATAATTGAAATTTACATGTGAAAACCTCACTGTATACGTTCGCACCCCTCTCCCCTACCTTCTTCAGTTGATTAGTTATTGATTAGATAGTTGATTAGATAAATAATTATCAGTTTAAAAACAATTCTTAATCATATTCGGTTTGATTATTTCTAAAAATTTTATAAATACAATACCTTAATTTAGTTTTGTGAGTTTTGACTTTCTTAGTCTTTATCAGTATTTGTTTACAATATGTATAATTTAGTTCACTCATTAATGAAAATATTTTATGCCATTTATGTAGTGTTTATGATGTAACAAAATTGTTAACAATGATTTCTATTCTAGGCTTGGATAATTCAGTACTTCCTTATGTACATAGTTTTACAAACCATGGTGTTAATGGACAGCAACTGTTAAACTTAAGACCAGAAGATCTAGAGTATCTTGGAGTATTAAAACTAGGCCACCAAGAAATTATTCTTGAAGCTGTAGAATATTTAAGAAATTTTCATTATGAGCTTGATCGTGAAAATTTGCAGTTATTGGCATTACGATTATCTTGTCAATCGCATAGTTTACAAAATGAATTGTCCCGTCAGACAGATTCTAAACCTGTTACCACTCAAACATTATCTGATGTAGCATCAGTTATAATGGCCGTAAAACCATTAGTAAGATGGCTTGATCGTCCTCCTTTTAGTGGCCAGTTAGAATATAATGATAAAAAAGCTGAATTGATGAAATTGGCTTTGGAAATGGCCACATGCGCACAAAGGGATAGATTTGCAGAAAAACCAATAGAAGAGATTAGAACAATTTGTGGGCAATTAGCAAAATTGGCAGATTATATAATACAAGATATTACTGATCCTATGATATTGCAACCAGCTAGTTTAGATTTAGCAACATTAAAAAAAAAACCTGGAGATGATTTAGTAAGTTTTAAATTAATTTTAATTATTTTATCTAGAAGAAAGCAATTTTGCATCTTGCTTCCTCTGTTACAAATATTATACCTTATAATCATTATGGAAATATCTGCTACATCCTCTGCAGATAAAACTAATCATTCAACACAACTTTAACTTCCTGTTTAGATAATTTAATTTCAATAAAGCATAATAAAACTATTTTAACAGAATCCTATAACACTAAAAACTTGTTTTTGTGTATTCTTTTTTTAGGGATTTTATATTTTGCCATCTTTTCATGGGGCTCATCAAATTGCTGAAATTAAATTTGGATCAGCTGCACATCAATGTGGTAAAATGGAAGAAGGGGATGAAATTGTTCAGGTAGTTTTTCTTTTTTCAATTCATTTTTACTTTATTTTGTTTCAAACACTGATGGGCTAATGCGCGCAATATATTTATTAATTTAAATAAATTTTTTTAGGTAAATTATCAGACTGTGGTTGGCTGGGAACGAAAAAATCTTTTGGAATTATTTCGTGAAAGTCCAGCGGAAGTATTATTAACTTTGAAGCGTAGACCAAGGCATACAAAAGTATATGGTCAAATTTACATAAAACCATATAGACTTCCAAGCAATAAAAAAACAACTTATACGACTCGATGGCAGCACAATCTCCCATCACCAAGACCAGAATTATTAACCATACCAGACTTTACAATGCCATTACCAAGGTATTTATTATACATATATGTATGTAAGGAATTATGAGTTAAGAAATATATCATTTAATTTGCTCTTGAAATGATTTAGGCCAAAGAATCCCAGTCCAGAACCTGCAAGTATTTTAGATACTGTCAATATATTAGATACAATGATCATAGATAGTAGTGATTCGGACAGTGAAACAGAACCACCATTATCCATTCGATCATATTCAGCAAAACCAAGAAATTCAGTTCAAAGGCGAGCTACTATAACTGGTGCTAGTCCTACCACTAAACATAGAATTGATATTGAACAGTTTTGGAAAGAACTAAAACAGGAACACAGTACAACTTCTCAATTACGGGATAAAGCAGCATCGTGCGCTCATGGTTTAGATAACGTACCATCTAACATACGACCGCAAACGTGTATAAGTATCGAGCAATGCAAAAGAAAAAAGAGAAACGATGGGCATACTGATGATAAAAAAGAATACTTTCAAGATAAGTCACTTAAATCTGATGTTCTTCAAATAGATAATACGATCGATACCACGCACGAAACAAGAAACGAGTGTAAAGTTGTTCAGAATTGCGAAGATACGTTAGCTATTAGTAACAAAAGTAGCCTTAGCCAAATTTCTCAAATATCTGTTAATGTTACCAATAATAATAATAATAATAATAATAATAATAATAATAATAATAGTAATAATAATAATAATAATGTCAGTGATATAAGTGTGCCTTTAGATGAATGCAACAATTTTATTAGAAATAAACATAGTAATAATAAAAATATACTTAGCGGTAAAGAATCTAATATATCTAATAGTAATGAGCGAGGAAGATTAGATAAATATTACAGTATACCGGCATATGACTCAATGAGCAATGAGAGTGTAGAAGACAGAAAACAAAAATTATTTTGTACATTAGAATCGTCTACCGATAATACAAGTAATGTAAGCAATGTATTTACAACCAAGACTGATAATCATTCAACTTTTGTAAATCAAAAGAAGTTAAAGGATGCAGGTGATCAGAAACAAAATACGCAAGAAAATTTTGATAGTAATATTATTGAAAAAGTTACCGATCCTGATAGGCAAGATAACATAGAAAAGCAATTTGTTGAAACATCTCAAAATTTAGATTCACATAAATTTACAGTATCTAAGATAACTGATATAAATGACAAGAACAATACAGAAACTAACCAAAGCAATAATGACTATTTTATTAATGATCTAAACAAATGTGATAAGAAAAATGCAATGAACAATCTTAATGCTGAATTAGAGGATATATCAAAGTCATGCACCGCTCAAGATCTTGTACACGATTCTATTTCAAGTCATGAAGGTAATGAAAATAATGAAAGTAATTCAAACTCAAAGAAGTTCAGAAAAATCCTTCAAACATTTAATTATACTCCGGAACATACAAAATCAATGGAGAAACAATCTAATTTAACATTAAATGATTTAAATTATACTGAGGACGATACTCAGAGTGTGGTTCCGAACATTTCTCAAGTTCAAACATTTCAAAATATAAAAAATGATACTACAAAAGCTGATGATTTAATTAATCAACGGAAATGCAGTACAGGAACAAAGGTTGAATCTAACAAAAAGCTAGAAGCTAAGCTTCGTTTAATACCACCAGATCCTCCTCCACGTAAATACTATTCAAAGTTAATAGATGGTCCCTCTATAGATAATAGTTCAAAAGTGTTTGAGGAGCAAGAAAAATATTCTGCATCAGACAGGACTAGCAGCAGAAGAGATATAAAGAGACCAGAATTTTATACAGAAAATTATGTAAAAATCAATTCGGATCATCAAGAAAAGCAAGATTTTGAAACTTGTAATCATTTTGCAGAAAGATCAATAGGATTTATTGATGATCCCAATAATTTAAGTAATGAACATAGACCCATAGATTCTTTCTACACAGAATGCAATGATAAGCAAATAAAAGATAATAAATCTACCTGTAATATTTATGAATCTATCGTCGATAAGTCTGCTCATACTAGCTCAACAATGGAATATCATAATTTTGAATCTTGTTCTCAAAATATGGATTCTCCAGATGGTTCATCTTCTTCCAAGCAATTGCAGTTTCTAGAACATAAATTTAAAGTATCCGAGAAAGAGAAAAGTTTTGAAAAAGGTGTGGTTAATAAAGCTATGATGGTAGCTAGGAGTATTGGACTACATGGAAGTTCAAACAAATCATCAAGTAGTAGTCCTAGAAGTAATAGGAAACGGAGTATATTATTTGCCAGTAAGAATCTAACGTGTAATAAAAATTACATACCAGCTTTTTACAAAACTCTGTATTTATTAATGTATTATTTTTTATTTAGGAAAAAGAAGTATTTCTGTTAAAGATATAGGTACAGGTGATTTAGAAGGTTGGTTAACGTACCGTACAAGAGGAGCTGGCGGTGCTTGGGCTAAAGCTTGGTTTATTTTAAAATGTTTCTCCTTATACAGGTACGTTAAATAAATCTTAACATTCGCATATTTATTTTGTAAATACTTATTTAATTCATGTGTACATACAGGTTTAAAGGTCAAAACAGCTTGAAAGCCGATTGTCTTATAGCATTAACGGGATTCACCGTGTCACGAGCTTCTGAAGTAAAGTCAAGAAGATATGCGTTCAAAGTGTATCATACAGGAACGGTATTTTATTTTGCTGCTGATACAGAGGATTCTCTTGCCATGTGGATAGAAGCAATTAATAAAGCAACTTTAGGTGCAGACGGTCATAGTCGAAATAGTGCTCTTTTTAGTGAAACAGACGAAAGCGATGGTGAACAAAAAAATAAAGCTAAACACGTTCAAACACCAGAATATCAAAAACCAAACTTTGAAAAATCATTTGGGTCGTTAAAAAAAGTTGTTCGTAAAGATTCTTCTGCGTACAAGGATCATGAAATTAGCGGTGCTAGTTTAGACCGGAAATATTTAAAATTTCTTGGTGCAAGAAATCACAATGTACCTGTACCAACTGCACAGTTTAGGAGTTATAGAAGAGTACTTCCTACATCTACGCCCAACAAGTAAATAAATTTTATATAAAATATTTCATTTAAAATAAAGATATATATAATATTAATTTTCTTCTTCAGGAAGCAAGATTCTGTTCCAAGTTCACCAGACTTACAAATGACAATTGCAGGAAGTACATTTTATGGATTATGTTCGTCTCACAGTGCTACTGATATGTCAAGTAACACTCAAGACATGGGTGATTACAGACGTACAGCAGACAGGTAACAGTTTATAATTGCATGTTGTAAAGCTAACATTAGTTTTGTTATTCTTGGATATGATATTCAGTTCTAAAAAATTTTATTAAATTTTTAATTATTATCAGTTCATTCGGTATTTTGTTCTTTTTATACATACTAAACGTAATAGATTCTTGATCTTAAAAGAAGTAATTAAAAATATTGTTATACGTTTCATTTTACAATAAACTAATAAAATCAAAATGTTGATTAGATTTATTTTATATGTTTGTATATTTTGTGCATGTTTTTCCTTATTCTAACTATTTTCCTGTACTCTGTCCTTAACTTATCAGTTCTTTATTTTTTATTATATAGAATAAAACAATATTATTTTTAATAAAATTATTAGTGAAACAGCGTTTAATACTTAGGTGTCTTAATAACAGAAGTAGAAGACCCGATGACCTTCAAGGTTTTATTACATTAGAAGAATTTATGCTATCGCAACAAGAAGATCAAAGACAAATAGCACGAAATAGATCTATGTCGCCACGAGTGACACCTTTAAGTAGTGATCATATTCACATTCAACATAGAAGTTTTTATGACAATGAAACGATTAATGAACACGCTAGAGTTGTCACCGATGTCGGCTTCAATAATGATACAACAGTATACTCCCGGAATAAAAGCAACGATGAAACAGTAAATAATAGTACTTTATATGGCCACTCACGAAATATTGATAATATTCATACACGGCAGTCCAGCGGAAATTTCGATTCGGAAAGGAACGAAGGAGAACCATCAAAATCCCTGATCCACAAAAAATCAAACGAATTTGGTTATATGAATAGAAAGAAACCGGTAGATATATTAAATTTTCAACAAATAAAAGCTTGTAATACACATCACTGTAATAATGTTGCAAATGAACAGAAAAAATCAACTTCATTGTGTCATGCTAAAGCAGATATTGAAAAATCTGATAGACAAGTGAACGCTGCTTATGATCATAATAATACAAATTCCTATGCAAATCAAATACAATCTTCAAGTAATCATGAAAAACCATACGATTATCATACACCTAAAAATATCAGTAATTTAATGGAGGATATTAAGTCAATACCAAAACGACTTATCAGAAATGAAGGTAAATTTATGTTTACAAAGGTAAATTAATACAGTAATTACAACAGATACATATTTTTTTGTTTATGTAGGTTCTTCCGGATCTAGTAATGATCTTACAGCTCATACTTCCTATGAAACTTTACAACGTGCAAAAAAAGATGCATCCGTAAGTCGTAAAGGAAGCTTTAACTTGACAAATCGACGTGAACATGTTTCATCTGATAAGCATTGGCTAGATTCTTTACGACGGTTTGATAAGAAAGACGTAGATTATGACAAAACCCGTTTGAAAAATGTAGCGCAGTATCAACCACCTCCTATACCAACTTCACCATTTGAACAAGAAGGGATGACTGCCGCATTTGAAATGCATTTGGATAAGGGTGAACAGGTTCAAAAACCCAATCGTTTGAAAAATTTATTTGGTACTAAATGTCAACAAAAACCGTCTACCCTTGATCTACCTAAGGAAACGCAAAAGACATTACTAGGTAAATTTTGAATCTATGAAAATTAAACTATATTTTTTACATTAAGCTTTATGTAATTTTCTGTAGGATCCCCAAGATTACATAGAGCGTTATTTCGCGATAGATGTTATAATCAATCACGATTGTCCAGTCGATCGAACAATCAAAGTCCTGGTGATAGCGGAATTAATCAATCAGTTAGTTCTTTCAGCGGGAATAGTACTACTCAAACTCTCAATCAAAGTTTTAGTTCAGTTAGCTCTGTTAGCGATTGGAGTCCAGATACTACACCATCGCCGTGTACCCCAAATTTATCATCAAAAGTATGTACTTCAATACAGCGTTAAATACATTTATAACGAAAATAAATTAAAAACAAAATTATTTTTTATAGAACGGTACAAATCATCTATTATACCAAAAAGGACATACATCTACAGGTAGAAATTCGTTGATGCCTCCGACGTTACCTTACATACCACCACCCGATTATCCTGGCCTTGAATATCCACCTGTATTTGAACCTGGTACTTACTCTCTTTTAGATGCTTCGTTACTACGCAATCGTAATAAAAACAGCCGCGATGCTCATTAACTAATGACACAACAACGTAGTTTATTAATCTACACGATAACCAAAGATACTTTGTTTCATTATTCATTAATCAGGTATTTTATAAATGAAATTTATGTTTACGACGCTAAGTATTTTTTGATCAAGTATTGAAATTTAACCGTCCATTTTATAATTATCAAGGTGTTTTTATATAGAAAAAGAAACTTTGAACTATCCACTCAAAAATGATATAAATGATAAAGAAAGTGAGTGGACGACTGGAATTGATAAGATATATCACATTGCCTTTATACGTAATATACACGTTATTCGTATCAAATTTAAAGGAATATATTCCATTTTGTTAGTATCATTGTTCGTAATTATTGTTAGTATAAATGGATAATCAAAAACGTTTTACTATGATGAAGATATTTTAAGAAGTATTAAATCAACTAAATGTTTATTGTAAATCGTATATTTAATCAACTAAGAGATATATTTACACATAGAATATTATTAAGCTATTCTCTTTTTACTTAAAACACCATGATAAGAATATATTGGTATGTTGCCTAATGAAAAGATTTTAAATGAGCAAACATCAATATTGTTTGTGATAATATAATGAAAGTCAATTCATATACATAGTAATAACTTTGAAAGCTGATTTTTATTTTAAATTCTATTAACAAATAGTTCTAAAAGTGAAAGTGTCCTTAAAAAATGAATAAAATAAAGAAACAATAAGTTGCATTTTTACACGTTTAGTAAGTAGATATTGCATTACATTCATTATAATATATGTATATGTCTATACATACACTTATATAACAATATGATCATGTATAAAGTGCCTACATATCTCTATTATATAATTTTTGTATATAATTCAATTTATATTTGAATGATTATGTATCTCGCAGTGCGTAATTTTAATTAATTTGTGCTCAAAATATTATCGAGGAGTGTTTTATATATAGAACTAGAAGTATTAAAGTTATAAATTGTGTATTTTCTCTACTTTTATACATGTATAAATTTTGGATTTCTTAATTTTCAAATTTTTGAAGCACATATAAATAAACATTACAAAGTATTTATATGTAATAAAGGTCTGGCTATGAATTTTACAAACTATTTGCTTTTAAGAATTAGTAAACGCAATACAGCAATTGTATGGTATTAAGTATATTTAAAAATAACATTAAATAAATTATTGAATAATTTTGTAATATGTATAATAATAGTTTTGAAAAAATATATTCTCTTTATTATGAAATTATCCCTCGGCTGGTCAAGTATATACGTTAATTCTTTATCTTTTCCTTTTTGTAATTTAAATCTCATCGATTTAGGAACAATAAAGAATATCGATAATCGAAACTATCGAAGATCGTTTCAACTTCATACATGAACCAGTGAACTAGTAAATTTCCGAAATTGTTTTGTAAACTGTATACATACTGAATGTGCACTTTGTGTGCTCTGTGATTTCAAAGGAAAGTAATAGTTTAATTATTCCGAGGGATTGATAATATTACGGTTAGTAAAGAATAATTTATAATTAGATTTTAATAATTTCAGTTAACAAAGTTTGAAAAATAGAAACTCAACACGGACTAATATAAAGTGAATAAAGAATTGTAAAATAAATATTTTTCTTTAACTTATAGAATTTCTGCATACATATTTATATAAATAGACTGGACACGTGTTATATATACAATATACATACACATGTGTGTGTAAATAGACTTTGTGAAAAATAAAATAGAAATAATGCAAAACATGTCAGATCCAATTGATTTCATTGACTTAACAGTAGATTCCCCAAAGGAAAAATATTTAAAATCACGAAACAAAAACGATGAAAATATATCTAATAATAGTACAACAAAATCAAAAAAGTATAAGTCATCTAAACAACAGTTAACTGAACTTTATGATTCTGTGATGTATGTATTAATTTATTATTATATAAAGTATTATTTTACAGTCAAAAAATAAATGTATGTAATTTTTTAATAAATCTTTATAGCGAGATATCAATTGGAAGTACTTACAAAGATGTGGAAGCAATGGAAATCATAGATGTAGATAATATTAAACCATCAAAACAGAATGCAATATGTTATGATTCCACCCAAGGGAACTCGATTATGTTAACTTGTCCGATATGTTTTGAAAAATTATCTTCTAAAATGAAACCAATGTCTACTCGTTGTGGACACATATTTTGTGCACATTGTATAAAGCAGGCATTACGTCTAACTAAAAACTGTCCAACCTGTAAAAGAGCTTGCAAATTCCAATCATGTACCCGTTTATATTTTTAACATTTAGTTTTTAGTTGTGTTTATTTACTTAATCTTCCAATTTTCTATATATATACATGTATGTATCACTATTATTAAACTCAAATTTAAGTGCATAAATTATTTAAATGATAAAAAAAATAGAAAATTATGATATTTTTTGATGAAATTAAAATCCCATTCAGACATAAAGTATTTATTTTTAATTATGTAACATTATTAATTTTAAGTTTCTTCATACTTTATTTTCAGTAATATAAGATTCATTAAGATACATTTAACACGTCGAATGATCAATTTAAATTTTCAGTTGAAATAGTAATTCAAATATATCATTTGAACATGTTTTGCTATAATATAAGTTTAGTGTTTACATTTCATTATCACCTTAAAATGCCTTTAAACTGTCCTTAGTGTATTTAGAATATTACAGAAAGTAGTATCTTTTGCATGCTTTTATTAATAAAGTTTTACTATATAATTGCATATTCAATTAAAATTGAAAAATGTTTAAGAAAAAGAAAACACAAGATGATAATAATGCGACATATTTTATTGGAGGTACTGCAGTAGGAATGGCTGGTAAGTGTTATTTTACCTATTATTTCATACTAAATTTATATTATACATTTATCATTTATATTTACAGCTGGCCTGTTACTTGGAAAAGTACTTTCAAGAACATCAATTGTAAGAACTCAAAATTTTGGTAAGTTTCCTTTAACATTTTAAATTAAGTATAAAAGATTTAAATTATTATTAATTATATTCTTTACTAATTTTGTGTAGAACTTGAAGCTCCTGTCAAAAAAAGTACAAATAAGGATAATAAAGAACAGTCTAAAGAAGATCCAACACCCACAACTTCTTTTGAGGCAATGAATAGTGATTTCGAGAATAATATTAATGATTTAGCTGTACAGAAAAAGTACAACAAAAATCTACAAAAAGTACTTTACAATAATAACAATCGCATGTTACATAATATAAGTGTGGAAGATAATATTGGATATAACTTATCTAGCAAAATCTACTTAGAAGATTGTAAAAAAGAAAAGAAAGATATCATCTGGCAATTTTCTGAATCTAGTAGCGTAAAAAGAGAACCATTCTATGTTGATGAACTAGAATGTAATGCAGAATATGATACAAGAGATAAAGATTATTCAGAAACAACAAATACTAAAAATTCTAGTAATTCAAATAAAAAAAATACATTGAGGCAAGTAACCGTTCATAAAAATATAGAATTATCAGAAACATTTAATAACTTGTCTAATGATTTTTATAATAATAATAATAATACTATTTACGAAAATCTACCAAACATAAAACCTTCTATGATTAATCTGAATATATTACCAAGTTATTTAGTAAATGCTAGTAGTATGGCCACATGTAATGATACATTTTTACAGTTTGAAGATGAAGAAGATGATAAAATTGTTAGTTACAAATCCTTTGATGAATTTAATGAAATTGATGTACACTCGTCTACGAAACAAAATTATTTAGAAAATTAAATAAATAATTACTACTATAAAATTAAGAATTTATATAAACATAGATATTATTATACTTCTTTGTATCATTAATACTAAAAGAATATGTAAATTGCATAACAATAAAACCAATAAACTGTTTAATGTATGTAATTAAAATGTATGTTCGTTGTTTAAAAACCGTGCTTGTTATAAACTAAATTCAAACTGAATCCTGTTCATTGGCGTAATAATGTTCAATGCCATTTCTGAATAGAGGATTGGTCAAAGCTATACATACACCACGCCTACATTCTACGTTATGGCGGCGCACCAAAGAAATAAGATACACAGTCTGTTATGAAGGAAGGACTAAGCTATGTAATCAAGTCTATAATTGTGATAATTTGGAATATTAATGTGGTTATTGAAACGTGTTTAAAAAGTGAACAGTGATAAATCGGATACGATATTTCAAATCATTTTAACGTCAAATTGTGAAAGATAATTAATTTACTGCAGTGAATACGACTTTCCTATATTGTGTCATTGACTCGAGTCGAAGTGTCAAAATCGTCCTAACTTGTTTTCTGAAAATCTAATCAAGATATTTACCGAAAATTTGTTTATTAAACATCGTTCAGTTGTTTAAAATGAGATCTAAACAATATATTTCTTGGCTAATCATTGTTATTAAATAGACAATTTTGCTTCTACTATAATTTACACGGAAATGAAAAGATGTATGTGACGCTAATGCTTTGTTTTCTTTTTATCGAAAAATTTTCGTTACAAATCTCACGTTTATTTAGTGATTTTGATCAAATGTATACAGTGCAACATATCTCATCATTGTAAATAATTATTCTATATTGTTTCTTTCATGCTCATCTGAATTTTGTTAATTTCAATGTCGTGTAGATCAAAATCCATTGTTCAGTTTATTTTAATAATTTAACATTCTTCAAGTTCATTGATTGATTATTAACGAGAAATACATTTTTTATATATTCATTTAATGTTTTATAATTGTGAATACATACGATTGGTATCAATAAACATTCATGTTCTTTATTTTTAGTATATTTATCGTTTGATAATTTTTGTATACCTATAATTTTACATAAATATTTCAATTTTATAATGCTTGGTAAAATATAATTTCAGGTTTTTATATGTATATTAAAGGTACATGTTAAATAACATAATGAAAGACTTTTTCATGTAATTACATATTGATTTGCAAAATATGATACCACTGGAACAAAATTACAGAACATTCAGTAGGATGTGTTTATTTAATGTTGTTTATCATTGATCACATCTTTACTGAGGCCAGAGAGTGATGCCGGTTCATCAGATCAATGTTAATCCGCCTGACTGGCAACCACCTCTGTCACTTGGTCCTTCCAATAATAATAGCCCTGCTGGTGGTGAAGGTTTACCAGAATGGACACCAAGGGTAACTTGATTCATTTTTTTTTTTAATTTTCTTCTAAATTAATAATGATATTTCTGAACAGATATTTAATAAAGTATTAATTTTATAGGAATCAACATATGCAACAGTAGTTACCATTATACCAGATCATTGTCATTCATCTGTCAGCACATTGTCTTCAAGCAATCATGATATTTGTAGGTAAGTATAAAATCTTGTATAAAATATTTTATCAATAGCTCATTAAGGATACAGTGAGTATGTGTTTTACAGAATATGTCACTGTGAAGGGGAAGAAGGTGCTCCTCTTTTAGCACCTTGCTACTGCAGTGGCAGTTTACGTTATGTACATCAAGCTTGTCTTCAGCAATGGATAAAAGCTTCGGACACACGTGCTTGTGAATTATGTAAATTCACATTTATTATGCATGCTAAAACAAAGCCATTTTGTGAGGTATAAATTTTGTATAATCATTGTGTATACTTTTTGTATACTAATATAATAAAAAGAAAACAATGTAGAGTAATAAATCATAATTTTCAGTGGGAAAAACTTGAAATGTCTGCTCTAGAAGTTCGCAAATTATGGTGTACAGTTGCTTTCCATGCAGTAGCTGCACTTTGTGTGGCTTGGTCTTTATACGTACTTGTTGAACGATCCGTAGAAGAAGCTCGACGTGGATACGTAGACTGGTCTTTCTGGACTAAACTAATAGTTGTTGTAATTGGTTCTACAGGAGGCTTAGTTTTTATGTACATTCAATGCAAATCGTACATTACACTATGCAGAAAATGGCGAGCATTCAACAGGTAAATAACACATTTAGAAATTATTTCATTTTTTTTTCTTTTTAAATTAAACATAAGTATTTAATTATAACTCAATAAATAACGTTTTTCAGAGTAATATTTATTCAAAATGCTCCTGAGAAAGTGGTGCTTCCTCCCTCACCTACAGATTCTTTGAGAGAAGTAACATTACCTCTAAAGGATCCAACTGCCTCTATGCCTGAGCTCAATCATACTTTATTACCCCGTAACATAGACCCTCCATGTGCCTCGCAGATGGTGAAACCAGATTCTGCCGCGCCTCCTCAAAGGCACGACGCTCAATTGAAACTTTATGTATTTGATAAATTATCCTCATCCGAAGATAACTTGTAATACGATTGGGGTGTAATACAGATGGCTGCTAATTGTGTATTAATAATTAGCAAAACATGTAATGCAAGTATAAACATGTGTCTAGAAGAAAACTATAATTCTAGACTACAATACGATTTCGAAAAATCGAAATTTCTATTTCAAAACTGTCAGATGTCCGCCCTTATGGAGCACATTTATCTGAAATCTAGTACTTCAGTGCTTACATTGACAATGGGATATTTGAAAATGTTTAACCATCAGGCTAAACATTTTCTCTGACAATTGTGTACATAATTATTGTATCTGTGATGTTATTAAATAAACTTTACCATATTTAAACAGTACCGTTCATCTGTGAAATAAGCAGTAGATACAATCTACAGAGTAAACTTTGTGCAGAGAATCTGTTTGGGAAGCTATCAAATCGGAAACCTATTTGTGACCCCGGTTCATAGGATTCCGGAGGAGAGTACTAGGAGATAAGGATGAAAATAAACAAGAACTAATTTTAGGTATTTTATTTAGGTATTCATTTAAAAACAAATGCCAATTTTAATGCGTTTTATCGTCGAACTTGTCTCGTCGAATACCATAAGGCATAAGCGATGGACAGATTCTGTATATACATATATTTACTAATAGTATTATTTTTATTGTTTGCGTAAAGGGTTCGCTTTTTTAGGTAGTAAAGAGTAGTGCCAGGTAGTGCAGGATAATTCTAAAATCACCGTAGAGTGTGCAACAATAGAAGCGTTGGGCGGGGTCGGTATTTCAGATCGTCTGAACGAACTTTCATAAGGTGAGTGATCTATCCTACATCTTATCCATGGTGATACTTAATTTTATACATCCGGTCATTTTTATTGAGACGTAACAAAATTGCAAAACATTATAAATAATTAGTACTAATGTTATCGTTTGTTAATAAAACAATTCATAATGTAATTTTCTGGACAAGTTTATCTAAAATATATTTCGTTTAAAAGTTTTAATATATAAATCTGTATATTCTTTTCGAAGATTAGTTTTAGTTGGCACCACCAGTCTTCCGGAATGTAGTTGCAAGTATACGAATGAGTGAACTGGTGAGCATCATCAAGCATCAGTTAGTTAAAATCCTGTCCTGAGGTAAGTTGTCCGATTGTAATCCACAATTATTTATGTATTAAATATCAATCCATTTAGAGAACGTGTTTAATTGTATTGAAAATAATCTCAAATTTGTTTAATGTTTAGTAGTTTTGTTGTTGGGTACGTTGCATTGCGAAAATATATGACGCAAAAATATTTATCTTAGGATTCTCACATGAAAAACGTGAATCGACTTACAAATTGTAAATTTATATAATTTATGATAATTTATATGTTTGCACATAATTAATATTCACTTGTAAAATAAATCTATAATAGAAATTTCAGTTTTGATCTCTTTTATTATTCTGTAACGCTGATTTTCTTCATTGGTAACTATATAATATAGCGTCGCTAAAATGGCGGTTACATTACGAGCATAGGCTCGAAAAAATCGTTATCGCAAGCAAACGAGAAATTCAATAAATGTTGTATTTTCCGCTATTAATAAAAATAACTTTTCCTTTTACTTGTATTTGCTATTGAAATAAAAATAAAAATCTTGAAAGAAGGTACAAAGTTATTAAATGTAAAATATATATATATATGTTAATTTAATTTTATCCAAAGACGAAAGTGAAGTGTAAATTTGATTACAAATTATAGCATTTATTAATGTATTTTATATATCTATACATATTTATTTAGTATTTCTAAAATTTCAGCAATAATCCAAGATCATATCGGTATAAGAATGGCGGACAATGATGATCTTTTGGATTATGAAGATGAGGAACAAACCGAACAAGTAGTTGATGGAAGCGGGGACATACCTGCTAAGAAAGAAGTTAAGGGGACATATGTATCTATTCACAGTAGTGGATTTAGGGATTTTCTTCTGAAACCTGAAATATTACGTGCAATTGTTGACTGTGGTTTTGAACATCCTTCTGAAGGTAATATTATTAATTAATTAAATGCTGCAAGTACATGAAATATTTGTACCAACTATGATGATAACAGATAGGGACAACTGATTGTACATGACTGATAATCAAGTGATTTATCACCACTGATATGCTTATTATGTAAACTGTTTTTAAATCCAATATAAAATATATTGAATAACTCAAAAGTATTATTTACAGTACAGCATGAATGTATTCCTCAAGCAGTGCTTGGCATGGATATATTATGTCAAGCAAAATCTGGTATGGGAAAAACAGCTGTATTTGTATTAGCAACACTGCAACAATTAGAGTTAACTGAAAATCAAGTTTATGTTCTTGTAATGTGCCACACGCGGGAACTTGCTTTTCAAATCAGCAAGGAATATGAAAGATTTAGCAAGTACATGCCTCATGTAAAGGTAAATTATATAAGAATAATATTTTTTTCTGATCTATTGCTTTATAATAATTTTTGGAAATCAATTAAATTTGCGTTAAACAATCTTCATATGATGATTAATTATCTTACTAAATAATGGTGACATTCATTATACTACCACCCAACGCTGATGAAGATTCTATTATCGTTTATTAATAAAATTTATATAAAAAATAGTATTTCTTATATTCTATAATGTGCTGAAATATAACAGGTTGGAGTATTCTTTGGTGGCTTGCCAATTCAAAAAGACGAAGAAGTATTAAAGAACACATGCCCTCATATTGTTGTGGGTACACCAGGTCGTATCCTCGCTCTCGTACGAAATAAAAAATTGAACCTAAAGCATTTGAAACACTTTATTCTTGACGAGTGTGATAAAATGCTTGAATTGTTAGGTAAGTGTATAATGTTTTACATATGTATATGTATATAAATTTTTATAATATAAATTGTTAAATTTGTTTATAGACATGCGTAGAGATGTACAGGAAATATTTAGAAGCACTCCACACGGCAAGCAAGTCATGATGTTCAGCGCTACATTGTCCAAGGAGATACGTCCTGTCTGCAAAAAATTTATGCAAGATGTAATTAACCAATCTTCCTCTTCACTTCGAACTTCGATTGCTCCTACTTCGTTGGCCCTGTATTCATACCCAGGACAAAGCTCAGACCATACTCTAAATATTGTTGACGGCGCACCCGCGGGTTAGGCTAGTTAGACAACACTTTGAAGAAGTGACACAGAATTCAATAATGAAAAAAGCCCCTCGATGTCTTTGGATTTCGATCGAATATCAAATTCGACAACTTGAACGTAAATCGAGTTTGCTGCTCCAAAGTTTTCCTCCATATTACCGGATGACCGGATATCTACTCATAAAAAGAAACGAAATCTTCGTTTAAAGTCGTTTCTCAGATTAATCAAGATGACGTTGGTGATACTTAAAAAAAAAAATTTTATTTAGTTTTGATCTTCAATGTTCAAATCTTTTAATTGTCTGCTGCATATTGAAGGTTCAAAGAAACGTTCGGTATAAATATTACACAAATGTTGGGAAACGTCATATCTTGGGACGGGTTGGGTGGAAAGAATTTGTGCAATTTATATGGGCAATGATATTGAGGCAGGTGCAAGGGACGGGTAGAGTTTTAAACGAGTTAGAGCAGCATTTGGGAGCACGTGTTTCAATTGGGTGGGGGGCTGCGAAGACTTCAAGACAACCTGAAGACAGAAGAACGCAAGAAAGAAGATGCAAGAGGATATGTGGGATATTGGGGTTAGATAGGATCGAGCATTGCTGCAATTAAATGTGGCATATGTAGAGAATTTATTCGCGTTCGTCTTATCTGTTATTGAAACAACACATTTTGATATTTTGAAAATGGCTAATGGAGGTCAATTAAGTAGGAGTGAAATTGGACAGCAATGGAACTGTTGCACACATGTTTCGATCGTGGCTGTCTCTATATGTGAAAAGAAAGAGCATAAATCAATTTGTGTATCACGAGATAATTAAGTCGCGGTGTTAGAGAATCCCAGAAATACCACCAATAATTGAGACCAATTCTGGGCATATTCTGAATGTACCAGAATTTGGGAGAAGATATTTGGCATCGAGTGGCCAGCGGATATGTGACAGAACATTCATGGGGGTGCGCCATCTTAGTTCTGTTGGGGTGACTGCTGAGTTTTCGTTGTTGGCACTACCCAGAGATGGAAGTCGCCGGACCGTATGTAACCTGTATGACTAATCCGATCGACAAATAAGTGCAAAAAATGAGAGCTCAAGCGGAAAGTTCTTTAAACCATCTAATGCATTTTAGTTATAGTTACTTGACATGAAACTGTCGTTATCAAGGAAGCAGGAGAAATTAGGAAATTTATAAAAAGAAATACTCTACACCTTCGCATCATTGGTTTCATTTTTTATTTATATATATATATATATACATTTTTTTTTCTTTTCTTTTTTTTTTTTAAATTTTGGTTTATTCGTTTCATGCCTCAAAATTATTTATTTTCTGATAACATTTGTCTGTATCCAATTATCAATTACATTTACAAGAACTTCAACTGGTATTGAAGTTTCGTTTGAAACGGCATTTATATAGAGTCTAAAATTTAAAAGGTTTAATTACTGTTAGGGTAAAATAGATAATCCTGTAAAAACAATTCTTTGCGCAGCCCATGGAAGTCTATGTGGACGATGAAGCGAAGCTCACATTACATGGTCTACAACAGCATTATGTGAAACTCAAAGAAAATGAAAAGAACAAGAAGCTATTTGAATTACTTGATGTTCTTGAATTTAATCAGGTTTGCCTAGAGAGATATAGATTACACTATATTATTATTACATTTTCATTTGAAAATTTCAATAATATATTTAGCTACTGCAATTTTCTCCTTTATGTTATATTATTTCTATAGGTTGTTATCTTTGTAAAATCTGTACAAAGGTGTATGGCTTTGGCACAACTATTGACCGAACAAAATTTTCCCGCCATTGGTATTCATAGAGGAATGACTCAAGAAGAACGATTATCGAGATACCAGCAGTTCAAAGATTTTCAAAAAGTAAATATATTAAATATATCGTTCTATTTGATATTAGTGGTAATTTAAACATAACAGATTATACGGATTCGAAAATAAGTAATTGATAATTTCAGAGAATTCTTGTAGCTACAAATTTGTTCGGACGTGGCATGGATATCGAACGTGTAAATATAGTATTCAATTATGATATGCCAGAAGATTCGGACACATACTTGCATCGTGTAGCTAGAGCTGGTCGTTTTGGTACTAAGGTTAATATAAATATTTTATAATTTGTCTTCCTTCATACGTACATTATTTTATTAACATTTTATTCCTGTTTACAGGGTCTTGCAATTACATTAGTCAGTGATGAAAGTGACGCTAAAATATTAAATGACGTACAAGAACGATTTGATGTTAATATCACAGAATTACCGGATGAAATAGATTTAGCTTCATATAGTAAGTGCATTGTATACAGTTTTAAAGTAAAAGTAATTAAACTGTTGAAAATAACAAATTTTCTGTATTACAGTTGAAGGACGATAAATATAATTCCATTTTCAAAACATAAGTTATGAATTTCATTCAAGTAAGTATGATTAAGTTGTTAATTTTCTATTATAGATTTACTGAATATGTTTTTTACAGGTACACAAACTGTAACACTCCACTTATCATTGTGCATCCGCATTAAATATAAGTCATATTTTGTATAAATTTACACAACTTCTTTTCCATTGATCTGACAAACTTCAAAAATAAGTGACGTAATCGAATTATTATAGCTGAATTATTATTCTTTTAATAAATAATTCATGTTATCACTGTATAATAATATTTAATTTTTACTCCACGTTTAGTCGCTAAAACTGGTGTGTATAAATAGCATTAAGAAATTAGATTTTACGCGTGTCTTCTCTTTTATGTAAATGAAATAAATATTTTTTCTTTTATAAATAATAACTAATACTTTTATACTAAATGTTGTACTACTAAAAGAAATTTCATTAATCAAGTAAAATGAGATAAAAATCATAGGACTATATTAAACTTAATTTACAACGAAATTTCAAGTTATTTAGTCCTTGTTTTATTTTGTGATTTATTTCCACCTTGATTTCCGCCACGACCAAGAGATGCAGAACCCCTTCCACCACGACCAAAGGTACCTACAAAAAGTGTATTCACTGTAAAAGTGTACATAAATGTTATATTAGTAATGTAAGAACTGAATGTATCATTGTACCTCTTCCAGTACCCCGACCTCTTTGGTTTTGCCCTCTGCCTTTCATTTCTCCGCGTCCTCTGGATTTCATCTGTACATCTTCCTTCACCATATCTATAACTTCATCAGGAATGCGTAAGTATTTGATTGTGCTACCCCGAATATAACATTCTGGCATTCTCCAAAATTTATCTCCATCCTAAGGAACACGTTGAATGACTATATTACTAATCCGAAGGTTATTTATTTTTATATTAATAAAATGAAAAACTTTAATTTTAAGTAACTTATTATTACCGTACCCTAGATGTGCATATAACCTCTCTGAGATTTATATTCATCCAACTATCACAGCTCACTAAGTGTCCATTATATGTTTCACCATTTTTTAATTCAACTAGCTGTAAAACGTAACGTTAAAGTATTTAAATGTAACATTAAATGTTAACTAATATATATATATATAAAAAAATGTTTTGTTTCAGAACATACCATAGGATGATTTTGTGCTGTTCTCAACAATGATAAAGGTAACTGAAAAAATTAAAGTATGTAATAGAACGTAACTGGAATACTGATATATGTTTTTCTTAATTAATATTAGACTTACCATTTTTCACCACTTTATTACATGTATTTCACAATAAACATCAACAAACTGTTCGAAATAACGTCTATGAAAATAATCAGTGTGACCAGCGTCACGATATTTGGGAATACTAGGAGAGACATGAAAAAACGTGTAACGTCCTGAAATATCTCATTTTGTCCCCATCACTAGGAAATGGTGCTCACTAAACTATATTGAGTGTATGTACTCAATGACTTATCCATATTTAACAGTCGTTGCACACCTTACATGTGTTAATCATGGGTTCCAAAACATAACCATGGATTTAAAATAAAATAATTAAACTATGATACTATAATTTTTTAACTGTACAGCATATGATATGGCATAATCATTATGTATATTAAAAAGTTAAACAGAATACTTCTGTCATCTTTTAAAGGAAAGATACATAACAAGATTGATACCGATATCCGAAGATCACATACATTACCTCAGAAAGGTCCATGGAAAGTATTATTTTTTGGCACAGATGAGTTTGCAGTTGAAAGTTTAAAAACGTTACATAAAATATAGTAAGCTTTTTCTTACAGCATTATATACATTTTATACACTTTTCATATGTGGTATTATAAAAAAAATATATATGTTACATATAGTGAAACAAAAGTTTTGCAACGATTGGAGGTTGTTACTGTTGCTAATGCAAAAGAAAATGCTGTAACTAAATATGCAAAAGAGAACAGAATCACTTTGAATAAATGGCCAACTGAAGAAAGCATTTCTGATTTTCATATTGGAGTAGTTGTTTCATTTGGTCATTTGATTCCATCTAAAATTATAAATTCATTTCCATTGTAAGTTATTTTTCTAAGGTAATATTAATTTTTCACTGGTTTATATAGTAAAGTAGTATTTTTTGTTTAGATTAATTTATATTTATTAATATTTTTAGAGGTATGTTAAATGTACATGGTAGTTTATTACCACGATGGAGAGGAGCAGCACCATTACCTTATACGCTAATGAATGGAGAATTACAAACAGGAATTACAATAATGAAGATAATGCCAAAAAAGTAGAGATTATTGTAATTTTTTCACAAATATAATTTTTTGCCTGTTTGTATACTTTGAGAAGATCTAAATCTGTATATAAATTCATGTTAGCTCAAGAATAAAGTTAATAATGCTCCTCAAAATATACAAACAGAGATGAAAACATTTTAATATATACGTTATAATATTTAAAAAATTAAATTACTTAAGATTTGATACAGGGCCAATAGTACTACAAAGGCAAGTAAATATTAGCGAAGATGAAACCTTGCCAGAATTAACTTCCAAACTAGCCAAAATTGGTGCAAATCTTCTAGGAGAAACATTTGATAATTTACCAGAATTAATACAGTCTGCAAAACCTCAAGATGAAAAATATGTAACATATGGTAAATACTGTTATAGCATTTATAAGTTATTTATCTGATAGTAAATATGCAGCAAACTTCCAATCCGTATTTTCAGCGCCCAAAATAACACCAAAAATATCTATAATCAACTGGAACGAAATGTCTGCAAAACGTATTTACGATTTACACCGTGCCCTTTTAGGATTATATCCTTTAACTGCATTCTTTCAGGATTTGAAAATAAGATTATTAGATGTTAAGAAAATAGAAGCTACCTCACTTGGTACACTGATCACTAAACTCGAAGGAGAAATGCCAGGTAAAAGTACTATTTTGTATTTTGTGCTTATAGCAAAATAATGAAAAATAAATATTAAAGTTTTATTTATTGATTTAAAAAACTTCATATTTTTAGGAACTGTAGTGTATGATAAGAAAAAAGATGCATTAATTGTAAAATGCAAAGATGAAAGTTTTATTGCTGTAAAAAAGGTAATTATTGAAGGTAAACGTTGTATAAGTGCTAACGACTTCCGTAACGGTTTTATAGCTGCTAAACGTAAAAAGAAAGAATGTTTTTCTTGAATTAGGTCTCTCAAAAATGAATATTAAATTATATAAAAATGCATTTAATGAATTACTTGATAAATAAATTAAAAATGATTCGTTTTAAGTTACAGTTTATCGGAAAATTAAGATGAATTTTAAATGTACATAATTGTTTAAAAATTTTTCTTACCTTTATGAATATATACAATGCATATCTTTGTATATGAACAAAATATAGAAATTGTGTAAAATTAAGCAGAGAAAAAGTTAATTGAAAATAAATACTAAAAAAATTTCAGTATGTATTTTCAAAAGACTTTTTTTGTAGTTAAAGGAAGAAGTTTGTCTGTATTCCGTATATTTTACAAAAAACATAATGACATTTAATGTCTTAATTCATTTAAACGTAGAATTATAGCTGCAGACATAAAATTTGTTGATATTAAGTCTCAGATTCAGAGGCCTGAAATGAAAGAAATATTTTTACTATTACAGATTCTTTCTTTTATTGAATTATGTTAGCTTCAATATATATTCCTAGTGACAATTTTTAGATCAAAGGTAAAAGTTATCCATAAATAAGTTTTAGTCTAATTTGTTGCTTTGGCTGCTTCAAAATTATACGAAGTGTAGATGTATTTTCCATCTTTTATGAAGAATTGTTCCCATTTTCTTATAAAAGTGAGATTTAAAAGTTTTTTTTTTTTTTATTTTTTTTTTTCGTATTAATAACTAATTGCCATTCAGTATTTCGTAAATGGAACGTTGTATTCGATTATTTAATAAATAAAGATGGCACAGCTTTTACTGAAAATAATTAGTTAACGTTAGCAACTAGTTATTAATAAGACTGTTTGTTCTATATATTTAAAATCATTGAACAAAATTTGATTTACACGTATTTAACATTAAAGTACTTTATATTTTGTCACATATTCTAATTCTCATATAAATTAATACTTGGTATCTTTATTACTTTTTTTTTACTTTGACTAAATAAAAAGTACCTTAACAATAAATTTTGGGTCCAGATTGCAATAAACGTTGAAAATGAAAATTGATTAACTTACACTAGGATCGCAGTCTGCACAATGCCAAGAATAGCCTCTTCTTTTGGGAGATTTTTTAACTGGTGGATCAAGACAGGTGAAGTGGTAGCATTTTTTACATTCGTCACACCTAAAATAAAAAAATTTTTTAAAACATACATTTAGATTATGCGTGGCATATTAATAACATATTCGTATCAACTAACATGACAAGATTTTGACTGGTACCAGGCATATCACAGACATTACAATGCGTTAAAAGATCTGTATCTTTTCCTTTTTTTCCATTTCCTGTAGATGTTCTACTATTTGTACTATTAGTAGATACATTTGCTGTTGCGGATGCGGTATTAGAAACTAAAGGTGGGGCAAGTGGAGGTGGCAATTTTGGGGGTGGTGGTGGCGATGTAATTTCAGTGCTAGTAGACGTGGCGATAAACATTTGTGGGCTTGATTCAGACGCTACGTCCCCTTCCGGTCTTGGAATTGGTTTTATCTGTGACATAGAAATTCTAAGTTTAAATCATAAAAATCTTCAGATATATACTAATTATTTATAGATAGTTGTATACCTTTATTGTAATTCTTCTGTGGATTTCTGGCTGACTTTGACCTTCTGGATTTTCCACATCGAGACTTTTCCTCTTATGCTTTCGTTTTCTTTGCTTTACTCCCGTGATTGGGTCAGGAGTATATCTTTTATGCTTCTCTCTAATGAAACAATATCAAATTCTATATTCCATATATTTATTTAATAAAACACCTTACAAACCTTCTTCTTTTCTTTGCACTCCTCTGTGAAACAGACTCTGTACCATCCGCCGAAGCTACCATATATTCAGGTGAACCTTCCCGTGTCGGTATTGCTACATTATTAACAGATTGCTGATTGTACACTAAATCATTTGAATGAATGGATGCTGAAGATGGAGGTTGTGGCCCAACTGGTTTTATAGTCACCTATACAGAAGATAGTTTGTTAAAAATAATAGTACTGCATTATTATAATCGTACGAGAACAATAGTAGTTACTTTTGGTGTTGTTGGTGTATCAGATGCTGTGGTATTTGTCACGTTACTAAGATTAGCAGAAGAATTTTTTGATGTGCTAGGCGTTGTTGGCGTTGTAGGCATTTGCACTTCCTGCGGTGGTGTCGGTGTTAACGTTAAATTTGAATCATCTTTGCAATGTCTTAATTTACGTGGTGCCGATGTATCAACGCGTTCAACGTCTGATCCCGATGATTCCTTGTCACACTCAGAACATTGCCTATATTATAAAAATAAAGATTATTTAAAATGTTATACATATAATACGTTTTAAATATAATTAATAATATACACACATGATAATAATGCACATACCATCCCATAAGTTTTGTTTTTTTAGGCATACGAGATAAAGGTGGACTAAGACAAGATAAATGATAGTGAAGATGACATGTATCACATTTTGCAAGTAAGTGTTGATTCGTGGATCTTCTACATATCCCGCATTGATGTCGCAATGTCAATTCACTTTTGTGGTTTTGATCTTGAGCTTGACTGCTCAACACTCTACCTTCGCGTATTCCTTCGACTCCTTTACCAACCGGTAAAGGAAAACCAACCCCCATTTTCAAAGCAGCTGCAGTAGGTACGCCTAAACCTGTACCTATTTGAAAAACCATGATACATTTGTACATATTAAACACACGAGATTTAACTTACCTAGTGTTGGTGCTATTCTTGGTTTAGCCAAATCAGTTATTTGTGGTAAAGGTTTCACATAACCGCTATTTTGAAGCAGCAGATGATACATTTCTATTTTTTCCTTTAACGTTACATTCACGCGAATTTGTTCTTCGTTATCTTTCATTACTTCGTCATATTTTCTATCTAACCTTTGTTGTTCGTTCAGTAGTTGAGAATTAATATCAAGAAGTTCTTGCAGTCGTCTTTTCATAGACGTTACTCGTAAATTTCGGTCTAAATAATAGCCGATAAATTCCACACTAAAAGCAGGCGGAATGTGCCATTTCTTTCTCACGTCGACTAAAGCTACAAGTTGTGCTTCTTGCGCTTCTAATGCAGCTGTATCAACTCCCATGAGTTCTGCCTTTCTTGCTAACTGTCGACATGCAGAAGCAGATGTTGTTAACAACCGAGGCATTTTTTGAGTTGGTACTAAAAATATAATATAAATATTTTACATAATACCTAGTTTCATTTTTATAAACATTTGTAATAATTAACTTACCCCATGGTGGTGGCCTAGATGCTTTATGAGCTAAATATTTATGTCTATGTTTCGCTAATTTTCTTTGTATTCTACGTTGTTCTTCAGTATCTAAATGATTAGGTTGTTTTAACAACTGTTGACGGTACTGGGCTCGTAATTGTAGCGCTAACCAATTACGCCTACGTCTACGAACAAGAGTTTTGTCGGAATGAAGTTTACAGTGTGCATAAAATGGATCAGCTTGGTCAACTTCTTCGCTATGGGCTTCAGACAATAAACCTTCTCTTTGTGCACTAAAAAAGAACATGCGATTATATTGACTATTTAGGAAGCTTTGTATCCTTTTATTTACTTACCAGGTAACATGAAAATATGTGTGACACATTCCTGCATCGCATTCTATGCATACACCGGTACGAGCAAAAGACGCATCCTCGCACAAGGAACACTGTTTTGCTCCCCATTTACTATATGCCATTTCAAAGAGCGTCACACTCGATAAACGATCAACCTAAAATAAGCACGTATATTTTAAGATATTCTCAATTTACAGATAATAAACATTAAAAGCTTACATACTTCTCCAAAAGCAACACCAGGTACATAAAGTGCACATACTAAATGAACCCATTTGCCTACATCAGTCTCCTTAAAAATTCCACCTTTATTAGGGCAAAGCTCACAGGAAGGATCTTCAATGCCTGCGCTACAAGCTTCACAAAACCATGGTGCTGATTGACACAAAGAATCAGTACTTGAAAAACTTTCTACATCAGATACACCGTAACATCCTAAAATAAATTTCATTATAAAATAATGAAATATTAACCAAGTAGTGGATTATATCATATAAATTGTTACCTTCATGTACACTAACACCACATCCATCACATTCAACAATTTCGTTAACATCATCACTTCTGTCTCCAAGGCAACCACAACAAATTAACATTTTATTTAATTTATCTTCAAGCGAACCTCCTTTTAGTGCCTGTTGTCTAGCTTGTTCAATTACATCCCCCACAGTTAAGCTAGGATTTTCTCTCTTATTTAACAATGGATCCTCTAAGGAGTCATCAGATTCATCCGATGCATCTTCTTCCTCTTTCATATACAGAAATAATTTGTTTTAAAATAACATTGCGTTTAATGTTAACGTCATATAGTGTACCTTTTCCAATATCATTAGAATCCACTGAGTCATCATCAGATTCTTCACAATGATCCTCAATTCTGAAATCACTGTCATCAGAACTTTCACCTAAATCAAAGTCAAGCAAAGATGGTGCTGATCCAACAGGCTTTACTCTCCTCTTTTTTGGATCCCTTTCAACTAACAAACACATTCTTTGTTACACACTTTCACATATATACATATATATATACATAATTATTACAAAGAATATACATGAGAGTGAAATATTTTCTAATCAACGAAATACTTATTTAAAGAAATATACACTTCCTAAATTGTACAAAAAACTAATTTTAGGTTACATGAGTGTTTAATTCATAATACATACGTACAAATGCTACTCATATTACACTTAGAATGACACTTTTACTTAGACTCTATTTGTCGTACTTTTTAATGTCCACAACCTTAATAATTCTTTTACTTATTCTGACATATCGTGTAACACGCTATGTATATAGTTTTTAAATATCTCCCACTACTCGTTGCACTCGTCAAATCGTCGCCATGAAATATTGACATATAACATAGGTACTACTTACATGTATATAATATACGACGCCGATTTTGCATATTAGCTCCATTTTTTATGTATTGTCTTTGTTACATTTCATATTTTAACTAAATAATTGTTAAAGTGATATTTTTAAAATCAAATATTCTTAACATTGTTAGTACTATTTTCAAAATTTTGTAAAAACATTTACATATCCAATTTATATCCAATATATATTTTTTTTAAATTGAAATATATTTGTTAATAAAAGTTCATCTTTATTTTTGTTGTAATTAGTTATATTTTTTATGATTTAAACATATGAATGGAATGTAAATTTATTTTACATAGTATATATATGTAAGTACATACATATAACTAAATCATATTCTATATATATATATATATATATATAGTATAAATATTTATATTTACTTATATTATCTGCTTTTCAAAAAGCTTAAACACTTTAGCAATATTGAAACATTGTTTATATAGATGCTATACTATTGTCTTTGACTTTCAGTAAAATATTTCATTCTTTATCCAAAGGATAACTTCAACTTACTCATTGTTTTGTATAAAAATCCTACGTCGTCCTCCTGAGACATTCCTGGTAGAAATTTTCTCCAATATAATAATATAAAAACCTCTAATGTTTTTTTCTTAATTTATTGCCTTTAGCATGCAAAAATTAAAAGAAATATATTATATATGATAAAATTATCATGTCCTTTATAATATACATGTTGTTTTGTACCAATATTTATAAGATTTCAGTCAGCAAATTGCTCAATATTAGGAGAAGGTAGAAGAAACTTCCTTCAACAATATTATCCTTCTGACGCTGTCGTGTATCTGCTGGAGTCAGTAGTATTTCGCCATATTGAATCTTGAAATCCTTTAGCGGGAAGTACAACTAATTTCTATTTAATTAATTATTCATGTATGAGATAAAACTAACTTCAATTAATTTAACGTCATATTAATTTTCTAAATATGATTAAAATAATTTTTATTTTTATTCCATTTCACTTTGTTTTACTTCATGAATCAACTTTTGCAATTCAAGTCCTGCCGATTTGAATAATATTAAAAAGACACAATGCATTTTATAGTAACTTTTGGATTTCAAGTTTCTAAGAAATTTAACATAAAGAACGATCAGTTTCTAAATAAAGAAAGGATTAAAGCGAAAAAAATAAATCGAAGAGATAAACAGAAAAAAGTTAATAATTCGTCTGAAACTGCACACTCCCCAAATATTATAAACATAGGCGATGTGTTAACAGAAATACACGTTGAATATGAATTTCTTTCTGGTTATAAATTTAAACTTGATTGTCGGTGTTGGGAAACAGCGGTAAAGGTACGTCATTAATTCTACTTTAAATATACATACATATACATATATATCACATTAGAAATTAACAAATTTAATAAAATATTACGATTAATTGTGCGATTTTAACAATATAGATTTATACTGAAAATGGTGACTGGTGCTTAAGACCTATATTGTGTCCACTTAATGAAGATTTGATTTGGATCGTGTTTTCCGTACATCATTTAGTTCAATTAAATGAAGTACAATTACAACATTTCTTTAATTACATAATCACATATCGCATATTTCATGGGAAAAAACAATTTTCGGAAAGGTTAGTTAAGATGACTCACTTAACTTTGTCGCCCTTAATTATTTTATTATGTATGTACTTATTATAAAAAGATACAAGAAAACCCTTTGGGAGAAAGTCACTGTATCTCAGGAGGGGGGAGGGGGCTGAAGGTCATTTCAAGGTCATCTATTTTTCGACGTTTCGCAATGACAATTTGTTGACTCCATTTTTTTATTTTGTAGAGCCAAAAAGGACAAAGTAAAAGAATTTTACATAAATGATAGTTCTATGAGCACAGGACCGTATGATTTTCTTGAAATATATTCCTTTGACTTGCACAATTCTAATTTTATTAGAAAATCATCTCTTCCAGCATCAATCACAGTAACAAATAAAGTTCATGGTGATTTCAGTATCATAACATACCTTGATATGATACCAGGTATCTATTAAAATATTTTGAATTTAAATCATCCAATACTTGTTCCGTTGTTCTTATTTTATAATTTTATAACTTCAATTAGATAAAGTACACGAATATAAGTTTCGAAAAATGTTAAGGAAGGATCGTTTCCCGCTTGAATCTTTGGAAGTTGAATTATTAAATGTGGATCAAAGATCGGATATGAAATCTGTGCCGAAGAAACGATTAAAAGCAAATAAATTAAATAAACGTAATTACGAAAGAGAGGTTGCGCATGAGATACATTTACCCGCGGAGACTTTGTTTTCTGGTAATATATTAATCGTAAGATTATTTGTTATTAGAATAAATACTGACCATAATATTTTGTTTTCAGGTATGGGTACCACTACTAGCTTCAAAAGAACTCCACAATCACCAAATGTTTCATCCGTTTTCATTTCCACCGAGTGTCGAAATATATTTTCAGACAAGCAACTGCTAAAGGATTTAAATCCAATAGCGATCAAGTTAGAGCAATTATCAAATTTTCCAGCCGAGCTGATTATTGAAAATGGTTTCAAATATTTGTACGTAAAAATACCTTTTCTGAATCACACGATCATCACACCATACTATACTCCAAATAAAACAATGTATTTCGAATTTATTAAATGCTTCCTTTGCAAGGAGATCAGCCCAGAAGGACTAATTAATTTTCTTACTACAAAATTTCTCATTGTCGAGGTAAGATGAAATTAATATTTTCAGAATTAATATTTTCATTAAATTAATGGATCAATATCTTTCTGTTTAGATCATTGGCATACGTATTGTAAATGTTCCCCAGTCTAGTATTCCTATTTCTAAAAAGTCGAATAAAGACGCATCAACGATAAAGAAATCAAAAATTACGGAAGTAACAACGAAAGAGGAAGTCTTGCTAGGAGTCGCGAAATTCGATGTATCTGATCTTTTAAGAGGATTTTGGGAAATAAGACTAATAAGCAGTTTATCACATCCTTGCAATACCGATTTCACGCGTGCAAACATAAATGGCGATGAAATGATAAATTCACCGCTCACAAATGATATCCTGACATCATTGGGTACGTCAGTGAAAATTCAAGTACGATTATCTTATGACTTGAGAAAAATTCAGCAAAGGATTCTGCGTAGTAAGGATATACTGAATCGCATTTTTTTTATATTGAGCGATACAAAATTGGTGAATGATATTCTGAAAAATGTGTCCTCTCACAATTCCGGTTTATTGAAAACTTATCGGTACTCGAATCAGAATGCCGAGAATTCAAAGGTGCACAATTTTTTATTATTTTATTGATATATTCCTTCTACATATTAGTAATATCTTAATGAAATTTTTTTTCATTTTCTTTTCATTTTTTAAACAAATTTTTTTTTTAACACAGGTACGAGATGTTCCTAAGGATATTTTAACGGGTTTCGTTATTAATTGTTCGAAGACGTTTTATATTTTTCTTGAAGGTATCTCAAATGGATATTTGTTAAAAATCTGGAAAATCGTAACGAACCTTCCCTTTCGAAATAAATGCGTTTATTATAATAGCAGTTATATATTTCTTAGGCGGCTTTATGAGGATTTTGTATCCTTTGGTGGAGTTATTCATATTGAATTAAGGTAAATAAAAAAAAAAAAAAATACTTGTTTTGAATGTATTGTATTAAATTTATTCATTTCATCAAAGCGATCCTTTGGAAACGGAACTCCGCAAATGCAGTTTATATATTGGTGAAACTAAAAAGACAATTCAAGCCAATCTAATGACAAAAATGGGACTGATGAAATTAACTTTAACGATGAAAACATTGTGTCAAGCTTGTTTATTTCCGGATTCAAGCGTCGTTAAAGCTTTCCTCGATGACATTCGCAAAATTTAATTTGAACATTTCAAACAATTTACTGCTAATCAAATGGAAATGACATCGAAGAACAAGTATACAATTACAATTGTACATATATGGAAAAAGAAAAATTATTTAATTAAATTTTTGTGTACATATACATACGTATATGTATATTGTAAGTATTTATCTACATACAACCTTACACTGATAATAAAATTATCTATTTAAATACGCCGATTGATAAGAAGAAAAAAAACAGGGGTATTAAGTAAGCACTGACCTTCATGACATAATTATAAACAAATAAAAGGTATTTAATCTTTCTTTAAAGAAATATGTGTATGTTAGAAACATATCTTTATCCATATATGTATTTCTTTATCTATTTCGATATCATGTAATTTGAATTTGAATTGCATCAGGATCAGGAATTTTTCGTTCATTGGTATTGAAACATATTTATATATATACATATAGCAATTATTCAACAAAATTTTATAGGTATTAGTATCTTTCATATATCAAATAAGAATTTTTCATAACAAAATCCTCTTGTATTTATTTCATTTAAAAAAAACAACTTAGGATTTGCGAACCAACCTGTATTTTGACCAATTTTGACTTGGCACACGTGTATTATCTTTCACATGTATAACCTACATTTATTTTTCATTCAAAACCTTTATAAATAATATTGTATGAACCAGGAAAGAATTTATTTATTTATATCATCTTTCAGGTATTGTGTATAATTAACATATATTGTATTAATGTTATATTTATAATAATAAACACATATGGTTTTCGTTTTCAGATGATGCACACTCAAAAAGAAATCCAAAAAATTTATATATATAGATAATACTTACACGTGTGTATTTTTTATTATATACCAATTTATATTTTTCCTCATTTATATAAAAAAATTACATTACTGTAATATAACTTCATAAACTTGTGGTATAAAAAGCAGCAGGTAAGCTAATTAAATGTTCATTCTACTAATAAATTAAAAATTTCCTATCAAGCTTTTTTCTAAATACATTATAATTTATTACTTTAATCTCACTATTGATATTATAATTGATATTGTGCTTTAGTATTTGTTTTATTTAGGTGAAATGGTTTCTCAAATATTTGATGAATCTCCTAAAGAAATGCAGTTAATAAGTTCAGATGATGAATCGCATGCTATTAAACAAGTTAATAGTATTGAAAAAGTACAAATGAGAAAGCAGCTCGGTCTTTTAGAGGGAGTTGCAATTATTTTAGGAATCATATGTGGTTCTGGTAAGAATTTACCTAAGATTTTTAACATTTCTCTCTATGTTTATATCAAATGAAATTTCAATTAAATATATGGTTATTCTTTATTCCATATAATGTTAAATCTCATTTGTACAGGTATTTTCATTTCACCAAAAGGGATCATTACAGAAGTAGGAAGCGTCGGAGTATCTTTAGTTGTATGGGTTCTGTGTGGTTTACTTTCTATGGTTGGAGCATTATGTTATGCTGAATTAGGAACTTGTATACCTCGTAGTGGCGGAGATTATGCTTATATTTATGAAGCTTTTGGAGCATTGCCTGCTTTTCTCTATTTATGGGCTGCTAACTTAATATTTATGTAAGTTGTTCATTATCAAAAGAAAAAATTGGAAAACTGATAGCTATTTAAAATATATGTATATTCTTTCATTTACAGACCAACTACAAATGCCATCATGGGTTTAACTTTTGCTCAATATGTTTTACAACCATTCTTTTCAAACTGCACTATCCCAGTTGATGGTATACGCTTACTAGCAGCAGTAACTATTTGTAAGACATTTATTTTATATATAAAATTTTGTTTATACATAAAATATAATATTGTTCCTTCGATTTTTATAATAGGTCTACTTACATTTGCGAACTGTTATGATGTCAAAGAAACATCAAAAATGCAAAATGTATTTATGTTTGCTAAAATTGGTGCATTAGTAATTATAATTATTGCTGGACTAGTTTGGATAATGCTAGGTAAATATGTGTGTTTTAATATGTATCATAAGTATGTATATTAATCGTTTATCATAGGACATACGGAAAATTTTGAAAATGCTTTTGAAAATACAATTACGGAACCGGGTAAAATTGCAGTGGCCTTTTACTCTGGTATATTCTCATACTCTGGGTGGAATTACCTAAATTTTATGACCGAAGAATTAAAAGATCCTTACGTGTATGTATTGTAAAAAAGTACAAAATTATTAACAAATTTATTCTTAGTTTATCCAAATATTAAATGAATAGTTTCATTTTATAGGAATTTACCGCGAGCTATTTATATATCATTACCTTTAGTTACTTTTATCTATGTATTGGCAAATGTAGCTTATTTGTCAGTTTTAACACCAACCGAAATGATTTCTTCTCATGCAATTGCTGTGGTAAGTATAATATAAGTATTAGCTTCTTATTACTTTAAATATGTTCAGAAAGATTCGATGGAATAAATTTTTATTAGACGTTTGGTGACCAACTTCTTGGCATAATGGCATGGACGATTCCTGTTATGGTCGCTGTATCTGCATTTGGAGGATTAAGTGTTCACATTATGACATCATCTCGGATGTGTTTTGTAGGTGCTAGAAATGGTCATTTTCCTTCAATGTTAAGTCATATTAATGTTTCAAGACTTACACCTACACCTGCCTTAGTTTTTCTTGTATGTACAATATATAGACCAGTGCGTAATAAATGCTTTAAACATTTATTCATTAATATAAACGTTTTCTCTCTTATTTTTAGTGTTTTTTGTCTTTAATAATGTTATGTACAAGTGATATTTTTGTATTAATCACATACTGCAGCATAGTTGAATCGTTTTTCATCATGTTATCGGTAGCCGGTGTATTATGGCTTCGTTACAAAAAACCTAATATGAATCGACCAATTAAGGCAAGTAATATTATAAGTTTTAGTACAAATTAAAAATTATATCATTAGATAAATTTATATTGCAGATGCCTTTGTGGATTCCTGTTACATTTGTTGCCATATGTGGGTTTTTAGTATTTGTTCCTTGCTACGAACGACCGTATGAAGTTGGTATTGGGGCTTTAATAACTTTATCTGGAGTTCCAGCTTATTTTGTTGGCGTCGAATGGAAAAACAAACCTTTATGGTTTCAACAGCTTAATCGTACGTAATATCTCCATATTTTTACTATTTTATAGCTTTATTCGTAAGTTAACGGTTGTTAATATTTCTTTTTTCTAGTTCAACTTACTTATACCGTACAAAAATTATTTATGTCTGCCACTGAGGAACGTGATTATTAAATTTAAGTATTATAAATTTTTAAATAATTCAAATTGCATAAAATTTCAGTCTTCTACTGCGATTCTAATGAAATATTTATAGTAACCTGTGTGTTGCTAACAATTACCACAGAACTGTGTTCTTTGTAAACAAAAGTTTACAATATACATGTAAGTACAATTGCTCTCTTATTTGTAAAATTGAATATTTATAGTTACTTATTATTATTTATTTGAAAAAATAGTTATACCCCCATCGTAGTTTAATTATTTTGCTGTTGTTTTTAATAACTATGTACATGTTCATGCAAAAATGACCAAAAATTTACATATTCTTTTATTGTGAAGATGTGTTCTTATAAGTATTATTCTGTTTCTTGTTCTTTATTCATTACCCCAAGAAATAAAAAATATAAAAATAAATCTATGCTAACTTAAGAAATGTATAAATTTATTGGATATTAAACATATCTCAATTAGATATAATTTCAAAGCAAAGATATATTATTTAAATAATTGCAAACGAAATATTAAAAATAAAATATTCTATGATTCGTAATGTATATGTTTATTTACATAACTAATTTTTATATTTGCAAATGTTTAGCAGAACACATTTCTCAAAATTGATATATACATTTTACAGGGAAACTAATCAGTTACTGTAAATATAAAATAATGGTATGTTGTATGTGTTTCTATTTTTTCTGAACAGACTATAACAGTGACATTACATATAGATATCAACAAATAACATACAGGTCACCGTTTTTCTTTTTATATATATTCATTAATGTATATCTTCTGGGTTAAACATTCCCTGTAAAGTAAAATTAGAATTACTTACACTCATTAATAGTTATGAATTGATTCTCCATTTATATATGTGCCAATATATGGTATTAGCAACTAATAAATATCTATATTAACTATTATAATTTAAACAATAGTCTTACCTTAGCACGCCTTAAAATGGAATCCTTGCTGGCATCATATGGATGATCTTTACTTGGAATTTCTAATACCGATGGTATAGGTTGTGTATGACTATCAATTACATGACGAATCATCTCTGCAACCTCAAATAGATTATAAAAAATTTATTTGTAGATAATACAAATAAATTTTAATATTTAGAAAATGTACATGATACTTACATTTTGATTAATAAGAATGATATCAATATCATCTCGTTTAATAAAACGCTTAAATGTATCTTCTATATCACTTACTGGCGTATCTATAAAGAAATTAATATATATACAAATTTATACAAAAATAAATGTTTTAATAATACGTACTTTTGTCTACAACCATAAAATTAGGCTGACGATGTTTATTAATTTCACCAACTCCGCCCAGTAGAAATCCCACGCAGGTATCCTGAACAAGAAACTATCGTGAATATCCATTAGACATAAAATATAATTTTTTACAAATGTCATTTACTTCATCCCCGATTACTGCAAGAAGTTTACCCTTGCCCGCGGAATGGAGAGCCATTATTACGAAAAATAATGTAAGCAGTTGAATAAAGTTCAATTGTTTTTAATGCAACAAATCCTATCGAAGCCACCAGCTGACAAGTCAACGCCTACGTTGTTTAATTAGTACTTAAACATCACGTGCCAAACTTGTCCAATTGAAAATATAGCGGGGATATGTTGGTCGAATTTAGAAATCGCGAACTTCGGAATAGGCTGATGTTTTGTAGATATCATTTATAGCATGTATTCCTGCAATAATCTAATATCGAATGTGAAGTATATATAAAAATATTTAGTAAACATTTACAATTCGAAATCGTACAACTTATTTATATATATAATACATATGTATGTATATATTTGGTATTTCATGTAAAGTATGGTACATACAACTATTCGTATATGAAGCTGAATTTCCATTTAAATGATTATTTTTAGCTGTACTGATTATGTCAACAGAAATACACATATTTATGGGAATGAGTTAAAAAAAAATTGTTTGAAAGCTAGGACTTTACATACAATAAGTATAATGCGCGTAACACGTAATATATATGTAAGGTTATGTTTCTATATGTGTTACAGCATAAGTGCTATGTGTATCTAATATTAATTATGTACGTAAATTGGGAGATGGAAGCTTGTGTTAAATCCGATAGTTTTATATATTCTTTTTTTCATTATGTGATATGTACAAATCAGGAAGCTAGTGGTTATTAAGAATATCTCTTAAAACAGGATATTCGTTCTACAATTATCATTAATAATTATGTTATTTAGGTTATTATGTTATGAAACTTAAAAATTGTTAAAAGGTTGTGTGTTTTTGGTACTGAATGCAACTGTAAATACAATCAATCATATTATGCATTGATTTCCAATAAATTATCCAAAAACAGTATATATCCAGCTACAGTTTGCTATTGATAAAATCTGTAACTTGTGAGTTGTGAGCATTACAACGAGCATAACCTTAAGTAAATATTTATATTAATATTCTACTGTGTTTTTATGTATGAGATAACCCTAATATTCAATTAGTATGCATATCACCATGTTTGTCAATGCATTTTTTCTTTTAATTCTTCAGAAGTTTTATTCGCTTAACATGTGTATCCTATATAATTGAAGAAGGGTGATATCGGTTAACAAAAAGTATAACATAAAAAAATGTCATTTGAGACCAGTGGAGATATTTATAAGAAAATGGTTTCCGAAGAGATCGTACAAAAATCATGTACAATAGATGAAAGCTCAACAGAGTTTATGGTTTTAACTAAATGTGAAAATATGGAAGAAACAGTGGTAATAAAATAATAAGTATGCTAAGAAGTACATATTTAGAAAATTATCATTAATTAAAACTAATTTACATAGGTTGTTGAAGAAGAGATAATTATAGATGAACAAGCAGATGTGAAACAACAGATTTTAGAAGAAGATCTTTGTGAATCAAAAGAACAATCTTCTGAATACTTGAAAGAAGGTATAGATACAACAATGCAGGCCGAGTACACAGATGATTCAATATCATTATCTATGGACAATTTAGCTAAGCAAAAGTGGTTTACCAATAATACGCATAAACAAGATCTATTGGTAAATATTGTTAAATTTAAAAGAAATAATGAGCTATAAATATATATAGAAAAACATCATTCAATTTATATGACTGTATAGCTATTAGAATCGGAAGAAAGCGAATCTGAAGTAAGTAATAAAGCAACAAACGACAACGATGATCAAGATGGAGACGAAGAAACAATAGCTACATTTGTAACCGCCGCTGGTCAGCAGCTAGCATTATATGCGGTTGAAGATTCGGATGAAATCTTTGCAGTAGCAGTCTACGACGGATCGGGTGAACCTCCGACGAACTTCCAGTTTCTTATGAAGTAAGAATAATGAATAAGTTTTTAAAGTATGCAAAGTAAATAACAAAATGGTTATATTTACAGAGCAGATGTCGAAAGACTAATAGGTGAAGGTGCAGTTAGAACTGTAAAAAAACCGACACAAATAAAAAAACAATTGTTAACTACTCAACCACCAATATTTTTTTCTAAAAGCGAATCAACAAATAACATAGCACTGTATAATGAAGATAAAAATATTACATATAGAAATGGTAGATTACAGGAGAAAGAACGTATGACGGAAGAAAATTCTACTGTAATAGAAGGTTCTGATTTGAACTTGAATATGAAACAGGTTCCTAACATTATATATGCAGCTCATGATAAACAGTCAGATGTTACATATGTAATGATGAATGATTCTTCCATAAATATGGGTATGTATTTAAAAATTAATACAGCTATGAAAGTGAATACTAATATCATTTTAATTTAACAGATACTTCCGAAGAATATCAAGAAAATGATGAAAGTGATAATGAAATTATAGAACAATCAACTGTGCAGTATATTTTATTTGGAAACGATCAATCTGATTCCGAATTAACGTTTGATGAAATTCACGAAACTCTGCAGAATTTGAAATCAGCTGAATTAAAATCATCAAAGAAACAAGTGAACAAAAAAGCCGTTAGAACACAAAATAATCATGAAAATACTAAAGAAACCGACTATGAATCTTCAAGACATAAAAATTCCAGTTTGTCTAAGCACATTTCCAGTACTTTAACAGAGAGGAAGTTAAATTTAATGGATAATAAACAAGAACTTTTAGAAACGTTTACAAATTCAGAGACGAATATGATGTCAAATAGTACAAATTTAGATATATCTAATGGTTCCACTGAATGTATGTCACCTGAATCATCCCAAATTCAGTGTAAAGCTAAAAGATCTCGAAAACAGCAGTTAGTTTCTGTAAATCGTGAAGATTCGGAAATTATAATCCAACCGGCATCTTTGTTAAGTGAAGAAGACAATAATGTTAGAAAAAGGGGGAAACGAAAAAAGAGAGTGGTAGGTCATTCTGGGCATCGGCAAAAAAATAATGAAGCGAAAAGAATGAAAAGAATCAAACACAAAGAAGTAGAAGTTATTGAAATCGATATCGACGAAGAGGAAAATATGTTGCAATCAAAAAGAGATGTTGTTGAAATAACTATAGATGATAGTAAAGATAAATATTCTAGCGATAAAGAAAACGAGATTATAATGGTTGGGGATTCTGATGACGAATTACAACAATCAAATTCAAAAGCAATTTTACTGCAATGCCAACATTGTTCAAGAAATTTCAGGCAACAAAGAGCATTGGAAACTCATTTGAGAGTTTGCTCAAAATCACCGTCAAACGCAATTCGGTTTAGCGAACAGAAGCTACATGCAAATGGAACGCATGAAGATACGATTAAGAAACAATACGCCTGTAAAATATGTCAGCAGAAATTCGATGTGGTAGTAGCATTAGCGCGTCACGTACGTTCAGAACATTCTCAACGGAAAAAACGTAGATTCAGTAAATTATTGGTAGAATCACCATCCATAGAAGTTGAAGAGAAAGAAGAGTATGTAGAACCAAAAAAAAAACAGTTGACTATGATTAAAAAGATAAAAAGAAAAAGAAGTCAGCGACCTAATTGTACCTGGGAAGTAAAGAAATTAAATTGTTCCGATTGTGGTAGATGGTTTCCAAGCATTGCGTTATTAAGAGCTCATTGTTTGCAGCATGGAACAAAAAAATCTGGTAAATTTTCTCTTTAAAAATTGGTTAGAAGATGATAGATATAATTTATTGCGAATGTAGTGCATTAATTCTTTTTTTACAGATCAACAGATACGTAGATGTCAAGTGTGTAAGAAATTAATACGATCTAGATTGCTGTTTATACAGCACTTAAAAAAACATAGACATTTACAAAAGAATATAAAATCGGTAGCAAATATACAAAAAAAATTACACACTACCAGGTCAATGACAGGTAAAATTACGACACTCAGAAAACGAGGACGACCACGAAAACTTTGATTCCTTTAGATATCGGCACATAGAATTTCAAATAATCAATTATATGTGGCGAATGTTGTTATTATTTCTTTTAATGTGAGATATGTATAATATGATGTTCATACTTCCAATAAAGATTGGAAATATTTATGTTTGTTGGAGAAGAGATATCTTTTGCTTTAAAATATATTAGATGCCTAGCTAAATGTATATATTGTTTAGGTATATTGTGTATATTATGTATCAGTTACTTTTACATTGTCATATACATTCATAGTTGAAGTAGTACGAAAGATTGACTTTCTCTAATTCATATTTTTTATTTTATCCTGTAATAAAAAGTCCTAGAAATTAATTGATTATTTTATTAAAAAGTATATCGTTAATGTTGCATTAACAAATTCTTTAAAAAAACTTAAGCAAGTCAGTCTTTATCCTTAGGTTGAAATATTGTACATTAATACCTTTCTCATATATTAATAATGTTATTGATTATTGTAAATAAATAAATTATATTAAAAAGCATTCATACACATTTATGAACCTTTAGATGGCGCTGATAGTAATATCGTCTGACAATGAGAAAGGCTGTATGTATGTACAATATTTATCAGTGCATGATCAATACTGTAACTTTGATTTTCGTTCTAGCTGTATCGTTTGTTTATAACAACTATTCTATCTAAATAAAACAAAAAGAAATGAACGTGTTTTATAATATTATATGTGAAGATGGACAATACTAAAAGGAAAAAAAATTCAAAAACCCAAAAGAAGCAGCAGGATCAGAATAAAGAATTTGAATCAAATATGGAATGGAGTACAAAAGACAAGAAGATATTATTGGAAGCTTTAAAAAAATATGGATCTGAAGATATTTCAGCTTTATCAAGGATGTTGCCAAACATTTCACCTAAGAATATTAAATCAAAAATTTCTGAATATTCACAAATGGCAGAAGGTGAGGTTGAATTATTAAACAAATGGTTGAAATGTGGTTTATATGAACCCAGAGATAGTCTCATACCAGAAGCATTATTATTTATACAATTATTTGAAGATCACCCACCTCCTTCAGAATCAGGTTATGATTTCAGGTATACATACATATTATATTACTTAATTTTTTGTAATGTGTATATAAATATAATAAATATATACCTTATAATTCTAGGGCAATATATAATTTTCTTTATCGTTCGTGTGTTGAAGAACCACCATTTTTTGATTTATCATCTAACGATACAGATATTTTATATTCTTTGTTATCCAAAATAGAACAAAAATCTTGGCCAAAACATCAGAAACATCTTTGGGAATATGTCGGTAGAATTTATAATAAGAGGAACATTAAAAGAGTATATCCAGGGAAGAACATACGTTCTTTATAACATTATAAGTTTAGTTAATGTCAATGATTTTGAGGTCAACAACTTCTAATTACAAACATTGAAAAAGGTATACCCAGAAAAGAATATGTATTCCTTACAATATTACAATGTTAGTTCTTTTTATATTATTATGTACATATCAGTAAATTTTATTTTAACAAAAATGATTGTACAGAAGTCTGATTATAGGTTCAAAATTATTTTGCAAGACTGAGATGTATTTTGTTAAAAATATTTTATATAAAAAGTTATCTTATATGTAAAATAAAGTAATAAAATGAGTATTTGCAACAAACAGTTTATAATACACTGATATACTCTACATAACTGAAATAATATATATTTATTTTTACATAACATATGTTCGTGTACACGTAAAATAAAAAGGGCTATATCATGTTCGTTTTTATAAAAAATTAATTATTATTTAATGTGTTTATTACTAGTAGTTTTGAAAATATAGATTATACATATAAACTGTATGAACACAAACTATAATGTTTGGTAGTATCATGTATTAAATGCAGAGTAAGAGCAAGCACAGTATTCAAATAAATACACAGTACTAATGTACCCAGTATCCATTTGCTTTAGTAAACATTCACTTTAAGCCATAACTCAGGAGTACATTAGTTTACAACATATTCGTTTATTTACGCTTTTTAAAGCGTATAACAAATTCATACATATGTATGTCCATATGTGCATATAAATGAAAATTTACTTTTTCCTTTACATACATATTTCTTAAAATAAAAAAGTAGAGCTAAAAAAAATAATTTTTTTTAATAACCCTTGTATTAGTTCATACGAATTCAGAATCTATAAGATGCAAAGGATCTTATAATTTAGATCTTAAACTTTAATACAAATTTGCTAATTAATAAATAACAATTAATTTTTCAGTATTTCCCATGCATCATCTTCTAACTTCGAATCCCAATTGGATGGACTATTATCCGTGCCAAAATTGATCAGATCTCCTTCTTTAACTTTACTTCTTGGTTTTCTTGAAACTGATTTAGAGTCCACTGTTTCACTAACATTTTGCTTTGTATCATTACCCCAATCCCATTCACAGTTGGAAGAATTTGCAGTTGATATATTGGTTCTAAAATTTAATAAATTTATATTTCATATTAAAATTTTCTAACTACTTCCACATGTCTGTAAATTTAATTTAATTAAGCAGAAATGTTAGAATGAATTTTTCACATTTAATTATCTTACTTTGACTGTGATGTTTTCATTAAAGATGTTTTCTCAGTGGAATAAGGTAGAGCTACATCATAATTTTGGTAAATAGTAGAACTCTGATAATTTTCTGTCGAATTATACTGATTTTGTTCAAGTGAATTTTTTCCTCCAATATCACCCCATCCTCTTCTTCCTAAATCTCCAACCTACATTAAGTCACGAATAGAAGTAAATTATTCATTAATTATTTAAAAACGCGTCTAGCAATTCTACACTTAAAATTTAAATGTAGAATGCAATATTAATGAAAAATCAAAGCATTTAATAGATATATAAAAAAAAAAAACAATTTTAATATTTAGCTAATCTACCTTTGCAGCTAAACTATTAACATGAGCTCCAACATCTTCCAATAAAGTACCATCACGAACCTAGTAAAAACAAAATAAAACGAACCAAAAAATAAAAATATAACTAAAATGTACCACTCTTTACAAATGTACAAGGCAAAATATAAGGTATAACTTAATAAAGTTATCTTCATGTTTTTTCTTCTACCTTTTGTGAAGCTAATTCTCCAATTTTCATAGCATTTTCTGTAGCTTTACTTGCTATTTTTGATGCAGAGGAAGAAAATATTGACCATCCCTAAAAATGTATAAATTTATGTATATATATATATATATATATAATATAATTCAAATTAATATGTGATTATTTTTCAGTATCTTACACTTGCTAAAGAAGAAACTGCAGTGTCAAAAAACTCCTGTGATGAACTTCTAGGTGGTGGATCCATTTGATAACCAAATCCTCCATATTTACCACCTTGGCTAGGTGGAATATTACTGTAAAAATACAAATGAGCTTATACATTTATTTATATTATTTCTATTTGAGACAATACATTTATATGAAAATTAATATTTACTCAGGGCGATTAGCATTTTCAGTCTGTTTTCTGGCAAAGAAGGCTTCTGTTTGTGATTTACAAGTACTTGAAGTAAAATTCTGATAAGAACTTGATATATCACTCTGATATGATGAATTGTCTTGTTGATTCTCCCAATACATTGAAGGTTGAAAATCTTTCGCTGTAGAAGTATTAGGAGTCCAACTTTCTCCACGAGCTAATGTTGCAATCTAATTATTCATATAAAATATATTTGAATGTTTGAAACAATAAAATGCAATACAGATATATATACAAGTTTACCCTATCTCTATATAATGCTGCTGCTTTTGTATTATACTTTTGTGTTATTGACATATTATCATCCCAGTCTGGTTGTGATTCAAAAAATTCACGAGCATCTTTATTACCGCCAACTTTCATTTTCTCTAATTCTAAGTCTTTCCATTTATCCATGGAAATAGATCGAACAAATGATAAATGAACACCAAGTCCTCTGTGTTTCCCAGAACACTCTAGACAAATCCATATACCATAGGTAACAGAAACCCATTGAGGATTGTGAGTACCACATTCAAAACATCTCTGTAAAATAATGAAATATAATGATATTAACATATGGAACAGTATTTTAACAAAAAACTAAATGAATACATTACATTATTTTCATCTTTAGGTTTAAGTTCATTCAAAGCTCTCCGAGTACGAGGGCTGGCCATAATTTAATACAGTTAAGTTTAAATTAAATGGAACCTAATATTTAATTTTTGTATTAAAAATCCAACATGATACACTTGTCAGTTTCTTCATAAAAATTTGTCTCAACTTATCATAGATAATAACAAAATTGAAGCAATCAACTTCGATAGAGATTAATTTTTTAATATTTATTTTAAATTCTATAAGTAAAGTAATAAATGTATAATATACAACCAAATTGAATGCAGTATTATTGAGTCTAAAGAAACGACCATTTCATTGGTTATTTCGTTTCATACAATGTATTAGAACCATCAAGTATGGTACAAATAACTGGAAGATCAAGCATGAATGTTTCTGAAATCTACCACTATAGCGTGCTATATGCTAATCATAATTTTATGATTGTGTAATACATATACATATTTATATAAATAATACATATTGACATATGTATGTACATATAAAGGAACAGATAAATTGCAAATATATATGCTTACATATACTTGCTTGCTTTTATTTTACATAAAATAAAATCATTTTAGCATACAAGGTATACAAAAGTATATGAAAGCTGAAGAGTATTAAATAACTGGAAAGTAGTATTCATTTTATTTCAAAAGTGTACATGAATAAGCATTTTTATAAGCTGCTAAAATCATAAAAACTAATGGCTTAAAATTGTGTATTAAGTTAATGTATCATTACCAATCAAATATCGTAACATTCGATTCGTGTAAACGCAGCTTGTGCAATTAGTATTGCGCATGTGCAACCCCACCCACTGTTCATGACAAATGCAACTTTTACTTCCGGTTGAGTTCAGCCTCTGCATAAGGTTTTTTGGATTTACCAGTATTCTTGCGTGGTGCTTCTGTTATCCTACTTCATCCGTGATTTTTCTCAGCTGCCTTTGCACTTTGCAATTCTATATCTTCCAGGGATATATTTTGTTTGTCGTATGTCCATCCAGAATCTCAACACATTCGGTTAGTATTGTATTTTCTATTTTCCAATTGATCATATTCTCGCAGATAGTTTTATCAAAATGGCGATGGCGTCTTTCGCTTGCATCATAGTACGCAATTAAAATTTCGCATCGTTTTTGTGTTTTTTATTAAGTTATAATTTATTTTAGGAGAAAATCTACAAGAGGAACGCAAAATTGCATAAGTTTGAATATTATGTAAATTATATGGTTTTTTTTCAGACCCCTTTGCAGATGCAATCAAGGGTTCAGATGATGATGTCCAAGACGGTCTTGTGCATATAAGGATCCAACAACGAAATGGTCGCAAGACCTTAACAACAGTGCAAGGACTTTCATCTGAATATGACTTGAAGAAAATAGTGAGAGCATGTAAAAAGGTAATAAAGTTGTGATTGTTTTACGAATTTTGAACGTTGAATATTTTGTCAGTGTCAGATACAATCTAAAAATAGAACTGATGCAAACAACTACCTAGCATAAAACATAATTTACTACACAACTAAAGATGTGTTTTATTTTGTATTAATAGTACATAATATTTTTTAAACAAATTTAATTAACGTGGTTTAATTTTTCGGACAATATTTTTACATTTTTCAAAAATATGGTATTTGACATACTTAATTGAATACAAATAAAATCTCGCGATTCTTGTATTTTAACCATATAATTTTGTATATAATCGTTTACGAGATTAATGAAATTTAGTATTTTTTATTTAAAAATTGCTAGTGTCACGTTTTTCTACGTGCATGTGTGCGCACGCGCGCGTATGTAATGCCATACATGATCGTGTATATATATAAATATTTATATGTAACATATATTTTATTAAAATAGTGTCTAAAGAACAAATTAATTGTAGTTTCTTTGCTTTTAATTTTATTGCAACAAATTTTACAAAAGAGGGGTTCACACAAATCTTTATTAAAATATAAATATTTTTTATTACATAAAGTTTATTAAGTTTCTTTACTTTTACTAATGAAACAATATTACAAATAATTATTAACGTAAACGTCGGTTTATTAAATTGGAATATTATCGCTTAAATAATTATCTTAACAAGTTAATTAAAAGATAAATAATGAAAACAAAGTGAATAATACAAGACAATTTAATTTCTAGGAGTTTGCCTGCAATGGGACAGTAATCGAGCACCCAGAGTACGGGGAGGTGTTGCAGCTGCAGGGGGATCAGCGAGAAAATATATGTCAGTGGCTAACAAAGTCAGGTCTGGCCAAACCTGACCAACTAAAAGTCCATGGTTTTTAACCAGCAAACACCCATGCCACTATCTAAGAACACTCCACCTTCATCAACACCTTATCATCTTAAATTATCTGTATCAGTCACTAATACTTGTTGATACATCGTGAGATATCCTATTATATACACATATATATTTCAATAAAAAATATATAACAGTAACGATATAGGCACAATATTCTAATCAGACATTTGTAAGATTGTAGGAAGCAATATTTTGCAGCCTTATGATAGATAATTCACTAAACTCATCACGTTTTAAAGTAGTAGTGATAATTAATTAGTAATTTGAGAAAATACTTATACAAGGAATAGATACAAATAGTAACGGATGGCTCTTCTTTTTTGGATTAGGTAGTATGTATCTCGGCGCTATAGACGTGTTCAGAGAAAGATCGAAAAGAATTATTTTAGACTCCAGATTTGATTTATTGTGTGTAATGCTGAATGCTTTGTTTTGTTTATATAGTAAGGTAATGGGCCTGGTTCTATATTGTCATTTCCAAGTTTTGTGCCTTTGATTCCACATTGATTGTATTATTTATTGAAAGAATCATGTTTTATTGTAATGGATTTATTTTGAGGGAGAATTGCCAATTTTTTCCTTTTTAAAGCAGTATTGATAACAGATCAATCGTTTTCGATAAAATGTGGTTGTTCTAAATAAATGGTAATTCACCAATATTCTGATTTATTTTTTCTACTACCTTTCCATATAATAATATTGAAAAAGTAAGAAAGCACAGGATTTAATGTACATATGTTACACGTATAAAAGCTTACAGTTATAAACTAACAAATTTTTATGAAATGATAATAGTATATATATTTAGTTAAGTATTTGAACTTGGATACATTGTGCTAACAATAGTTTTTTAAAACAATGAACATATTACTGGTTTTCATACTTGCGTATATTTGTAAATAACAATTTATTAGTGTCGAGGTATATTGTTTACGTTATAATAAATATTAGTGATTTAAATGATCGCTTTATTAGCGATATGAACATTGTAAAACTTGTATATCTATATTTTGTATTTTATGTATTTACATATATGTATAAATAGATCTTTGTTCATTACATATGAATACGTTCATCACTTCTATAGTAGATTCGAATTAAATTTTATAAAAATGTGTATTATTTTAGAAATGATCATTAATAAAGTATAAAATTATTAGATTTATTTTACGAGATAAAAGTACGATATAAATATGTGTGTATATAATACTATGTTGATAGAAAATTCTAAAGAATTTTAATGAAACGAATACTCTGAATATATTTAAAAATTTAAACTTACCGGGTATGAGTCGTGGTAATTTAACCACCAGATATCACTATAGTCGGGCTACATACTTACGACCCACAATGCATCGAGCTACGGCATGTGCCTTTCTGTGTCGGCCATTTTGTAGTTTCCTTGAGAAATTGTGTTGAGTTGATTCATCTTCTTGGTAAGAATTTTATACAATTCTACAACGGCGCGACTCACATTGATCCAAATGATGTAGAGGATTGAGGGCAGATGCTTATGGCTAACTATTCATAGCTTGAGAACGAGGAATAAGATTGAGTTTTTTGCGCACAACCGTGTGCGCTCACGGTACTTACACCCGAAGAACGAGCCAGTAAACGAAGCTGCCGAGAACACCTATTGATAAAGGCACATGGAATCCGGGATTGTTTCGGGATGAATGGTGATTTCGGTAACGATATACGATACGCATAAGTGTACTGTCCAAGTGGTTGTCACCATATCTGCGTGCGTGAACGTGTTGGCCCGGCCAACGTCTCGCTCTATATTTGGCTAATCGCATCCAACATATTGCATATCTTGCCTTTTCAAAATTTTTACTTTTCATGCCGTAACCTTTCCCAAAGAACTATATCAGAAGGATACAATGTGACGTTTAAGTGTGAATGCTTGACGATTGCACATTGATACTGAACGAGAGCAAATCTTAGCATGTGGCACGGTTTGTACGATCAACATTCAGTTTTAATTTTAAGCAGAATCAATGAAATACTTAACTTTTCATTGTGATTTAATGTTCTTCCCCGTTCTTGCGTGTTTTACATAGAAAATTGAAAAGCAGTGTTACTTGAAACATCTATTTTATGGGGATATAAAAAAATCTTGAACTTTATTTTTGTATTCATTATTCTTTCATAGTTTACGGAAATTTTCATGTAAATAAATTTTATATAATTTAAATACGCGTACATATATATGCATTGAGCACGCACATATACATTCGAACGCGCGCGCGCACGCACGCACCCATACACATCGTGCATACGGCATACGGCTATGTATTATTGAACATGAACACGCGCGCGCGCATCATACGTGCGACACATACCATGCAGAACTGGCGTGTGTACGTACATGTTCTCTATGATGTGTGTATGAGTAAATATATATAGACACTACAAATGTATTACATCAGACTGATATTTTGCATAGTACATATTGTTAATAATATTTCTACAAAATATATTCACCGTAAAACTTTATAATATTCAAAGTTTTACATTTATATTTACATTTTAAAGTTAAATAGTTTATAAAAACTATTGCATATTGCATTTGAAGGCGATAAATTTATAAGACTTATGCATTATCCCAATTAACAAAATGATATAATGCATTTTTATTTAATGACATAAAGAGCAATTCCGATTTTGTGATCAGTCACTATTGAATGTGATTTTATTGTTATTACATTTATTGTAATTTTAAAAGTTAACATTTTATAAATATAATAGAGTTTCTAACATCTATAGTTATATATTACATGTTTTAACATGTAAGTACAATATGTATTGGATATTAGCTGCCTTTGTAAGGTATTTGTATAGTATAAAGAATTCTTGTTATTAACATCATTTTGTATTCTTTTTAGGGTACGTGTACATGAATGGGGACATTGGGAAGCTCCCACCAGGGGCGGTGTATCCAGCCACCCCTGAACCTTTGGGTTCTGTTGGGGGTGCAATTGGAAGTACTGCATCCAATTTGGAATATAACATCATGAACGGCGTTCCAAGTGGAAATGAATTGATATTGGAGGCGAGTGTTGGTAATCTAGAGCCTTCACCACAGCATGCTATAGGTATAGGAGGTGCTGCAGGTTATGGACCAGTGGATGTTGCTGCTTTAGGTGATGTGCCAAATCAACCTGCTCCAATGGCTGATTTATCTACTCCTGGTATACCTTTGGAACAACTTAAACAGATGCTCTCTTCGCAACTTGAATATTATTTCTCCAGGTAAAATATTGTAATAAAATTGCTGTTTATGTTTTCATTTTAATAAATAGATTTATGTTCCATTACATTATATATTCTTTTATTTTAGAGAAAATTTAGCCAACGATACATATTTATTATCACAAATGGATAATGATCAATATGTACCAATATGGACAGTAGCAAATTTTAATCAAGTTAAGAAATTAACAAAGGATATAAAACTTATAACGGAAGTTCTGAGGGAATCTCCGAATGTGCAAGTTGACGAAGAAGGGCAAAAAGTAAGACCTAATCATAAACGATGTATTGTAATTCTTCGCGAAATACCAGATAACACGCCGCTGGAAGATGTGAAGGTGAGAAAAAATACAATACTAATAACACATGGATATAAAATACCAGTCAAGTATTATAATTACAATAATCTTCTTTTATTTATTTGACGTGAAATGAATGGAACTTTTTTATTATAGAATTTATTTTCTGGAGAAGGATGTCCAAGGTTCATTTCATGTGAATTTGCCCATAATAGTTCTTGGTATGTAACATTTGAATCTGATGACGATGCTCAAAAGGCCTATAGGTTTTTACGTGAAGAAGTTCGGGAGTTTCAGGTAATGTTTTGCTCTTAAGAAATGTTTTATTTGTAATAATATATATATATATATATATATATATATATATATATATTGGCTTAACGAAAATTTAGAACTAAGTAGAAATTATATTTTGAAACACTTTATTTAATTATTAGTATGATTACTATTATTTATATTGAGATTTCAAATAATTTATATCTGGTAACATGTGATATTAGTATTTTATTATTCATAATTTAGGGAAAGCCAATAATGGCAAGAATTAAAGCTAAACCAATGAATAGGCTACCGATACCAGCAGTTGCTGGTGTGAGTGGTATTAAAAATGGTTATAGAACACCACCGCCACCGCCTGTCTATGATCCAAATAGTTATACAGCTGGGCAGCAACGCTTCCTTTATACAAATGGTACTACTATGCCACAAACTACTATGCCGCCATATGCCAATCAGGTTCATGTATATGTAAGTAATATTTTTTCTTTTTCTTTTGTAATGAAATAAAATAAATTTATTAGTTTGAAATAATTTTATAGCATCAGCCATTTTATCCTGCTGGAATGATGCCTTGGGGACCTGCAAGTCCTGCTTATTTTGATATGTCAAGTGTTTTCACAATGAATGGTATTACAGCACATAACACATTCAAACCACATAATACGAGATACAATCCGCGTCACAGGTATACAATTAAGATTAATAATTATTTTCAATGATATAGAACTATATTCAATTTCTTATCATAGAAGTTATATACATACGTGTATATGTCATATAGAAATAAACAAAGAAATGGGTCCGAAAGACCAGGCTTAATGGATGGCGGAGGCAACATGGTATCGATGGGACGAACCTCACACCCGCCTATAAGCGGACCACCAATATCTTTAGGAGCAACAGTTCCGACCTTTACTTCGAGCTTGCCTACGGTGAAGCCAACCTCTTCTTCCTATCAAACCGGCACAAAGTTCCATTCCTCGCATACAACCGTAGCACCTGGAGAGGCCCAGTACAATAACAGCCACTCTAAAGGATCCCAGGAAAGTGACGCTCAAACTGTGGATTCTGGAGTTCAGTTTCCGCGTCATCGTATGCATCGTAGGATCAAAGATCAAGAGTCATTGTCAAAGGCTAACAATAGCCCTTTACCATCGATCAGGGAATCAACCCCGGCCAGTAATAATAACACACAATGTAACCGAGGGGCACAATTCGATTTGGAAGCTTCTGCTTTCCCTCCTCTTCCTGGCCTAGATGCAGATATTGCAAAATCCCATAATGCTTCAGTAGAGACTGTTGGTACCGATTGTACGCAATCACAGAATAGGCTTTCAGATGTAGTTAAGGGTACTGCAAAATTGAAAAGCGTTAAAGAAAAAGAATCTGCAGGAACTTCGCAACAATATAATCAACAACAACAACAACAACAACAACAACAACAACAACAACAACAACCAACAAGTAATAGCAGTAGGTCTGCAAGTCCAGGATCGAGTGCTGGTGGTCATGCTGGCTCGTTAGAGGCTCCAACTGGTTCTGGCAGTACATCAGCTACTCCCGTTGCATCTACAAATGTCAGCTCTAATGCTTCTGTTAGCAACAATGACTCCACAGACATCGCTCTCAGCACCATCACCCTCACTCCCCCGTCATCTCCTGATAAGTGAGTGTGCTTTCTTCTTATACGTACATACACAAATACATACATTCATTCATATATTCAAACGTACATGCGTACATAACGCGTGCGCGCTTATACACACAAATACAACAGAATGATTTATGTTCAGGCAGTCATATGAAGCCTGAAAAGATTGCTAAGCTGTGTTTGATAGTGTTGGCTGCATTATATGCGTGCTATGCTCTGTATGGTGGATGTATATTAGTGAAATTCGTATAGTCCACCTATATTTTTATATCATCTATAAGTAGGAAAGGGAAAGTAGTTTTCCATGGTAGTTTATTAGGTACAGATTATTGTTCTTTTAGGTATGGTATTATAGTAATGTTAAAGTTTATGCTTATTCGCTAATTCATAAATAGAATTAATGAAAATAATAAAGTAGTTGAACGGCTAAAACAAATAAAAATAATAAATGTTAAAATATATATTTTAATTTTGAAAGATAGTAATTTTATGTTATGTTTATGACAAGTAGTCTATATATTATTCTTTAATTTGTTAATAATTGAACAAGTATATTAATAAAAGATACCAAACATATTTTACAACTATATCTATTCTTATTAATGTTTATAGGATTTTTTAACAGTACAAGCAGTTGAATTTTAAGTGTCTTCAAAAATAAATTATTATTATTAACATATGTGTATATGCAAATTTGAAAATTCTGTAAAAAATTGCTGGTTGTGTTATTATTGTTGAACTTTCCCTTTCTTAATTACATTATACTCATGTGTAAAGCAGTAAGAAATAGGTGTAACTTTCCTAAATTTACTATTATTTTATTATCTGTGGTGGTTAATTTTTGTAGGCGTGCTCAGTTGTTCCAATTTGCCATTTATTTCTATTCATTGCTATCTTCTCCCGTCGAGTGTAAAGTTGTCTAATATTGTTTGGAATGCCTCGCTAGTATGATTCTTTTACTGAAGAATAGATATTTTTTTTTTCTTTTGGATAGAAGAGCTGGTGCTCCACTCGATAAAAGAGCAAATTTTTAAATGTAAAATGCTCAAAATCGAGGTATTCGTTTGATACTAGGTAGTCAGAAGTTTTATCATTCTTTTATGGTGATTAAATACTATAACAAAATGTTGCAATGTGTATGTATGCAAAGAATGTATGCAGTACTCTGTGGTAGCACAATTTATTATAATTCTTGCCTTTACTACTGTGGCAAATGAACAATACATATGGACTATTATATTATTCAGGGTTCTTCAATATATGATTTTATTATTATTATTATTATTATTATTATTATTATTATTATTATTATTTTGTCGCTGTCATTATTATTATTATTATCACCGTCATTTATCATTGTCATAATTCATAATTTTTCTGCTATTAATACTACTAATACCAGTGTTATTTCTGTCTTCACCTTTTGCATTATTGCTACCATTAAGAGTATATATTTACTGTTGATATAATTTTTATAATCTTTGTTCTTGTTGGTATCATCATCGCTATCATTGATTCTGACATAATCACTTCTGCTCATGTTACCATGATAGTTATTATAAATATCATTGCCATCAGTGATTATTGTTGGTTTCATTACTTTTACTAGTGATATTACTATTTCAACTGTCACTGTTGCTGCTATTCTATTATTGCTACTACTACTACTACTACTACTATTATTATTATTATTATTATTATTATTACTACTATCACTACTATCGCTGCTTCTTCTACTATTGCTATTGTTACCTATATTGATACTATTTCTTTATTTATTATTATGATTACCATCATCATTATCATCATTTCTATAGTCTATTGTCATGCAGTTATTATCATTATTCTATTACCATTATTAGCATCATCATTATTACCACTATTATTACTATTACTATAACTATTATTACTACTATTACTATTATTATAATATTACGTTATATTATACTATATATCATATTACAATTATTAATTGTTTATTTTCAAGTTACTGTTAAAGGCATTTCAATTAAAATCTTACTTTTTAATACAAAGTTAAGCTGTAATATTTGGCACATGAAATATAATAAAAATCATGGTTCATTATTAATTGATGACTATAGATTCATTGTCAGTGGAAGTAAATAAATGATGTGTATACTGGTTTGTTAAATAAGTATTGCAATCTTGCAAGACCCATTCCCTTAACTATGTAGCGTTTTTTTTTTTTTGTTCTGAATGGAAATGTATATAATAGTAGCTGTCTTTTATTTGTGCATGGTATTTTAAGGTGCACAGTTGTAATTATTTAATATGTATTGAATATATGTTCTATTATACTTATGCACGTTCAGGTTTAGTCCTTTATTATTGAAATGCACCGCTGACAGATCTGTAAAGACTGACGATTCGAACATGGTGAATGGAGTGGACGAGGCTGTTACAAATGCACACACAGTGGAAGATTCTGAACAAGTATCTAGGTGTGAATGTAATTCCTCTGCTGCCTCACAAAATTCCCAGTCACAAGTGGGAGTGTCTTCTACTTTCCCCGTAGTAAGTACTTTTTTTTTTAAATAATAATTTTTATTGTAAAAATTGTCCAATGATTCTCACTGTCAATATATTTTTCACTTTGTTTAGATATTAATGTGACATTAATGAGAATAATACTTACTGTTGTATGAAAATTTTGGCCAATGTAAAATGAAGAAAGCTTAACTTTATATTTTGTTACTTTAGGATCTTCTGAAGCCAAGCTATGCCCAAGTAGCACAGCACTGTCGTGAACTACCTTGTACAAAGCATAAAACAGATGAAAGAGATGGAAATGTATAAATCAATATGTAAGTAAACATTTTTTATAAAATCATATTATTCTTCGGATAAGTAAGCAGAATTTATTTAATACATAAAATTAAAGATGAAGTGAACTAAGCACATTTACAGATACTACCACAGTGAATTTCAATATTTAGCTGTTATTCTTCATCTGGATTATATGGATTATGTACCACTATTTTTATCCTACACTGGGTATAGTGGGTACGAAGAAAACTTTTTACATTGTACAGTGACTTCGCCTACAATGAATGTGGTATCAATTAACTATGAATCATAAAGAATTGTTTGAAGAAACTCTAATTCGCTGCATATTTAAGAAAATATGTTTGCTGGCAGGATAATACATTGTGTAGAAGAGTATTGTTATTGCTTTGGTTCTGTGATTTTGGAGGTACATATTTGTTAGCTTGTAAAAATGTTAAACTAAGGTATTAATCTTTTAATTCCTTTCTCCTCTCCCCTTTCATAGCACAGGGCCGTAACTGGGAAATGTTTATCTTTGTGCCAAACCTTGCTATGCGCGTACAGCTTAATGAATGTTCAGAGTGCAACGAAATTTATTCTCAAACAGAATTCTGATTTGTTTAAATAAAAAAAGAGAATGTAATTTTTGAAGCAGATAAATGTTAAGAATATTTATTAGAAAACGATCTAATTTCTGTTTCTCATAATTTCTTTTTTTATATATATCATTACAAATATTCATGGACAAATTTTGCATAGTTTCCAGAATATTAATGACAATTATACTGAATAACAATTAATGTACAAATGAAACATTTGCTGTATTGTCTGAATTCTAGTTTCTATAAAGAAAAGAAAAATCAAAATCCGAGGAAAATAAAAAAAGTGCTATGTATATGTTATTGCCTGCAATAATGCGTATTGAGTTTTCTTTAATATTAACAGTAACAAATATAATTATTACAACATATTGTAGTCATTAAATTTATATTAATATTATTGAAGCATTATTGCTTTATAAATAATAATGATAAAATATTTATGTAGTTATTTCTAATTTACAGGAACATTATTTTTTGATTTAAACAAAAAATGAATAATATTAACATTTTATATTGCCTCAAGTACATTCTACTCTCCACTAGAAGCTTTAAAATTTTTGTCCCAGTTGAATCAGAAGTAATAATACAATACGTGTTATTGATATTCTGGAAATAATACTAACAGATTTTAGTTTTGTGTTCAAGTTAAAAAAGACGAAAAGAACGAATGGTAATTGTTACAACATTTAGGCACCTATTTACGGCACTGACTTTTCTTTTTAATATTACCGTTACATGAGATAACATACAATTTAGAATTATGCTTTGGCAAGTAATATAAGAGTTGTCAGAAATATGGTCTTTGAGCACACATTTAAGTGCCTCAAAACGTTGTGTATATTACAGGAGCTTGGCTTTAGATGTTATATAATTACATGTATCTATACATTGTAGCAAAGAACGCATATGATATATTTGTTACTAATATGCGTACAGAAATTGAAATAATGAATATTGAACGAAAAACCAATCTCCTGAACTACAGAATAATTACCAATATGTATAATTATACTTTACATTTATAATACTGCCTTTTAATTTTTTTATATCTGAAATGATTAGTCGCGATGTTGAATATACAGAAAAAAATTTGTTATCAACTGTAAATGCATTAAGATATTAATTATTTCAGTTTAAAATCGTGGTGCTGTAAACACTTTGCTTTAGCCTCAGTCCTGTAGCACAACTTACATTAATTGTATCTCGGTGATACATTTAAAAATTGGTGTAATGTCGTTAATTACATCAACAAATAAGTATGATACATTTAAGATACATACATAAATATCTTTTTATTAGTAAATTCATTTGTTTGAAGAACGGGGCTTTACATATATTTTAATATTATTATCTTTTATTTTGTGTAGATTTGCCATTTCGTTTTCGTTCCTTTTTTTTTTTTTTTATTTTGGATCTAGAATATTACTTTAAAGAAAGTTGTGCACATGTACTATATTTAAACATGATTATAGAAATAATGAAATGAACTGTGAGGCAAGAAATTTTGTGTTGTTTTTCTTCCAAACTTATATCTCATTAAATGTGACAATAATGTATTATCAGTATTTAATTTCAGTTTCACTAACTAATAATAACATTTGTCTTTTATATTTATATACAAAAGAAAGATTATTTCTAAAATTATAAGTCATGTGCATATATTTTTAATATTATCGAATGATCAAAGACATTAATTGATCAGTTATTCTATTTGGTTCACTTATTTTGCATACTAACATGAATTTACTAATAAAAATATTTATATAAATACGAAAAATACACGCATATATACATAAAAATTGGATAAGCATTAACATTTCTTGATAATGGAATTTTAGAAAACGTAAACGATGTTAAAGTGATTTGTCTTACTTTATGCGTTACCCTATAAATTATGTATAGCTAATTATGTGTATGCTTTGAATATTCGTTTTAATTATTGCTACGGATTATATGTAAAAAAAGAAATTGAAAGTTGATTCCTCTCTATACATTGTCTTTACTAAATGTATGGAATTTAATGTAAGAAACACTAAACTGTTGGTATATTATATACCTGTACAATACAAAGTGAGAAATAGATACACCAATACCTTGGATCGTAATGATCACATGTATTGTCGGAAAAAAAGGAAAAAAAAATTAATAATAATTGACAGTGACTAATAACTATCTAAAATATTTAGTTTGTAATGCTGAAAGTAAATTAAATAAAACTTTCTTAAGCTTTAAATAGAAAAAAAAAAGTTGATGATAAAAGTTTTTGTGCTGGCAGTTGAATTAGAATATATATAATTATTTGAAGGTAAAAAACGATTCCAAATGGTCCAGGGTAAGGGTAGTATATTGGGATAAAATTGTGATTGGAATGTGTGGAAAAAGGTATATTAGAACTTCGTTCTTTTTTAATAATCTCGTCACATAATCGTGGCTGATAAACTTACGTTCATTCATTCATCAGAATAAACTGTGATTAGATTGAAGTTCAACAGAAATACAATGTATAATGTACTCCGTTTCATAGGCTATACAGGCCTAGAAAGTCTGATTTTTTAACTACTATGAAAAACTTGTGTATTATATGATCTATGACGTTTGTTTATTACTATGTAAAGTGACAAATTTCAAAATTAAACATTAATTACTGTTATTGGTTTTGCTTTTACTTTAAATCTCATGTGTTATTTATCTAATTAATTTTCAAGAATTATATTTTGCGTTCATTGGAAATTGCATAAATGCAGATTTAGATAAAAAATATATGGCCTAGTGTTGCAAATGAATTAGACAAAACTAATTTCAGTAAATACGACGGAAATTAATAATATATTTAAATAAATGTGAAGCAAAGAACCATTTCTCTATGTAATTTTATTCAGGGCATAAAGAAACTGCCAATATCTTTAACATAAGAGACTGACAGTATCTTTACACATGATGCAAGTTTAATTAAAGTTGTGAGACCGATTCAATACTGTTCCACAAAAAGAAAGAAATATTATTTGTGCATATAAAGTTGAATATGAAGGCTTTGTACATTACAAGGAATCAAATCAAATTATACACGATTTCATATTACCTATTAATTATGATTCAAATACATCAAACATGACCTCACTAATACTGTTATATTAAAATCAAATGAATAGTAAATTACATACTTTCTGATTGCAAGTTTTGTAAACATCTTATTTGGTACATATCTCAATACGAGAAAGTTACAAAAAAAAAAATGAGTTTTATTCATTGTTAATACTAGTTAGAAAGTAAACTTTAAAAATTAACATTATTTTGTAAATTACGATATCCCTAACAAATAATAATGTGTAATTATGGTATATAGTTCGAAACTTTTTCGTCTTCCCTTATTATCTTATGTTATAATATTTCATACATTGATTCTAGAACTTAACAATATATACTAAGCATTTTGTTTCTATTATTTAAAAGATTGTTTTTAGTAAAGGATAAAATATGATTATTAAAAACAGTACACATTAGTTTATTTTGTCTAAAAGTATATAGTTTCTATCATATGAAAGACACTATTACATGTTCTGTAACATTTAGTCATTCGAAAAATTTATAGAATCTTAATGTAATTTCTTTAATAAAAATAAATAAACATTTTATTCTGATATTCTATTAAGAATCTAAAGACTTATTTTGATTCAGAAATTCTATGTTTATAAGTACCATCAGGCACAAAAATAAATTATTTGTAAATATTAAATTCATGATCATTATTGAGTTGTACCTTAAACGATCATGTATTTATGATATATAAAATATTTTAAGGTAAATGTAGTATATTGTATTGAATACATTAAATTTTTCACGAGAATGAACATTTTTTTGTTTAAGCCTTGAAATTTTGTTAAAAGGTTTATGCCTTGTTTTATCGCACAAATATAGTATTAATGACTTAATAACTTTTTTAACGGTTTCATGTGAAACACAAAATGTACAGAAATAACAAAAGTAATGCTACTAAAATATTTGTAACTACTACACCGACCATTTTTGCAGACAAAGTATCGAGTAAACTGTAATTAAGTATACATCATTAATATTATGATGTTAAAAAACGACAAGTGTTTTGTTAAGCATATATTTATAAATCAATTTGATGTTTTTAACATTCCTGAAATTCTTATTGTTATTATTCTGCGTTTTTTCATTATAACGTATGTTATGAACGTTACTGTAAATAAGATTTGTTTATCATAGTGGGCACTGGACTACAATGTCTATGATAACTACATTAAAATATTTTTAAAAACTATACATGGAAAATTCATGCTGATATATTTGTAACTGCGCATTATAAATAATTATTGTTTTGTATAATATCACTCTTGCATTATGAAAAAGTTCATGTACAAGAGTTTTACATCTATTATCATATCCTAATTCAATTAGAGAGATACAGTTTATTGCATTCAAACGAAAGGGATTAAGTAATAAAAGCACGTGACATTAAATGGAATCTTATAAATGTCAAGATATAAAAATGCAAGCAGTGATCATCTCTTAAACATGTTACTTCCTGTTCATTATCAATATGAATGTAATTAATATCTAAGATTAAAGGTTCTGCTTATGATTAGTTAAGTATAATGATTAATTTGATTTAAAGTTATCTGCTATGAAAATTACGAAATCTTACGTATATACTCTGTACAAAAGATAAGAAGTTTATCTATCAGGTACAGGAACTAGGTTGCAAAAATGTTCGTATTTATAATACCAGCAAGATATTTACATATGCACTGTACATTTCGTTGTTTTAAAATGAATTTGTATATTTGGGTCCAAGGAAAACCATTTACAATATTGCTATCGTTTTTTGAAAAAATACAAACATTGTAATTGTAATCAATGTAATTTCATTGATTTTTATTATAAATATTAGCCACAACGTGTTTCATTAAATTACAATAACAAATACTGTTTATGACCGAATATTAATTTTGTAAATGGTCCACTGTTATAGATACAAAGAATGATTTGTATCTTAAAAATTATACTTGGAAAAACTGTTAGATGATAAAATGCGATTAATTCTTTTTCTTATGTTCCAATATGAACTGATTAGTTTGTATTGAGCAATTAGATTAATTGTTCATTTCGAATGAGAAATATTCTCATCGGTTACATTAATTGTGCCCCTGTAATACTTATAAATGCGTCCTCTATCATTAATTACATTGTGGACGATCTCGTTGTATGTTCAGTGCCTTTTAACATATATTCATATACATGTAAAAATCAATTGATCCTTTTGTATTTATCGATATCTTCCAATTTCTGGGTGAACGAGTTTGCATGATTCAAAATAATTCGACGAAAATGCTCCTATATTCCCTGCCGATTGAAAAAGAGAATGTTAAAAAGAAAAATATGAAACTTAATTAAACGTTGACTTGTTTCATGTAAACAAAAATCGTATGAAACAAATCAAATTTAAATTAGGCGTGTGTATACACGCATACATTTGTGTTTGATGTGTGAACATTCTCAATGTAATCTGTAATCATATATATTTGTATATAATACACAGATTAATTTGTTGCGTCCATTATGTGGTTAGAGACTAATTTGTACATACTATAAATACACGATGAATGAATAAATAAATGAATGTACCAAACTTTACAAGATCAACATCTACATTTTTTGTCATTTGATATTAATTATAAATAATATCAATAATTTAAAGTTGTAGAATACATTAAATTGTTACATCAATTTATTGTATGTACGAAATTATAAATTTTTATTTGCAAATGCTCTGTACAAGTAATACAATTTATTTTATATTTCTTACAAAATTCGAATTGCTTCGATTGAAATAAAAATTTGAATACATAAAATAATTAATATTCTGTAATTACCGAATGATTCAAATATTTATAAAAATTGTATAAAATTTATAAACTAAATACAAGTTTTTCTACATAAAGAAATTTAAAACAAATATCGATGAAGTATAAAGAATACCAACTTTATTTGTATTTTCTCTTGAAATTTTGTTTCTATATTAAACAATCAACATTTGTTTAATACAAAACTGATTGTAATAATAAAATAATTGTAACAATTTATAAATAGATTGCAAAATACTTAAGATGAAGCAAAATTGAATTAAGATTAAATAGCATTGAGTCAGCCAATAGCCGTTGCGATTGAACCGATATTAATTTTGAATGTGATGTTTTATATTAACTCTTCTTCATATCACTGTCATAAGTTAATATTTAATATTAAGAATTGAATCGGCAATAAAAAAAAAAAATACATCCAAGTTATATCCATACTTTGTGGTTCAATGATTAAAAGTATGTAAACATAACCTATAATAATAAATGATACATCTGATTGACAGTATTACGATTATATGTATCAAAAAATGAAAAGAAATTAATACATAAATGTGTTAAGAAATTACCATATAATTATTACATTTTAAAGACAAGATTGAATTAATAAAGTAAAATAAAATCCTTAATTTCATACTTGTTATAAATTTTTTCTTATAAAAATGTTTTAAGTTTATTAATTATTTAGTGCTTAATGAATAGATTTAGAAATGAAATATTCTACATCACCTCCGATAAGCAGGTGTAATTCACCTGGTCCAATTGAGTCAGGCTCAAGTTTGCCGATGCCAGTAACTTACAGGTAAACTGTATTTTTCAGGATAATATTTTCATATCTGTTTTAAATAACAAAAAATTGTGTGTTTTAGGCAAGATTGTATGGGTGCAGCAACAAAATGTTATAAATATCTGAGAAAGCTATTGAAATTTGAACAAATGGATTTTGAGTTTGCTTTGTGGCAAATGATCTTTTTATTTACATCACCACAGAAAGTGTATAGAAATTTTCAAAGCAGGAAACGTATGTTATTTTACTTATAAAACAATATTTACATAGTACATTTATATTATAATGAAATTTTGTTTTAGAAACAAAATCACAATTTGCAAGAGATGATCCTGCGTTTTTGGTATTGCTAATGTGTTGCCTGTGTATATCTTCTATTGGTTTTACTATAGTTTTGGGATTAGGATTTCTTCAATTTATAAAGTTATTATTTTATATGGTATTCATTGATTATCTTGTAGCTGGTATAATAGTAGCTACAATATTCTGGTAAAAATCTGAATTATTTGAATGTATAAACCATTAACAATTTTTAAAATTTCATTAATTTTTCTTTATTTCAGGTTTATAACAAATCGTTATTTAAGAATTGATAAAACTCAGGATGTAGAATGGGGTTATGCATTTGATATTCATTTGAATGCATTTTTTCCACCTTTAGTCATACTTCATATTGTACAACTTTTTTTATATAATGGTAAAATGTTTAATATTTGTATGTAATATATTTATTCCTTGTTAACTTACAAATGTATCGTATGACAGGTCTCATAAATCATGATACATTCTCATCAAGATTTGTTGGAAATACAATTTGGCTAATAGCTGTTGGATATTATATTTATATCACATTTTTGGGTTATACAAGTAAGTACATAAATTTGGTACTACAAGTATGTCATGAAATAAAGAATTCATTAAATTACTTAAATGCTTTGCAGGTATGGAAATACTTCATAAAACGCATATAATACTATCAACAGTACCAATAATATTACTGATATATGTCATGACATTATGTGCAGGCATTAATATTAGTCATTTAGTTATGGAATTCTATCATTACCGAGTTGTCTAGGTAAAGTTTGTTATTTTAGTATAAAAATTAATTTTAAATTAATTGTCTTTGTATTAAATTTTGATATACACTTTTATGCATCAAAATTTTAAAAAGTACAGATAAAAATGTTTATTGCATTTAATAATAAATAATATATATTTCCTAGGAAGAAAAAAAACTAATTGTTTAAGTAAAGAACATGTTGTGTATTTCTAATTGTAAAATTCAAATTTTACAATTAAATACTTGCAGATGTTTTGAATCTCCAGTTTTGTAAAAATTTAAAAATTTGTTGATAGAAATATCGTTTTTTACCTTCTATGAATCATTTGAATAAAAATGCATTAGGTGTATTATTATATACCAATTATTTATATTAACATTGTATATAGTACTCTTACAATGTTAGAGTAAGTTTTAAAATACTTGATTTCAAAATTAACCTTTATTTAATTTATATAAAGTAAATAATGTACAATATAATGGGTGTGTGTGTGTGTATATATATATATATATCTTACTGAATATAGATTTATTCTTAATTCTTTAATCTGTCAAATGCTTGTGGTGGGTGATAAGCATAATTAGCAGACTTAGTAAAAATTTTAAGTAACAATCAGTAATTAAGGTTTATAAAAGCTTAGGCTGCTGTTTTAAAGTTGAAATGTCTAAAATTTTACTGGGACAAGATGTTTTAGGCGTTTGATTAAAAGGAAACCGTTGTAATATTTTAGGGCTATTTTTTGAACTTGGAAGTTTTTTAAAGTCATTTTTTAAAGATGTTTCAACTGGTACTTTATTAATATCTGTAAAGAAAATGCTCAATGTTATTTTAACGATTTAATTAGTTAAAAAGTATGCTACGCATATCTATTAAAAATCATGTTTATTTATTTCATTACCTTCTGCTTGAACACTGTTTTTTCCTGGAAGCAATTGATATCTTTCTAAATAACGCATTGTAGCAAATGACATATTTGTGCCTTGCATATTGCTAACCATAATATGTTTTAGAGATGTTGAGCCTTGCTTTTGTACTGCTAATTCAGCAAGTTGTTCATCCGTTAAATATTTTAAAGCCAATGCTTTCATATGCATACTTGTATTTGTTTCATTTACAGCACTTGTAGCTTGTGTCATATTTGCTTGATAATCCAAACGTGGATAAAATGATAAGTCAAATGCCATCCTTTCAAACAAATTATCAAATATTATTAATAATATATAAATTGAAACTCGATTATCTAAATAACGTTAACCAAATCCATCTTCAATTCTTTTCTTTTTTGCAAAAGTATAGTAGCTAACAGATTAATAATAATATAACTGTTTCATATTAATGATTCTATTGCTGTTAACAGAATTTAGATAATCAAAATTACTTATATATATATACACATGTATTTTATACCCATAAAACATACTTGTTACTACTGTTCAATTCTTTAACTTCTTGATTTTCATTCAAACTAATCCCAAGTTTTTTAAGTTGTTCCAATGTGGCATTTTTTACAGTATCTAATGTTTTATTTTCAGTCTCATTTCGTTCATTCTGATTTACTTTTGTTTGATTTTGTTGTTGGTCATCTATAACACATGAGTTCTGTAACAACTGATTTACTTGTCCCAGAACATTATTATAAAAGGTCCAGCCCACTTTTGAACTGCGTTTCACTTTTTCACTATCATCATCACTAGAGTATTCGTTCATGTCTACATGTATACTAGGTTCTGGAGTGGGTGGTGGCCTTTCATTTATTTTTAAATCACCGCCATTTAAAATCAAGCTATCTTCAATACAATTAACACCTTTAATGACAGAAATTTGTCCTTCCTTTCTATAGTCTCTGTAACTATCAGAACTATTTACTGATTTGCATGCTTTTGCAGAATCATTATCCTTTCTTATTTGTAGCTTTCTATAACGATTTGTAGGAGTGTTTGTTTCACCATTTTTATTTTCTAAAACATTATGTTCTGCATTTACAGTATTTTTTTGTACTGCCGGTGTTTTTATAATTTCGTAATTTCTTATTTCTTCCGTACAAGTTTTTCCTACATTTTTTTGTATACTATCCATAGTTTGATTTAAATTTGTAGTGATGCCTCTACACAATTTGGGGGACTCAGATCTAAGAGCATCTGTTTCTTTTTGTACATCTATATAAATCTGTCTCTCTAAATCTCTTGTAGAAGTACTTGCATTTAAATTACTACTTTGTTGTTGACTAGATGACATATAACTTTCAGAATCTTCAACTATATTTTCTAATTGTCCACTTGGCATTCGAGTAAAAGAGTTCTTGTATCTTCTTAAAGATTCATTATTATCACGAACACCAACACTATTACATAGCTTTAAATTCTCTTTCTTCTGCTGACTATCTTGTTTTTCACAATCATCAATATCTACTGTAAACGGGCTATTTTGTACAGTGAACTCAAAACTTGTCATTACACCTATAGAAACTTTTTGTTCCATAAATGTCTTCTTTGCTTGTGTTTCTGTCAATATTAATTCACTTTGATTTATATTTTCATTTCCATTTTCATTACAATTTTCTTTTCTTCTATCTTTGGAGAGTTCACTTTGACATACACTTCTTTTTGTGCTTCTTGGTACCTTAATATGATTAGTATCATTAGAATTTGCAAGGAATTGATTATTGTGTTGCTGTACTGGGTATGAACAAGAACATTTTTTCCTTTCTTTTAAATTTTCTTCTTGCATTTTCAATAATCTATCCACTTGTGTTTGTAATGATTTAATTTGATCATTTTGACTGTTTATAATATGTAATAAGTTCTTTACTGTTTCTTGGGTATCTGTATTATGAGTAGAATAAGGATGAAATTGAGGAAAAGGATAAGTGTTCATATTAAAATAAGGATATTGTTGTCCTAAATAGTGTGGTAATGGATATTCACTTCTTTTCAGAGTATTAGGATTAATATGTGAATTTTGTATTTTTGATTCATTGACTGAATCATTAAATGATACTTGCTTAGTTGAATTATTAGTTATTAGTTGTTTTTCATATAATAATGGGAAACATTCCTTTTTACTAAAAACATAATTGTCAGTATCTGTACAAGTTCTAACAGCATGCGATGGAGGTGACATACGATCACACTGTTCCATTATATTGCTGTATTGAGTTGTTATGCTATTTCTTTTAATAGGTGCTGTATTATTTTCACACACTTGATAGCTATGTTCATAAGAATTACCATCTCTTCTTGTATTAGTTTCTTTTTCATCAAAACTTTTATAATTAGAAGTATCTTTTCTTGAACCATGATTGTTTCGTATAGATTCTTTTGGACTTTCTGTGGTGGTATTTTTTGTCGAATAAGATTGTGGAACATAATTTTGACTGGATTGTATGTTTTGAGAATTTATACTGTCAGTATTATTATAAGGCTTGCAAGAATAATTATGTTGCTTCCATGCTGCATAGGATCCATTGTTATTTGAAGAATATGAATTACTGTTCTTCTGTGTTAAAGTTTTACATTCTACAGAAGGTGAATGGAAATCTACATGTTGTATAGTTTTATAGCCTATAGGTTTATCAAATATCAAAGAAACTTCTGGAACCGATGGTACTGTAAAACACTAAAATTAGAAATTATTGAAATAAAATAAACTGTTTTTACATTATAATATATACACATGTAATATAATATACATTTTATAAACTTTTATTATTGTTAGGAACCTACAAAAGTATGTACACAATTTTGGTAAGGATTACTAAGAAATTTAAATATTTAACAAACAAACAAAAAACTTACATCAAGTTTTGGTGCAGGTTTTGGTGTAATTCTTGGTTCAAACTCATTTTCATCGTTACAAATTCGATACATATTTTATATGAAATAAATTAATAATCGTAATTTATATTAATATAACTATCAATATAATTATTTAAATTTCTATATATAATTTCTTAGTAGAAATTCTGTGAAACCACGTCTATTGCTTAACACAATATTTCTTTATAGTATCTTTTACTTTATTTCGGTGTAAACTAAAACAAACTCTGTAAACAGTGCAGTGACTACAGGCATAAAAAGACTGGATGTGTCTTTGTTCTTGAGGAGTCATGTTTTTAGGGATCCTAAACACCCCCAAGCGGCGATTAGATTTGCTTGTAATTTAAAAAAACCGCCATAAATCAAGCATTGTTGAAGAACAAGCGCCATCTGCTCCATCCTATTATAAAAATACTTATTTATTTATTTATTTCCTTCGGAGTTACATATAAATATTATAAAAATATAAATCATTTCGAAAGACGACAGTAGCCGACCGCGCATGCGCAGCGGAGAAGGGGAACTCGACTCTACAAATACGTCGCTGGGCACTGAAGCGCGTCAGTGTATGTGCATACACCGTGGCGGTGACACCTTCCCTGTCGCTAGCTTAGACCGCCATTTTCCCTAGAGGGACGCCGAGCGAGCGTGCTCGGAGGGTGAAGCGATTCGAAATAGAAGTGTTGTCAACTTAACATGGTCAAGTTTAGTGAATAAAAGATATGTCAATTTTCCAATTTTCTTTCAAATTATAATGGATTCAAAATATTACATATTCCTGTTCGCATCTTCTTTTAGATAAAGCAATAAAGATTTATCATTTTCGATGAAATATCTTTCTAATAGGTAATATAAATTTATATTTAACTATTTTTTATTAATTTCTCTCCAGTATATATACATATATATAATAAATGTCATCACATTCCATTGCTTCGTGGTATATTATTGAAATGTATAGTTGTATCATGTTATATATTTTACCCACTTGTATACAATAAACATACGTTATATCCGCATATATATTTTTATTTTACTTTGAAATTTTATTTTATATAGAAATAATTTTCTAATTTGTTCTGAATTTGAAATTTGTATTACGACATCACTTTCGTTACAGACGCAATACAAATGACAATTAAATGTTACAAGCGCTATTATTTTTAAAAGGAAACTAAGTATGTAGAATTTTCTTTTAATGCCCCCTCTTGTGTCTGTTTTACCAGGTGAAGATTAATTGGGATATGTGTGTATCAGTATATATAGAATGATATTATACAGTGCACCACATTGGCAAATGACTGAAATTTTACCAGAAAATATTCGGCGGGGTCCAACCATCTTTCTGATAAACTGTCACACAATTATTATTCATTATTGAGAAAAGAACAAGTTTGAGAATGCTTAACGGATATTTTACAAATACATGTCAAGATCATTAGTGTGGCATGGTATTTTAAATCTATGTCAGAGTTGTTTGACCTGCAATATCTTCGAATTCGGATATCGTCGATTCTCAAACCTATATCCGATATATATACACTGAAGTTAAGCAAAATTTTATTTGTCATAGGTAATTATCATACTGTTCAATGTCAAATTACACAACAATATTGAGTTACATAGAGAACTAATATACAGGCATATGTCTTGCATGTGTTACACGTATTGTGATACTTTAATTATAAAATAAAATGATGAATTTTTAAGTTTGCAGTACAACAAATAGGAATTTATAAATATTTATCTTATATGATAGATGGAAAGTTTTGTTTATCAGATATTTGTAGATTTTTTTTTAATTCATTAAAAATATGTCATTAATAATGTATACAAAGATATTTTATTGTTTCATGATAAGTTTCTGTAGCTAATAATTAACATTTAATATATACACACATTGTACCTAACATTTATCAGATTTTGATAATGCTAATACTATGATATATTAATTAAAATAATATGTTCTTTTAAGCAAATCATAATTATTAATTTCTATTAACTCAACTATTTTAAAGAAAGAATTCCCTGTTATGGTGGCTGCTCAATTACTTATTCACTGGAACTTATTTAATATTAAAACAAGTGCCTTTTGTTCATGAAAGTATCAATGTTAAGGTACTTATAAGAATACATACTGAAGGATGACAGTAACTTATTTTTATTCTTGTATCCTTATTATTTGATGGATATAGTAATGGTGAGTAGATATATGTGTTTTTAGAGTTATATTTTGTTAATAAGATAATTGTAACAATTGAAACTATTATTAGATTCTTATTAGTTTATTAGAAAGAATAAACTTTAATGCTTTTAATTCTTATATTTAGGATCTATCATAATTCATCAGGAATTAAAATAATAAAAATACATGTTTTGAAAGGAAACAAATAGAATAAGAAGATGGATAGCTCAGAGTACGAAACTGTTAGAAACATGACACTATTATTTTTTTTTGAACTTCTTGTGGATAAAGGTGGTCCACGAACATTGCACGATTTAAGCTGCCAATTTGGAGCTAAAGGTTTTACAAAAGAAATGCGCCAAATAGCTGGTGGGTCACAAAGTGGCCTTAAAAAATTTTTAGCCCAATATCCAATGCTTTTCCTGATTAACGGTGATTATGTATCTGTAAACACTTTTCAACAAGTTGCAGAAGAAGAAAATGGATGTAAATTAAGTGGCAAACGTGATTATGCCAGAGAGGCTGTAGAATACTTTACTAATAAGTTATTGCAATACGGAGTGGGTACAGAGGTTCCGATAAAAAGCCTTCTGGGACATAGATCTCAGGCATCTCCAGAAGTTAGACATATTTCTGGTCAACACTACAAAGAATTCAGAGATTTTCTTTTGAAATATCCTGATGCTTTTATAGTCACTGAAGACAATGTATTGTTGAAGCAATACGAAGGAATGAAAGCAGAACCTTTTGTAGAATTAGAACCCGATATACCCATAGATCCAGAAATAACTGCAAAATTGTTAGATTTTCTTTGCGAATGTATCGAGCAAAAAGGTCCGATTCTAGTAGATCAAATGTTCAATATAGTTAATGATAAATTTTCTTTTGAAAATTGGACCTCGATATTTAAAACGCCCCAGGATTTGTGTACATTTGTAAAAATGTTTCCGGACGCGTTTCACGTTCAAAGCAATTTAGTAACGTTAATTGGAAGACCAAAATCTTCCGTGATAGAAGGAAAACCAAAAGCAAAACTTACAAATTTCACACGAAATCAAAATAGCACAGGAAATCAAGTAATTCCGAATCAAGTTGCTCAGTCAAATAATACTCAAGCAACTCAGCAATCTAATAATTTAGAATCTACTGACACTAGTGCTACGAATCAGATTAATTCTGTACAAAATTCTCATTCTCAATTAATTGAAACTAGTAACAGTTCGCCTCCTATAAGCTTGCAACAACAAACATTGAAACAAAGAATAAATACGCTTGTAATGAAGACTTTGGCAGATAATACGGAAAAAGATCGTACTTTACAGACTGCGCAAATGGGAGACGCATGGAAATTAAAAGTATTACAACAGACGCGAGTAATAGTAAACCCAAGGGAAAGTCTTCAAATTATCGAAGATATAATAAATCCTCGTAAACCACCTGCTGATGGTAAAATTGTTATTGCATTTGATTGCGAAGGTATAAATTTAGGTGTTAAAGGACAATTGACTCTTGTACAAATTGGTATCATGTCAGGACAAGCATATGTGTTTGATTTGTTTACATGTCCTAATCTTGTACAAGCTGGAGGCCTTCAGAAACTATTAGAACATAAAGATGTTATTAAAGTAAGACTAAAGTAGCACTAAATATTTTTAATATTTACATATACCTACATTCGTTTATTTATATTTTAAGTGTGCATATTGTTTCAGGTGATTCATGATTGTAGAAATGACAGTGTCAATTTGTACAGACAGTTCAAAATTATGTTAAATAATGTTTTTGATACACAGGTATTTCATCTCCAATTGTTATACATATATCATTCAAATATATTATATAGTATAATATGATAAAAATGTATGATGCTTGAAGAACAAATTATGTTTTTGTTGATAGGCAGCTCATGCCGTGCTTCAGTTTCAAGAAACTGGTAAACCTGTATATAAAGTTAAGAATGTTAATTTGAATACGTTATGTGATCATTATGGTGCTCCGTACAATCCATTAAAAGAACAATTGAAAAATATTTATCGTAATAATCAGAGATACTGGTGTAGACGTCCGCTAACACGGGATATGCTCATTTACGCTAGTAGCGATGTCCTAAGTCTGGTTCCACAAATATATGTCTCCATGTCCAAGTATGGTTTAATTTTTATTATTCATCAGTTATTTACTTAAAAATTTTGTTATATATTTTTCATCGACGTACATCTAGTTGTTTGTTCATCATAATTTATTTTTACGTAATGTTCATAGTTGATTTATATAAATATACAAAAATTATATAATATGTATTTAGATTATTTTTTGTTAATTACAATTTTTTTGCTTTTAATATTGTTAGACTTATAAAACCAGAAGTACAGGCTCTTTTTAATGAGCTCTGTGAGGAGCAAATTCAATTGCACATTAAACCTACAGAAGTAAGAGCGCGTAAGAAGCAACGAAAAGTGGAAACGGAGGTTGCAGATTTAAAAAAGAGAATGGAAGAAGCGACTACCAAAAATATTGTATTAAGTAATCGTGAAATACGTCTTCTGCGTTACTTAGAACTAACCGAGGATGAGAAGGAAAAGTTAAAAGGCAGCTACAAAGTTGCAAGAAAATTGGAAAAACTTGAGAATATGGGTCAAGATAAAGGTGATAGTAGCGATGATGATGATGAAGATAAAGTTGAAGATTCAGAATATCATAGTATGGAAAGTTATACCTCGGAAAATTCACATTCTGGTACAATTTTTTGCAACTACTAAATTATTAATACGATGGATGGGGATGAAAATGATTTAAATTGAAAATATTTATATTCATAGGTGGTATATTGTCACCAAGAAATTCTGAAACTCCTAGCCTTACTGAATCAATGCAGATGGTAGATGAAATTCTTTCTGATGGACGAATGGATAGATTTGAAAAAATTGAAAAATTGGAAGCTATCCTTTCGGCTGTTACTGGTTCTACAACTGATCAATTGTCTTCAAGTAGTACAGACGCATCTCCGATAAAGTGTGTATGTTCGTGTCAAGACAAAAGTAAGAGTCCACAAACAAATCGTAATAGCGTGGCTTGCCAAACATATAGTACAGGTGATATAGTTATTACGAAAATATTTTTTACGGAGGAAGAGAAAGAACGTATAGATTTATTGAATTCGCCAAAAAAGTAGACGTTATAGTTATTACGAGAGTGGTAGGAACGATGTTGCCATTATTAGACTTTTACAAAAAAGACGAAGTGGGTGACGACAAATAAAAAAAGTAGCTAAAGATTGTTCTATTTTACGTAGCTTGACAAAATTGTAATATTCAATTACTAAACATTACTAAAATTTTATTATTTACACGTTTATTTTTCCAAATCTGATACTATAGTAATCAGAATGTAGGAAAAATTTGTTTCATTACAAAATTCAGTATTGTAAAATATTTACTTTTTAATAGATTATCTTTCTTTTTTAAAATTATAAGAAAGAATAATCGAACTATACATTAATATACATATAGATATTAAAACAACTATCTGTTTACTAACAGGAATATTCGATGCAATACATTTTTCTGAGTAATTTGCGTTAAAACACTAATGTTGTTCCTCTAAAAAACAATATAAATACAAAAATATTTTAATGCTGCTTTTAAAATAAAATTTTAATTCATATCTAATGAAGCTTACAAAAGTAATGAATTATGTATATGTAAAAGAATTTTATTACTTACCTAAAGTGCTGCATTAAAATCACTGTCTCGTAATATGTACATTCATTTGCGTATTTATAAAAATAAAAATATTTTCAGTTTTATTGAAAAATATTTTTGATAATATTCACTTTTAATAAAAGTTCATTGAAGTGTACAAAATCACACTGTTAGTAAAATAAGTACAAATATGTATAATGAAATTTTACACATTTGATATCACTAACTATTTTGCAGTTATATTTGTGCCAAGTCCTAAACATACATCATTTGTAATTAGTAAAGTAGAACAGAGAGCTTTTGTATATTCGTTTTTAATAATGAAATAAATGAACCGTTTGTCATTACAAGAATTCAATTTAAACGTGAGAATACATACTTGTATGTACTTCCAGTATATATCAAAAAACTAATTACAAAATGTAAAAAATGGTCGGATAAATGTGATAATATTAAAATACAGTTGCTTTTAATGCAATACTTTTCAAAAGTATCATGTAACGAATTTGTTTAATTTAAATTTATATACGTTATTAGTATACCCTTAACTTTGAATTATTACATATTGAACTTCATTTTGAAATCTTATTGAAAATAAGATTTATAAAATATAAAAGTTGTTATTTATGGACGTATTTGTTGAAAAAAAAGAGCTATGGAATATGTGTCAATGAAATTTTTATTTTTCAAATATTTAGATAATAATTATTTAACATTATTCTTAATACATAAATAGAAAATTACATAAATTTTACCACAGATTTAATACACTTTTAAGTGTATTGTTATTGTGAATTGATTTTAAATAATGCAATTTTTCATTTGTATTTTTCAATATGTTCTTTTCTTGTTAATATGGTATTATTACTATTACATACATAACATTATTAGTTTTTTCTTTTTATCATAATACTGACCAATTCAATAATAGCAATAAAAGTTAGATACAACTGCCTTATTTGTACTAATGCATTTAAATCATTTTAACTAAACATGTGTATTAAATCTATATACAAAGTGATAAAATTGTTTTATTTAAAATAGTAGGTAATATTGTTTATTAACGTCGATTAATTTATTGCATAAAACACTTGAAGATTGTGTATAATAAATGTTTTGTGAAATAAGTTACTATTCTTTTTTATGTATAAGATGTATGTATATGTATAAACTTCAACAACAACAACAGAATATTCCTATACTCTATCTTTTTATATTTTTAGTAGAATAAAAATTACAAGATATGGATAATAGATCATAATAAATAATGATCATGTTTGAGTAGTAAATATCATTCTAAATAATAGCAAGTACAAAGTACACCAAGCATAGATCATTTAAAAATTATTTTATAACAAAATCAAATTATTAATGTATTTATGTACAAAATATTCCTTTTATAGTTTAAATATGTATAAATGCTTGTTTTGTTTCATATTTTCAAGAAGTTGTTGCAAATTTGATAAAAGTTGTTTGTATGCAATTCAGTGTAAGATATACATATTTATCTATATAATTTCAACATGATGACATTTGACTTCTAAGACCCCCGCAAACAGTGAGATATGTATGTATTTTAAAGGATTTGAAATTATTTTCCTACATCATTTATATAACATACACATCCAAGTATCGATGCGTGTGTATAGTGTGTGAGCTATAATCAGCTATAACGAGAACGGAGGTTAACTCAGGGTCGACCACTTGTTGAATGTCTTTCATACATACAGCTTATATATAGAAGCCGGTTCGTTGTAATAGCTTAAGGTGGTATAATATATTTTAGTATAAATCTTATACTTGGATTGTATTGAATATTACATTTAAAACACAATGTCCGGAGAAAATTTAGGTAAGTATCTATATATATAATATTGTTTATCATACATTATTGTGTCATAAAATTGTGTTATAAAATTAAATTGTTAAACTATTTTTAATAAGTTAATCTTTTATATTTACTATATGGCTTGAGAAAAAAGTATTTCATTTATTTATGTTTTGCTTATTTTATTTATAGCACTTTTAAGCGTCTCTGATAAAACAAACCTTCTGCCATTTGCTAAGAAATTACATGAGCTGGGATTAACTTTAGTAGCATCTGGTGGAACTGCTAAATCTTTAAGAGATGCTGGCCTTCCAGTGAAAGATGTTTCCAACATTACTGGAGCTCCTGAAATGCTTAGTGGAAGAGTAAAGACTCTTCACCCTGCTGTACATGCTGGTTAATATGTTTAAATATATTCTTGTTCCTATTAATACTGAAGTATTAAATAAATATTAAATTTTCTTTTGTAGGTATATTGGCTAGGCTTAATGAATCAGATCAACAAGATCTTCATATGCAAAACTATAAGCTTATTCAACTTGTAATATGTAATTTATATCCATTTGTAAGTACAATTTCCAAACCAGATGTGACAATTGAAGATGCAGTAGAAAATGTAGATATCGGTGGAGTAACATTATTACGTGCTGCAGCTAAAAATCATAGTAGAGTGACAGTTGTTTGTGACCCTGAAGATTATGAAAAAATTGGAAGAGAGATGGAAACATCAGCTAACAAAGATACTTCTCTCAAAACTAGGTACTTTACATATTAAAACTTTGAATCTACATTAAATCCACTTTAACATTATTTTTTCATTTTATTTTTTAGACAAGAGTTAGCTCTCAAAGCATTTACTCATACAGCAGAATATGACAATGCTATTTCAGATTATTTTCGTAAACAATATAGTGCTGGTGTTTCTCAGCTAACATTAAGATATGGAATGAATCCTCATCAGAAACAAGCACAAATTTTTACAACTTTAAGCAAATTACCAATAAATGTAGTAAATGGTTCACCTGGCTTTATTAATCTCTGTGATGCTTTAAATGGTTACCAACTAGTAAAGGAATTGAAAACAGCATTAAATTTGCCAGCTGCAACATCTTTCAAACATGTCAGTCCTGCTGGAGCAGCCGTTGGTGTGCCATTAGATTCTGTACAAGCAAAATTATGTCAGGTGGATGATCTATTGAGTCAACTTACACCATTGGCAACTGCTTATGCCCGTGCTAGAGGAGCAGATAGAATGTCTAGTTTTGGGGATTTCATAGCGTTGTCTGACTCGTGTGATGAAATTACAGCTAAGATTATATCCCGGTAATACATAATGTAGTGTAATTTTAAGAAAATCAAGAAATTCATTAGATTTGGATAAACGTATAACAAATTTTAGGGAAGTTTCTGACGGTATTATTGCACCTGGTTACTCGGAGAATGCCCTTCGAATTTTGAAAAAGAAGAAAAATGGTGCATACTGTATTCTTCAAATTGATCCCAATTACGAACCATCCCCAATGGAACACAGAGTTCTATTTGGTTTAATCCTGGAACAAAAGCGTAATGATGCAGTTATCGATAAGAATACATTTGCCAATGTGGTAACCAATAATTTGACTGTTATTCCTGATGCCGCCATGAGAGATTTAATTGTAGCTACCATTGCTATAAAATATACACAGAGTAACTCTGTGTGTTATGCAAAGGATGGGCAAGTTATTGGAATTGGTGCAGGTCAACAATCAAGAATTCATTGTACAAGACTTGCTGGTGATAAAGCTGATAATTGGTACGTTTATTTAATAGTGTATGACCGTTAATGTTGCTTGCTTTTGTAAAATGAATATTCCATATTTTGTTAGGTGGCTACGTCAGCATCCAAAGGTTATCAATATGAAATTTAAAAAGGGTGTAAAGAGAGCGGAAATTTCAAATGCAATTGACAATTATGTGAATGGAACTATAGGGAAGGATATGGATAAAGCTACTTGGGTAGCTATGTACGAAGAAGTTCCAGAAAAGCTTTCTGAAAGTGATAGATTGGAATGGATTAAGAAGGCAAACAATGTTGCTTTAAGTAGTGATGCTTTCTTTCCGTTTAGAGATAACGTGGATAGAGCCAGATTGGTATAATTTCTTACACTAGCTTATTGCTTCTCATTTTTTTTGGAAAATGTTTTATAACATTAATTTTTAATTACAGAGCGGTGTTAAATATATTGCAAGTCCTTCTGGTTCTACAAACGATAAAGCAGTAATAGAAGCCTGTGATGAACACAAAATTGTATTAATGCACACTAATTTGAGATTATTCCATCACTAAGTGAAAAATATTAACAATGGTGGATTTACTATATCAAAACAAAAGGTATTTTATCTACAAAGTTCATTATGTAAAATGTAATAATTAATTTTCGTTACATCAACAAACAGGAGGTATTCCAAGTCGTAATTATATGTAAAAAATATTAAATTTTATTACAACATATCAAATCGGTACATTTTTACATAACAAATTTTTTCAATTATCCTAATATATGTACAATTCATTAACGAAATATTCTAATTTATCAGGATGTTTCTATGGAACAATATTCCATTGACAATCTAAATTTGGTTCCTTAATCTGTAAATAATGATTAAATTATATTACACTTATACAATTAAGCAAATTTAATTGAGCTAAGTTAAAGTATGAAATATTTAATTTACCTTCAATGTAAGGTCATCA